AAAAATTAGTAAAAGTATTTTAGCAAGCAAACAGTATTTATAAAATACTAAGATACTAAAAAATGTATCTAAATACAAAATACAAGATGAAATTAAAAAAAGTATTTCAAATACTTGTATCTGAAATAAGTCACAACCTTTTATATATGTAGGTTATATTATTCAAAATTGCTTGTTAGTCGAGAGAAGTGTAGACATCGTATAACTGAAACAGGCGTAAATATTGACGTCTAGATAAATATAATTATAACCGGTATGCTGATGTAGTATGTCTATCACAAAATATTCTTTCCTGTTAACGCCTTTTGTCTATAGGAGAGCAAACATCGATATATCGATACATAACGTAACGTCCAAGTTTTTATTTTTTAATGTGGCTCATAATTATAGACTTTTTCATAACCAGAACAATTTATATAGTACCGCATCGGTAGAACCGAATTTATGAATAATATACAGGGTGGTCCGAACTGTATTCCGGAAAATTCGGCAGCGTATTAAATAAGTAAAAAAGTTCGTATAAATGTATGTCCTGAAATGCTTAGTTTCGGAGATACAGGGTGTGGAAGTTTCATTCTTATTTCGATTTTTTCCAAATATTTTCTGAAGTTACGTGAATATTTGGATGAAATTTGGTGTCTGGGAGTTTTTTAATATGAGAAATTTGATTTTCATGTCAATTTGACTCTTACTTGTAGAGGGCGCCACCTACATATTTTTAACTGGTTTGAAGAGTAATAACTTTTCGTCCATACCTGTATAAAACTTCTAAGTAAAAAAATAATCATTTACGACCTTTTTAACGTAAAAAAGGTCTCTTAATAAAAATCGGTAAAAGTAATAATTCTCGAGATATTTGAAATCGAATTTATCAATACCTGTCATTGACATAAACCAAACGTTGACTAAATAGTTAATAGACTGAAATCATAAATTTGAAATATTTTTGTGCTAAATCATCACCAATCATCATTTTTTCTAAGAAAATTTTATGATTAATTTAAAAAAATAAAAATTTCCCAAATTTATCATTTCAGTGAAATAACTATCTATACTCAACATGTTTATTTTTTGTCAATAATGTGTGGGTTGCTCGTAACGATTTTTACCAAGAGACATTTTTTTCTTAAAAAATTACGAAAATGTAGGTATATTTTTTCACTCAGTAGTTCTATACAGGTACGGACAAAAGTTATTACTTTTCAAAACAGTTAAAACACATATAGGTGGCGCCCTCTACAAATAGGAGTCATAACGACATCAAAATCAAATTTCTCTTGTCAAAAAACTACCAGACACCAATTTTCATCCAAATATTGGTGTTACTTCAGAAATTATTTGGAAAAAAAAACGAAATAAAAATGAAACTTCTACACCCTGTATCTTCGAAACTCAGCATTTTAGGACATACATTTATAAGAAGTTTTTTACTTCTTTTTATGTGCAAAATATGCTACCGAACTTTCCGGAATACATTTCGGACCATCCTGTATATTATTGTTTTACTGATCAGAAGAATAGGGCATAGACTAATGTCATGTATTAGAGATAGATGTGACACTGATATAAAACAAATAGGTCCGTCATTTCGTGCCACCTGGTGATTCGAAAGAAACTAATGGAGAGTTTTGGTATAACGTAATTTTAGCGTTCCGTTATTTATTAACGCTAACTAAAACGGTAACGTTATTCAATCGTAAAATTAAAATAATAAATATAGACTTTTTTACTACATTTTATATTTTATTAGATCATTTGAAGTGTAACATAGTCAAAACAAAAATAAAATGATGAATACACACATTTTAAACACCAACAATAGAGCACATAGTATAATATATTAAAAATATTATAGACTACTAATTAACTGTTACTAAAATAGTATATATTACCAACTATGTACTTACTTATTTATGATTAAACTATTTTTTTATTTCGTTCATAAATTTATTAATTCTAAAATGTCTAAAATGTATCTATTAAAAATTTATCGTACGAAAGTATCTAACACGGAAATGATGATGGACTGTAAATACCAAAATGCACAAATTAATAAAAACACAAACTATAAACACAAATCACCGAACTTTCAACATCAAGATAATATAAAATGTCATTGCACGACAAACCTGACCAAATCACATAGTGATAACTATTACAGATATTTTCATACCTGTTATTTTTTAAAGTTTTACAACTTATGAAAACTGTTATTTGTCAATAACAGTTCTGAAAAATGAAACAGATCCCTATTTGTTTAATTTAATTTATTCTTCAAGATTATTTATTGGAAATTTTAAATCTTTTTAAGATAACAATAAAAAAAATCAATTGTGATTTAAATTATTTTTACATTATAGTTGACAGTTGACTCATTTACTATAAGTCATAATACTTTATGATATTTTTAAGTACTTCTGGGGCTTTTGTATTCTCCGAAAAATATAAATAATTTGATACTAGATAAAATTAGTTAATATACTCGTATACATCTTAGTAATTGTTTTTAAGTAATGATCAAAACAATTATATGTTTTATCGTGTCTCCTAGATTTACTAAATCGAATAAAGATAAGCTTCCGAGTATTTTTTTTAAATCACGGAAAATGTTCAATTAATTTATGTATCGATTTAAAAAATGCTGTATTAATTCTTAAATCTTATTTTATAATTTTTGTAATGAATTACTCTTTTAAGCCTCTTAAGCACTATGCAGTGTAGCCATGCCATTTTTTATTTACTGAAGCTTTGGTTAAAAACGCTATGCTGGCAAAATGGCTACAGCTTGGAGTGAATTTAAGTTTATTAATGCTTAGCTATGCAGGGTGTTTTAAAAAACATGTGCCATCTCTCGTGAGGAGATTCCTTACGTAAAAATAAGATTTATTTTTTAGGTCCGATTGTGCTTTGTTTGGTTAAGTTCAAGAACGGTAAACTAATAGGATTGCTCATCCTCATAAAGGTGCGTATTCACTATCCGAACAAACGAACGAACGAACGAGCGAACGAATGGAATTCGGTATATTTGGGCGGGGAACCGAACGCATGCGGCCGTTCGTTCGTTCGTTTGCTCCACCATCCGTTTCGAGTCGGTACATCAAAGGAGTTCAAAAACGAAAGGGTATATGTTGTTCGTTCGTTTCTAAAATTCGGTCCCGTCCATACCACTACCGAACGAACCAACGAATGTTCGTTTGTTCGTTCGGATAGTGAATACGCACGTTAAGACGTACGTTCGCCTCTTCCCGCGCTTCAGCTGACTGTTGTGACGTCATTGTAGTCCTTGTCATGATAGTGTGTATTATTAGTTGCCTATGGTAAACTTATAAAAATAACAGCTAAGAAATTTTGAGTTAATTATTTTGTCAATTTTAAATGTTAAAAAGGTGTTTTTAAAGTTTTTAGAGCTATAGAGTGTATAAATACGTTCATTTTGTGTTGTGGATTGTGACAAAGTGCTTACTAAGTACCTACGGTATTGTTTATTAATTATTTTAAAACAAAATATGGAAGTACTCTAAAAAGAATGCCTGGAAAAGGTGATGCTGGGAACTGCTGTTCTTAAAAATGCATTATCCGAGTATTTAATACGATTTATACAGTTAATTTTCTATACTGCATACATATAAGGTGTTTTAATAAATAAACTAAATAATTCACGTTTTGCATCCGGCAACCAATAATGCACGTGTGTGTATTATTGGTTTCCGGATAAGGACTAATAACCATAACAAGGACTACAATGACGTCACAAAGCGAGGAGTTTTCGCATGCACCTGGCTGACACTTTTGGCTGAACGAGCAGTCCTATTAGGTTAACTGTTCTTGGGTTAAGTTGGTTGTTTTGGTTCGGTTTTGTTTTCGATTGATTATAATTTTCTTCCAAGTACTTTTAACGTTTAGAATAAAATTTTAGCGGTAAAAGTTATTTTAAATGCGACATATTTTAAAGCTAAAAAACTTTGGACATATCCACCAGGGACGTGCATATGGTTTATCACAGGAATATTTTTGTAAAAAAACATGTACGCCACTGATTTTTTTCTCTTGTTGGCGAAATAATGTAAACAGTTTAATGCCTATTAAAAGTTGTCTCTTGATATTTTGCCAATTTCGGCCTTCTTGATGAGATAAACACAATTTTATTAAGTTGCCTTGATCTAAGTCTAATAGATACCAACCAAAATTTAATAATATTAACTTGTGAAAGTTTTAAATAAATACTCTTTGATTCCTCATCAAAAAATATGAAAAAAAGTTCCTATAAACATGGGTATGGAAATGTATAGTTTTAGAGCTACAGGATGTTAAAACTTTTTAAAATTAATTTTTCTGTAAATATTTTAAAGGAAAATAAAATATTTACAGGAAAAAAATACTTTTTATTTTTATTTTAATTAAATGAAAAAAAAAATCCCGGCGACGACAGTTTTTAGAAGAGCCAATTAGCTATCTTTTAGTAAAAAAAGCAACTTTCTAGAGCAAGTCGTTACTTCAGTCTATACAAGGCTTCATTAGAGACGACACAGACAAACATTAACATTTTATATATATAGATACCATTATATTTTTATTTGAAATTGCTGTAAGTTGGACTAATAGTAATAATAACTAATAGTAATAATATTTAATAATAAATTAGGCAAAATATATAATATATTAATTTTATTTTTATTTTAATTATACTAATTTTGATTAATAAAATTGCGTTTACCTTATCAAGGAGGCCGGATTCGAAAAAATATCAAGAAATAACTTTTAATTGGCGTTAAACGGCCTATACAATTTTGATATTAAAAAAAAATCAGTGGCGCACATGTTTTTCTTTTTTTGAAAAATAATATCGGAAGATTATTAAGACTTTAACACGTAGTCTATATATGTTTCTTTGATCTTTATCTTAATATCATTAAACCTAATATTTGGTGAAGAAACTAACTAAAAAATTAAGTTTTTAAGGTCGTAAGTGGTTGTTGTTGTAATATTGTTCTTCATTTCAGACGATCATGATGGTATTGCTACTTCGGCTGTCGATAGGGAAACAGAGACGAGTGGAGACACCCTTGAGGGGCAAGAGCATCGAGTGATCTTTATCAATAGGGCACAACCTCCCGTGGCCAAGTACTGTAATAATAGGATATCAACAGCCAAATATAGGTTAAAATTTTGATTTTTAATTGCAAATTATTTTTTTTTTCTTTAATTTAATCTGTATCGCTGTGATATTAATAAATACTTCTTTTTTCTTTCAGCATTATAAGATTTGTACCACTTTTTCTATTCGAGCAGTTTCGAAGATGGGCGAACATATTTTTTCTCATGATTGCTCTACTTCAACAGATACCAGATGTCTCCCCGACAGGGAGATACACCACTTTAGTGCCTCTGATCTTCATCTTGGCAGTGTCAGCGGTCAAAGAAATTATTGAGGACATAGTAGGTATATTTAGATCTCCACTTTCGGAATTTCCACCTAAAAGTTGTCAGTAAATTAATAATAATAATAAGATATACATTTTTAATTACATATGGTAATCGCAAAACAATTTCCGATGCACGTGATCAACTTTGAGTGACAAGCCATGTCGACAGCGCTGCCAGATTGTGATCGATTTATGAGACGAATCTTAATTTAAAATTAACAAACAATATATTTATTATATCATTTTTTAAAGAGTTTTACGTTTTATTCTTAATTTAATAACTAATATTTTAGTGATTTATTTGTTTTATAGCTTATTTTACATATTGGCAAAAACTAGTCCATTATGAAGATTATTATAAGCATTATTATGGGTTATTTATATATTGATGTACATCTTACAACGCCATAAGTGGTAATAATCAAAGAAGTTAATAAAAACTAGCTTTGAAAGTGGTATAATGTGCTTATCAATCAAACTTACTTCTCTGACTGCAGTCAAGGGTAATAAAGAACCTTTATTGTCACGTTCTCGTTGAAAATAGTTTATCAGAGAAGCTACAAGCTCTTTGCGTTGACTGTTTAAATGCTTCGGCATATTTTCAACATAAAATTTCAAGAAATGCAATACAAAAACTCGAAAATTTATTTCTTAAAAGAACTGTTTGTGCTTAAAAGTGCAATTTTTAAAAAAGACTATGAAAATAGGCAAAAAAATGAGAATTACTCACAAAGATTCAACAACAACACGATATTATACAAAATAATGACTGACACTAGGATAATTGTCAAATAATAAAGGACAACATCGCTGAACACGGCGCAATGTGACCAACATAGCGATAATAAAATTCGGTTTAAACCTAATTTTTGCAGCTTTAAACTAAATAAAATATCTGTTACAATCATTTGCTCTATAAAGTAAAATGAAGAGCTGCTCGGTATCTTAAATTATACAACAAATTTAAACAAATTTGCCTAAATTTCATTTAGTAAGGTTTATAGACTTTAGTGTCAATGTCGATATGATTGATGACGTGCATCGGAAAATGTTTTGCGATTACAATACCGTCATACTGTCCACAGAATTACTTAACCATACATGTGGCCATACTAAAGCGACACGGGTTTTTTTTATGCTAATTTGAATGACGTCGATTGGTAAATTTTGTTTAGAAGATGGTTAGGATCAGGGATGAGCATGTAAAATGCTGGAAATTAAAAAAAAAGACTAGTTTTTTACGTATAAGAATAGTTTTATGTAAAAAAAACTCCTTGGCTCTGTAAAAAAACTCCTGTAAACGCTTATGCTTCTTTTAAATGGTAATGTATATTGTCAAAAATATATTTTTTTAAAATGTCACGAAAGTATTAATTTTTGCGATTTGATTGACAATATAAAAAAGTCATTTAAACGCCTAGCCATAAAAGTAAAGTACTTTTAAGCCTAAGCATAAAAGTACGAAAATATATTATTAAACTGACATAAAGTGTCAAATTCCACGAGCCATAACCATAGTTTCTCGATATATAATTACATACAATGTACCTATTACTTTTAAATCTTTTTATATTATTTCAAAGTACGAAATTGTTTAAAAGATTATTTGTGGCATTTAAAAAAGTAGCATGTTCTGTTTGGAGTAAAAATGACTTTCTGTGTCATTAAAAAATTGTCTGTGTGTCTTAAAAACTTATCTCACCAAGAAATCCTATATGGCTTTTTCGCCACTGCACTGCAAGAAAATCTACAAAATAAAATAGTTATTTTTGTAAACACTTCTGCGTTAAACCCAAACAGAAACTACTTGTCAGAAGTTATGTTTACAGTTATACAAATTTGCCTAACAAAGAAAAAAATGCTTAATGTTTCGGAAAGTTTATCTCTTTCCGTCGTCGGAAACAAAAAAAAATACAAGTAATAAATAATAAAGAAAAAAACTATTTAAAATATTTAAATTCAACTATTCGAGAACACTTTAGTTTTTTAAAACAGATACGTCTACAAGAAAACCGTTGACGTTCTGTTAAAATGACATTATATCAAGTTAAACTTCAAAATTAACAATTACTACCTGATAACAATTACTTAATAAGGTAAAACCAAAAAGCCCCAAATTTTCTGTATGATTATTTTTAAATTTTACGTATGTTATGTTTATTTATGTTATGTTCTTTAAAATCAATGAAGCGATTGCCATACATTACTAACATCTACAGATGCATGAGCAATAGTTTTTCTTGTAGACGTATCTGTTAAAAAACTAAAGTGTTCTCGAATAGTTGAATTTGAATATTTTAAATAGTTTTTTTTCTTCATTCTTTGTATTTTTTTGCTTCCGACGACGGAAAGATTTTTTCCGAAACGATAAGCATTTTTTTCTTTGTTATACAAATTTGTATAACTGTAAACATAACTTCTGACAAGTAGTTACCGTTTGTGTTTAACGCAGAAGTGTTTACAAAAAGTAACTATTTTATTTTATAGATTTTCTTGCAGTGCAGTGGCGAAATACCCATATAGGATTTTTTGGAGAGATGAATCCGCCACATAGGTATAGACATTTTTTAAAAACTTAAAATTAATTATAGTCTTTTTTATGTTTTGCTATAAATAAAGTATTACTGCATTTTTTTATTTCTACTTATTTCTTAAGAAAACTATTTTTAATTAGAAAAGACATAGAGCTGATGATGAAACAAATCACAGAAAAGTGGAAGTTCTAAGAGGAGACGTTTGGATTAACGTACGATGGATGGATGTCATAGTTGGCGACATCGTCAAAGTGGTAAACAACACTTTTTTTCCAGCCGACTTAGTGTTACTTTCGTCCAGGTAGAAATATTTAATCGATGGACGTTTATATATTTTTTTTAATTTGAATACATTTTTAGCGAACCCCAAAGCATGAGTTTTATCGAAACGGCTAATTTGGACGGCGAAACTAATTTAAAAATTCGCCAAGCTCTGCCTAGCACATCAAAATTGACAGCGATACATGAGTTGAAGCAATTAAGCGGCACGTTAGAGTGTGAGCCGCCCAATAGGCACTTATATGAATTCAACGGCGTATTGAAGGAATACAATAAACCGTAAGTTCTTTCTTTGCTTACAGTATATCATAGATTAATATTACACTATCAAAAGGGGTACCCTTGACCGATATTATAGTATTACCGATAGTTTCTTTATTTTTGTTTTTCCATAAAGTAATTTATTTTAAGGAATACAACTAATACAAAATTTAAAAGGAATTATTTTTAGATATTAGATAGGGACTGACTATAATTGAACGTTTTATTTTTAGACAAGCATAATTGGCTTGTCATTAATATTAGAGAGAAATTGAGCAGTTAATTCATTCATTTATATTTCAAAATCATTTCCGATTTAATATTCTTAAAGCCATACTTTTTAAAGTATTGCTACTCCTTATAAACGCACTAAACTAATATATTATACGACTAAAAACTAAAATACACTATTTATAGTTCAAGAAAATAGGCCTTTATACCGGGTGCGTCTCAAAAGTGGCTCACCCCTATAACTTTTTTATTTTTTCAGTTACAAAAACGAGATTGGGTACGTTAGTATATGACATAAATTAGGATTGATTAACGTATTCAGTTGTTTTCAGTCACTTCCTATTTCATCGGAAATTACTACAACTTTTGATTTTTAAATGGTACCCTCGGTATTTTTTTACTTTATTCGATAGAAAATAACACTCTGAATAGAATGACATATCATATGTCAACTTTTGACATTTGCGCATATCGTTTATTTGAAATTATAACTTGCGGTTCGTAACGAAATTTTGACTCGAAATACCAAGTGTGTGATATTAAATTATTCGTAAAAAAATGTTTTTTTCTAAATATCTAATGAGCCACCCTCGGTCCATTTGAAAAAATTTAGATATGATTAAAAATACGATTTGAGCATTTTCAAACTAGCAAGAACAAAGACACTAAAAACATTAGACGATCAAATCTATTTTTCCAAGGCTCCTTGATTAAGAATTAGTGTTTTTAATATAGCCATGGTAATTGAATTTTAAAATAGACTTGCTTTTAAGTGAAAATGTCAAAAGTTCACATATGTATGATATGTCATTCTATTCAGAATATCATTTTCTGTCGAATAAAGTAAAACAATACCGAGGATGCTATTTAAAAATCAAAAGTTGTAGTCATTTCCGGTGAAACAGGAAGTGATCAAAGACAATTGAATACGTCAATCAATCCTAATTTATGTCATATATTAATATAGCAAATATCGTTTTTTTATATGAAAAAATAAAAAAGTTATAGGGGGTGGGCCAATTTTGAGACGCACCCGGTATACGAAGTTTTGGTAAAAACTTAAATTTTTGATATAAGTTACTTTGAAAGATCTAAAAACGAAGTGTGAAAGATTTTTTTTTAATTCACCTCCGAGAAGGGGTGAAATAAATAAATAAAATAATTTTTTCGAAATTTCGGAGTAACTAGAAAAAAAAGTTCAAATAAAAGTTGTGGAGCGTCAAATTTTATATAAAAATTATCTCTATTTTTTTTGCTCAAATCAAAATTAACTCCAGATAGAGTGGCTAGAAGCTAGGGGATGATAGTAGAAATTTAAAAAATATATATAAGTTGTTGAAAAATTTGTATATTTAACATTCTTATTCAATTTGTTTGGCAAATTATAAATTTCAATTAAGATTTTTTAAATTCACCCTGAGAAGGAGTGAAAAATATAAAGTGTTTTTTTCCAAATTTGAGAGAAATGGTTAGGACTTATATATATAAAGCGGGGGTCCTACAGCTTCTGCCGCATCCCGCATTTCGACCTCCATATTGCTCGATTTTGCTATTTTTCCTGTTTAATAGCTCTGTCTCTCATGTACTGGTCTACTCCATCTAACCACGTAGTTGTAGGTCTTCCTCTTTTCCTTGTGCTTTGGGGACGATACTCCATTGCCCTTTTTGGCCATCTTTCCTCTCCCATTCTTTTTACGTGCCCATACCATAGTAGCTGTCTCGATTCGATGTTGTCGGTGCTGGTATATATTCGCCTTGTTCTTTGCCTGATCTCCTCATTTCTAATGTGCTCCATCCTTGATATTCGACATGCTCTTCTGAGAAAGTCCATCTCCACTGACTCGACCATCCTTCTTTCTTTTGCTGTAAATTGCCAGCATTCGGCACCGTATGTTAAAATTGGCTCTACGATTGCTTTGTAAATCCTTGGCTTTGTTTGGATGGATGTTTTATTTGACCACAGGAGAGGGTTTAAAAGACCGATTACTTTCTTACCTTGTTGAGCTCTGCTATGTATATCTTTCTTGGAGTTCCCTTCTTCAGATATAATACTTCCTAAATATTTATATTCGCTACACCTTTTAATTTCATGTATGTGTAGTTCAGGATCTTCAGTTTGTTCTTCTCCTACTTTCAGGTATTCGGTTTTTGTGAGGTTGATATTGAGTCCCCATCTATCGTATTCTTCATCAAGTTTCGTGAACATATAGTCGGCATCCTCCTCACAGCCTGCAACAATAACTTGGTCGTCTGCAAAGAACAAGGTCGATAGACAGTGGTTGTCAATCTCTATTCCCATAGCTCTACTCTTCCTTCTCCAGTTTTTCAATGCCTCCTGGATATATATTTTAAATAAGGTAGGTGATAAACTGCACCCCTGTCTGAGGCCTTTTGATGTCAGGAAGGATTCCGATAGGAACTTCCCCTGTCTGATCATACTTTTTGGATTTTTGTACATATTCCAGATTGCATTGATATATGTTTTACTCACATTTGACTCAACCAAGATTTCAAATAATTTCTTCAAAGGCACCATGTCATAGGCTTTCTCTAAATCTATAAATACCAGATGCGTGTCCAAATTTCGAGCTCTCCTTTTTTCAATTATTTGTTGTAACACAAATATGTTGTCTGTACAGGAACGCCCACCGCGGAAACCACCTTGTTCTTCTATTTCTTCAAAGCTCTCTTCTACTCTCTCTTTTAATATCCTGCCATACAACCTTCCCATTGAGCTTGTCAAACTAATGCCTCTGTAGTTGCTACATCTTTTTTTGTCTCCTTTCTTAAAACATAGAGCTGATGTACGCCAGATTCCAGTCTTCAGGAATGTTGTCGATTTTTATCAGGCATCTGTTGAAGATATCAGCTAGTATTTCCAATAATATATCGTGTTGCTGCTTTATTAGCTCAATGAAAATGTTTCCCGGCCCTGCGGCTTTTCCATTTTTTGAGTTCTTCAATGCTTTCTTTATCTCGTTTACACTTATCATCTATATTTTTTGCGTTTTTCAAAGCTGGCACTTCTAGTTTGAATTCTATCCTGTTTTCTGTCAGTAACTGTTTGTAATGGTCTTCCCACTTTTCCATGGTTATAAGTTCTAATTTACTGTTTTGATTTCCGTCTCTTCTAAGGTTCCTTATTGTCTTCCACGCTTCTGACATCTTGTACCTCCCATATATCTTTCCACTCTCTCACATTTGGTTTCCCACATTTTGTTTTTGCTTTTAGATACTTCGCGTTTAACCATTCTATTTAATCTTACATATTCTTCTCTGTTCTGGTCGCTGTGGGTACTAAGCCATTTCTGGTAGGATCGCTTTTTTTCTTCTATAAGTTTTTTTAAGTTTTCAGACCACCATTCTGGTTTTTCCGCCATTTGCTTATCTTGTTGCCCTAACGCTTCTTCAACCCTAACGCAACCTTCAGCCCTAACGCTTTAGCCCTAACCTAAGCCCTAACGCTTTACAACCTAACCTAACTGAAGAAGATGAAGACGGTTAGGACTTACTGATTGAAATACAAACCACCGATTTAGATGACTAAGCCGGTATATTAATTTATAATAATGTCTTTGTAGTCATGAACCTTTGGGTCCAGACCAAATTCTACTCAGGGGAGCCATGTTGCGTAATACCGCTTGGATTTTTGGTTTAGTAATTTACACTGGTCACGAAACAAAACTAATGCGTAACTCCACCAAGGCCCCTTTGAAAAGGTCAACCATAGATAAAATGACAAACATTCAAATTTTGCTGTTATTTGGACTGTTATTCATCATGTGTTTGATTTGCACAGTATTTAATGTGATTTGGACAAGTGCCAATGGAACAAATCATTTTTATATTGGATTACAAGGTCAGGGTTTTATCGATTTCGATTTGATGGAATATACTTATATTTATTTTAAATTTCTAGATACTGAAAATGTTTTATACACTTTCTTGACTTTTTTGATTTTATTCAACAATCTTATTCCCATATCTCTACAAGTAACGTTAGAAGTAGTAAGATTCATACAAGTAAGTGTTGAACAATACCACATAGTTTATATTGAACGAATTTTACCATAATATGAGTCTAATGAAGTATTCTGTTTATACAAGTCTTAAATAAGGACAAATATTTTTAGAGGTAATATAGTTTTTAATAATCGGTAATATCCTTTTTTTCCCCAGAAACACGCCAATGAATTTTTTTTCGCGAAAAAAAAAATGATAATTGGAATTTTTTTAAATTCACTTTTGGAAAAATTTTTAGTTAAAAAATATAATTTCTAGATAATATGGCACCATAGGTAGTAGATTAAATTTACAAGAAAGAAAATCCAGAGAAGATCCACTGGTTCCGAAAATTTAAGCAAAAAATCATTTTTTTCAAATTTTCAAGTAAAATAACTCGATTTTTTGGACTTATTTGAGAAACGGTTAAAAGAAAATATGTTTATTTTACCGAGATCTACCAGTCCTGAAAATATTTGCATTTATTTAAGACTCACCCTGTAGAATTGAAGACATTTTGCTTTTTCATTTTTGTTTTTCATATTTTATCAATAATAGTGTTTAGTATCAGACGTGTTTGTGCTGAAACTTTATTAAACTAATTCGTGTTCAGCAATGTTTAATTTTGTAAGATTTTAATGCTTATTAAATTTTAAACAGTACTGGAAATTAATTAACATTGTCATTGAGGAGAACATTATTGTCCAAATAGTTTGGAATATGTTTGTTGTTGTTTAATGTTCTTATTTTTTTTTGTCAATCACAGTTATATAAATATACTGATTAAGTTTTATATTAATATGCGAATCATAGTCTATTGAATTGTGCAACTCTCGACAAACTATAGTAAAAAATATTGACACAAATAGTAATGTGTCAAGATTAATTTTCACTTTTACATATTGATTTTAGATATACATACATGATAATTAAAAAATCTTTTTGGTTTTATACCAGAGTTAATTTTAATGTAAAAACATCCTTGAATACTTCATTATAATTAAACATCTTACACATTGTAAACAAAAATTACTTTTAGGCTATATTTATAAATACTGATATAGAGATGTATCATGCAGAAACTGATACACCAGCTATGGCTAGAACGTCCAATTTAAATGAAGAACTTGGGCAGGTGAAATATATTTTTTCAGATAAAACGGGCACCTTAACCAGAAATATTATGGAATTTAAGAGGTGTGCTGTTGGACACGAAATTTATAGACCAGGAGATACGCCTGATGATTCGTTACTAGTACAAGTAAGTAACAGACCTGCCAATTACAAACAACATTTAACGTATTTTTTAATAATTTATGCTTTCTTTTCAATGATGTTCCTCAATATATAGTGGAGTGCCTTAAGCCTCTTATGGGATACAAACCTCGAAATTCCTTTACTGTGAACGAATTATTATAAAACGTTTTGCATTGTATTGTTAATAAGATATATTACAAAGTTTACCTATTTAAATTCGTTGCTTTCACTTTAGTATTTAAATAAACACACATATACAAAAGCATACATACAAGATGGTTTCGTGTTCCGAAAAAGCTCCGTATTAGGATTTCTATTTGAGATTTTGACTCCAAACCTTTTAGAAAATATGTGTTTGATGGTAGATCACATTTCAAAGAGTCAAAAAAATGTTTACACTTAAGTTTTAATTTTTCAAATGAAATGCTTTATATTTGTGCAGTGAATTTCGATTCCAAAAATACCTTAATACCATAGAGTATACTGAGTGGTTTCTGAATTATGACCACATCCATGAGGACGTCAATCTAGACGTCCAGGAACCTTCGTATGAGAACTTCTTATCGCTAAGAAACCGCCGTTTGCGAGCTTTTCAAATTTATAATTAATTGCACCTAAAGAACGTACATATTAACTAACGGACTATAAGAAGAAAACTAAATGAATCAAATCTTATGCCAAGAAGGTCTGCTTCGGGACCACTAGATCTGTTGACTAGGACTGAAAGCAAAGGCATGATTTTAATGTAAAAATTACAAAAAAATGTTAGTGTCTTCTTCGAAAGCAAATATCTCCAACAAAAATAAAGTTAATGAGAAGAACCGAAAAACAAACTATCAAAAAAGGATGTATCTAGAGGATAAATTGATTTTTAAATTTCTTGCTGTTTTAACATATTCTACAGGGTGTTTCAAACTTCCACCAAAATATCAACATTTTGTTTTCCCTCGTATAATTAACAGATGGAAAGTTTCATTTTGAATTTAGAAAGAGATACTAAAAAGTCAAATAATCTGGCTACATACTGCTTAAAAAGTCATCAAAATCGGCCCACTATAACAAAATATCTTAAACTTTAAAATACTTCAAAGTTTTAAGGTGCTCATTTTTCTAATGAAAATCCTTTAATTTTTACTAGAATCCGAAAATAAATTAATATATAGGGTGTTCCTTTACAAAAATCACAACTTTGATGTGTAACTTTTTTAAATAGACCTACATAAGCCCACAAAATTTCACTTTAATACAACTTTTGTTCTCCTTGCAAAAATCGCGTCGTATATGACGCGCCACCCTGTATAATTCGATTTCAATCAAAATTTTCAATGATAAGCAGAATAGGTATAACTTAAAAATTAGATTCATTTATTTCAATAAATTTACTTAAACTTATTAAAAAAATCAAAATAAAAAAAATAAAAGCAACGAAAAAAATGGGTAAACATTTTAGTATTTTATCGATAAAACACAATACAGAAGGTTTCACATTAATATATTCACAGTAATTGAATTTCGAGCTAAAAGTCTATGGGCACTCCACTAATAATAGCGTAGTAGTTTTTAAATTATACTTTTTTAGCATTTGAAAGAGAAACATAAAAACGCCGAATTGATCAAAGATCTTCTCATTTTACTGTCAGTCTGTCATACGGTAATTCCTGAAAAAATGCCTGACGGTACTATGGTTTACCACGCCGCTTCTCCCGATGAAAGAGCTTTGGTAAATGGCGCTGCTAAGTTTGGTTATGTATTTGAAAGTAGGACGCCCGATTACGTGGATATTATGGCATTAGGTGTTAAAGAACGGCATGTATTAAATTAACTAATAACATTTATATTACTAAAAAGGCAATTTTAGTTATGAAGTATTGACAGTATTAGAATTTACATCAGCTAGAAAGCGGATGTCTGTAATTGTAAAGGACCCTCAAGGCAAAATTAAGCTTTATTGTAAAGGCGCCGATACTGTGATATATGAAAGGTAAAGTAAATTTTATAAAATCGATTATTAAAGTAAGCGATCGTTAATTTTAGACTAGATAATAATGCGTCATCTAGAGAATACAAAGAGCTACTGCTGCAACATTTAGAATCATTTGCAACGGAAGGTTTGCGAACATTATGCTGCGCTGTCACGGAATTAAAGAAAGGCGATTACGACGATTGGAAACAGTCATATCACCGAGCTTGTTGCAGTATTCAACATAGGGAAGGTAATCTAAATTTGGATAGATGAATATCTGTTACAGATTCCGTATCTCCTTATATTTAAGTACGTAAAGACGACAATATGACAATGTACCATCGCCTAGTACAAAGATCCGTCTATTATCTCTCTTCTGGTCGACAGAATCTTAACATGGCTTTGATTATCCTATCATCTCCAATGCCTATTAGATTGTGCACACGGGTCGTCGCAAACTCGAAGCGGAAGCGTCTCGAACTTGGAACAAATCTCCTTCCACTCTACTTCCTACGTAAATAATGGTAGGACGCGGAGTCGAAGTGATTGTTACTATTATTTACCTACAAAGGTAGAGTAGAGGGAGATTCGCTCGGGGTTGGAGACGCTTCCGCTTCAAAAGCCAGACGGCTCGTGTGCGGATGCTCTTAAGCTGACAATATTCTGTTGGTAGACCCACTTCAGTTTTGACAGATTCTGTCTCTTCCTGTTTATCAGGTCTGTCATGAATTTAAGCGAGTATTTTACTTTTCTGAACTCTTTCGCCTGCCCTAGTAAAGATTTTTGTTAGCCATCTAGATTCTAAAATATACTTACAATATAAATACCTTTTTATTGTTTCTTCTTCTTCTTCTCGTCTGTTAACTCTCGAAAGGGTACGGTGTCATCATGTCCCAATTGCTCGGATCGTTGTTCTCCATCCCTTTCTATCTTGAGCGGCTATAGAAGCCTCTTGCAGGCCGTGACCAATAATTTCTTTGGTTTGGTCCACCCAGCGCCAGCGCTTCAGAGATTTTCGTCTTGATCGTTTGCCATTGATCTTCCCTTCGATTATGATTTTTTCCAGTCCATCTGTTCTTCTCGAAATGTGCCTGAAGTACCTAAGGTATGACTGGTTTACTTTGGTTGAAAGTCTTGTGTTAACTTTCAACCGCCTTAGAATTGATACGTTGGTCCGATGTTCTGTGTATGAAATTCGCAGCATTCTTCTGTAGGCCTACATTTCGAAAGCATCTATTTTTCGTCTGTAGTTTTCAGAGCCCAGGTCTCAGATGTATAAGCAAGAGAAAAGATCAATGTGTTTACTAATTTTAATTTGTTGCGCTGGGATATTGCAGTCTTTCCATAATATTGTTTCTTATTATAGAGAAAATCGAGGAAGCTGCTAATTTGATAGAAAGAAAACTAAAACTTATCGGCGCCACCGCTATAGAAGACAAATTACAAGAAGGTGTACCTGAAACTATAGCCACATTACTTAAAGCAGATATAAATATTTGGGTACTTACGGGAGACAAACAGGAAACAGCAATTAATATTGGATATTCGTGCAAGTTGATATCTCAGGGCATGCAAATTATTATACTGAATGAGGATGGATTAGATGTAAGTAATGACATATAAACGACGTAAAACTATCGTGAACTATTTGGTGAAATATACCGATTTGGTCATCGAAACTGCGTGATCTGGGTTTTAACGTGTAAAATAGTGATGTAGACAGATTAAATAAAAAAGAGATAAAAGTTAGGTTGATGCATTTCTTCTATGCGGTATTGCCGGATTTGCATCAAAATTTCAAACCGCACAAGTAGTTGTTTACGAAAAATGTTGCATCTAGGGTTGGAACTGTCTTTTTTCATAATTAGGGGTTCACAATTTTACTGCAGATGTAATATATTCTTAAACAACTGTCTGACAAAAATGAACAGTATTGAATAGGTATGCCGCTTTTTATTTTGGCAATATGGTATGCCGCTTTTTATTTTGTCTCTCTGTCTGTCAACTGGTTGTATATATTTATCTCTGTCGTATGCATTAAAATACAGACCACAGAAATAAAATGACCAAACCTAGTATATGAGGATATTCTTTTTTCTGCTAATAATTTTCTTTTCTTTTAAGAGTGTTAGAGAAGCAATTCTGAGACATTGTGATGAATTGGGTGAAAATTTAGAAAAGCAGAATGAAATTGCTTTAGTTATCGATGGCAAAACACTTAAATATGCGTTAACGTGTGAGCTACGAACAGACTTTCTAAAGTTATGCATATCTTGCAAGGTGAGTTTATTCTTGTAACTAGGTATACTCTTTATTTGTTATAAAAGAAAAAAACATTGGAATGCTAGCATTTCATTTGATATTATTAGAACTACCAAAGTTAAGTAATTAATTAACTCATTCTTTAACAGGTTGTCGTATGCTGTCGGGTATCGCCAATGCAAAAAGCCGAAGTTGTCGAATATGTCACGAAACACACTCAATCTGTCACTCTGGCAATCGGCGATGGGGCTAATGACGTTGCCATGATTCAAAAAGCCCACGTCGGAGTTGGCATATCGGGAGTAGAAGGGTTACAAGCGGCCTGTGCCAGTGATTATAGCATAGCACAGTTCAGATTTTTATTGCGGTAATATTTATAACATTACACAAAATCTTCAATGCTAACGTATTTTTTAATAGGTTATTGTTGGTGCACGGCGCTTGGAACTACTCTAGAATGTGCAAGCTGATTTTGTATAGTTTTTACAAAAATATCTGTCTCTATGTTATTGAATTGTGGTTCGCTATCTATTCTGGATGGTCGGGGCAGATTGTTTTTGAAAGATGGTCTATAGGTAATCTAATCTTAGGGTCTAGCAAAAAAATATATATTATTTTTAAAATTTTCAGGTTTATATAATGTGCTTTTTACTGCGTTACCGCCGTTGGCGATGGGACTGTTTGACAGGAGTTGTAGCGCTGAGAGGATGATGTCATTTCCGGAGTTGTACAAGCCGTCTCAAAGCGGTGAACTATTTAATATAAAAGTATTTTGGTTATGGATTATAAACTCGTTAGTGCATTCGGCGTTATTATTTTGGCTGCCTATGTTGGCAGCGCGTTATGATATATTATGGATAAGCGGAAAAGAAGGAGGGTATTTAGTGTTTGGAAATTGTGTTTACACCGTAAGTACGCTCTAAAAATTCTAAGTAAAAATTAATACTATTTTCTTTTAGTATGTTGTCGTCACTGTTTGTTTGAAAGCTGGTTTGATAACAAATTATTGGCCTTGGCCGACACATTGTGCTATATGGGGATCAATAGTTCTATGGTTTTTGTTTGTCATAATTTATAGGTAAGTTTTTTATTTGTTTTTTTTTTTTGTTCTTTTGTTTGTATAGTTTTTAGTTAAGGATATTATTGCATAAGCAATAAACTGCTGAGATTTTAAATCTAGTATTATTTTAATATACTTAAAATGTTTAATTCTTTACTGGTGTTCTAATAAACTTAGATGAATCATGATTGTTTTATTTTAACTTATTCTAATATAACTTTATTTTTAGTTTGTTTTGGCCTACAATTCCAATCGGTAGTGTCATGTGCGGGATGTACATCATGTTATTCTCCACGGCTGTATTTTGGCTGGGATTGTTTGCGATACCTGTGATCACAATTGTACCAGACTTTGTAACCAAAGTGTAAGTTTAATTTCTTACATTTAATTTAGAATTTTAACTGAATAATAATTTTCAACCCAGAATTATGGGTACTGTATTTAAGACTCCAACAGATATAATAAGAGAAAGTGAAATAAGAAAGAGGGATCCAGATGTGTACAGGGGGGACTCGAAAAATTCGTAAGTATATTGCTTTCTATGGATTTCATTTTATAAAATCCCTATTGATAATATTGTATATTCCTTTTAATTTTGGAATTATTGCTACTAGATCATGAATCAAAATATCTGTTCTTAACAAAAGCCAATAGAGTGGAATAACGCGCTACTTATTAAAAGAGACTAAACTACTTTTAGAAACAGAAAGTAATGGATATGGTATAGGAACATGTATACTCAAAAAGTAACGAATTGGTAAACCTTTTCACTAGTGAAACAAAAAAGTGGGTTTCCGTTTGAAACAAATGATTTATGATAGTTTTTTAATCGCTCAATTCCATGACAGCTACCGCCATTATTATATGACATTTAACAATTTAATTTTTGAAAAAGATTGATAATAACTAAATTTGACTTTTAGTCTTTACAAATTTTTTTTGACAGGTTTGAATATTTTTTTTTCTCAAAAACGGTTAATGTTAGGTGTAGAGTGTTTAACATCAATATTCATAGAATCTTCTCATTTAAAAATAATAAACTCATTTAAAATAAGAAAGTTGCTGTCAACTTCCGCTATTTCCGGAAGTGCCGCCATATTGAAAATATTTTTTATCGATAGATCTCTTTGTAAAACAATGATGTGCAAAAAATCTTCGATTTAGATATTGTGGTTCTCTAGAAACTTCTAATGCACGCCCAGCCTGGAACACCCTGTATAACAACCTATAATATATAAGAGTAATTTTATACACAACCATTTTGAAATTTGAAGGGAATATACAATATTTTATTTTATGTTCTGATGTTCTCAATAATGTTATCTACGCATGTTAGACATTGGTACTGGAGTGCTTTGATTGTTTAGAAAAGTTGGTGTTGATAAAAAACTATATTATGTCAGAAAGATATAGTTTTGTAAATTAACTTTTAGTTTGTATTTCTTTCTTACATAAAATAGTTTCACTTATTTTTGTACTAACCTATTTGTATTTTTTTATATTTTTGTAACTTAAAAGTATTCAACATTTTAACGATTTTTGAGTGTGAGGCACGCACACAGCGCACTCTAGCGTCAGCCCAGCGACAACGGTTAGTTCTAGTTATCATCTTTGTCGTCGTTTTGATATTGATCTGTGTGGGATTGTGGCATAGATTGTGGTCTTCGTGTTTAGCTAACTAACTACATTCAGTTCGAACTCTTTTATTTTTTACGATAGAAATAATGCTATGAAATACTGGATGCGGAAACGCCAAAAAACCGTTAGACCTCAGAAGATCGTAGTGGTACAGGCCTAGTAGACGAACCGTTCTGGACAATTTCAAGTTTCTCGATCAAGATATAAAAATTAAATTTATTTTGTGCTTTTTTATACAGGCAAACCTCGTATTATGAACATTTCATTCGATTTTAGAGTAAAACTATCTTTCTTAGACATTTTTATTAAGCTATTATATAACGAAAAGTTCTAGAGATCCAAATATATAGGAACTCTAGGGGGATATTTATAATAATATTACCGTTGATTGAAAGATTTGGGAAGATACGCAACCTAATGGGCGAATTCGTGACGAGGCTGATTTGATTTCCTCTTACGTCTCAAGTGCTGTACGATGGAGACACCAATCGTTCTGCGGCCAACGCATAAAACACTTATTTTCTCTAATTCGGCCAGCGAAAGTCTATCGAAGACGGTGTGGAACTGAAAGCGACAGTGTTGCCATATTAAAACGTGTAATATCTGTCATATGTTTGACGAATATATTTTTGGATGAAAAATCCGTGTTTATGTATTGAAAATTTAGTTGTGTCAAACATAGAATAAACAACAAAAATAAATATTCTTTTATAGGTACTGAATATGTCTTATAACCAAAAGATGTCGTTTAGTTGGTATGAAAATGACGATTATTGACATTTACCATATTATTTTACATATGAAATAACAGCGATCTTTATTTTCAAGCCAACTCCGACGCCGTTCTTTGTTTAATCATGTAATATTATATTAAATTGTTTAATGATAGAAAATCTGTATTAACGTACTATACCCAAAATCCGTAAATCTACGGATTAATCCGTAGTTCTGGCAACACTGTCTCCGGTAACCAGCCACTCTGTCGACTGACAGTAGAACTACGTTACAATATTCTTTATCCGCTGCGCTGTAAACGACCGCGTCTGTAAAATCAGCGCGCAGCGGCGCAGAGATAAATTAAATCTCAGACATCATGACGGTGATGCCAGCTACATCTCGCACAGATTTTGTGCTACGAAATCGCCCATAAAGTTGCGCATCTTATTTCTTCAATCAACATGATATTACATAAAAAATGTTTTGTTAAAGTAATTAAATTACAGTAAAATATAAAATTAAATAAAGATTTAAAAAAATCGTCCTACAAAATACTACGGAATTTCTTTATTTTACAAGAAAAGGAATGATTTCGCCATTGTTTATGCAGTTCAAAAATGTTAATATTACTGATAATATCCTTAAGCCTCTATAGTCCATCCAGCAAGAGAATATATCATATAGCAGTAAAGTTAGAAATTAATATAGTCATCTCTTAAAGAGGTAGAAGTTCGTAAATCGAGGTTTACCTGTATTTAGTTTGGATCCAAAATCATATTTGATATGTTAATTCAATTAAATTATTTGATTTACTCATAAAATACTATTTTTATTAGAATATTTATAGAGTTTATTAGAAGAAAATCATAAGGAATATTGTTAAGGTTCTGTATAGGCTGTGTAAATTAAGGGACCAAGGTAGTGCTTCCGTAGATACTAACTAATACTTACAGAATGTTAAGGCAATTACATTAATTATTCTACAGGGTGTCAGATAATTTTCCTAATTCGATAGTGAAATAAAAAGTTAATAACTAAAACTAGGTATATTAAAATAATATCGTCCCATTGCTGCCAAAACTCACTAACTTACTTTTTATTACTTCCGAGAAAAATGCGTCTAAAGATGAATTGCATTGCATAAAGATGTTATAGTTAGTAACTATTCGGTATTAAAATAAAACATAAATAGCCAGAAATCGTAGTTAATGACATTTGCAATCGATTCTCCGATTCAAACCATAGTTAGTGATTGAATTTGGTTGTTCGGAAAAATGTTAGTTAGTGACTTTTGGCAGCAATAGGACGATATAGTTTTAGTTAAAGTAAATCCAAGATTTGTTTGTTTTTGAATTTATTACACATAATTGATAAGCAAATTAGGGTAATGGATATATTCTCATAACATTCTGTATTAAGTTATACGAGTATATACAGGGTGATAAAAATATTAATCACGCACAAATATATTAACATTAAAAATAAGTCTGTTTCTGTATACTAATATGGTTTTATATTAGTAGAAATACCCTAATATTTTTGTATACTTTAAACTAACAATCCTGAAATGTAAAAATTATGATACAGACAAAGCTTCTGAATGTTATATTACGACAAGAATCATTTTTACAAACATTTCTCGTTTTATTAGGCGTTATAGATTTTATATTATATCAATATTACATTATTTAATAATTGGTGATTGAATTGCACTTAACATTACATCATCTTTTTAAATAATTAGATTTCTTTATTTTTTAACAACATTGAGAGAAACTGACAAAATTGGGTTTCTTTTTTACAATACCAATTTTTAATAAAAAAATGTATTTCTGCAAAAAAAATGAGGAGCTTTGACTGTATATAGTGTATATACATATATGGAATTTACTAAATATTAGCACAAAATTAGAACAATCAATTTTGCATATATTTTTCAAAGCAGTTTTCCAGTTGTTCTAAGACTATTGTCGTTCCAAAGTTTAGCTTTTATCCCAGAAATATAGTTATATAATATACAAATCTGTATTTAGTAGTTATGTAGTTTTTTCTTGTTCTCGTAGAGTGTAAAATTGAATGTCAAACAAATTGGTTGATGTCCAGAATGGAAAATTTATTTATTAAACATACAGGGTGTCCTACTTAAGATGGATACAAGCCAATATCTTAGTTGTTTGTTGAGCGATCTTTTATTTTCTTTGGCAGGAGGCTGTATGGCTATAAGACGTACATTTTGCCCAGGGTAACAAATGCGATATCTCATAGACGTACGTTAATAAATTCTCAAGATACTTAAGTTCTAATTTTGATAAATATTGATATAGAGTGTGTTATTAAAATAACACATTTTTTTATTATTTTTTAGGTACTTACGACGCCACTGGATAAACAACTGGTTTATTATCAATAACCAATTATAACCAATTATCAATTAATAATCGATTTAAGTTTTCAGATAGCTTCCATAATAATTAAGATACGATACAAAAAAAATAAATATTTTCAATTTATTTTGTTTACTTTAAAAAATTGTTTTTTAAGTTTGCTAATACAAATGAATAAAATGAGTTACAAAAATAATTTAAAAACCCAGTTTTCAATGGAATCTGAAATATGATTTTTATTCGTTTTATTGAGGAATATTTAAAAAAATAAAAAATAGTTATTTAAAACAATCACTATTAACTTTGAAAAATATTATGCTCTAAACAAAGATTTATAAAACTATAACGAACTTATATCTTTATCTGCAAACTTAAATCGATTATTAATTGATAATTGGTTATAATGGGTTATTGATAATAAACCATTTGTTTATCCAGCGGCGTCGTAAGTACTTAAAAAAAATAATAAAAATAAAAATGTCTTATTTTAATAACACACCCTGTATCAATATTTATCAAAATTAGAACGTAAGTATCTTGGGTAAGGAGGATTCAATATAATTTATCAGATTTGAAATAAATACTGTCCTAGGGTAGTTTACTCTTGACTCGAAAAATATCAAACCCCATTAAAACGTACGTCTATGAGGTATCGCATTTCTTACCCTGGGCAAAATGTACGTCTTATAGCCATACAGCCTCCTGCCAAAAATGAAAAAGATCGCTCAAAAAACAAACAAGATATTGGCTTGTATCCATCTTAAGTGGGAGACCCTGTATATGATTAACATATATGTATTTGATATTCAGAATATTCGTATTCCATTAATACCAAATATAATGTAAATTCTTTAACATTAAATGTTCCGCGTTTTGAAATACATACACCTTAATATTTAATACTCCTATTATATTTGCATGTTTCTACTGATATTTACTAAAACTTTCTATGTTACTGATAAATTGTTATTTTTAACCCAAATGTCATAGCATGGTAAGAATCATAGATATTTAAAAGTAATTCAGATAATACTTCCAGATACTATTTTTTGCTGATTCAGTAAAAAACAAATTATAGTAATTCCAATTATGACCAATATGCTATTTTCAATATAATTTAACTTATTTTATTACTTTTAAAATTCTATGGTCAAAATTCACATTTTTCATTTTTACGAAATAAATTAACTAACATTAGCAGTATACCTATCTACTGTATGATCGAAAAAAACACGGCGTCCAGTTGGCTTGGAAGTGACGATCTATGACATTCCCTATATAATTTTACCTATAAAATGATCATGTCATAGTTCATGATCAAATCATTTCATAGCCATCGCTGACGCCATTTTTTTGGATCATGCTGTGTACCGCGTTATAAAAAATGCAAATCGTTTTTAATCACGAGTAGAAATGCTGCTTTTCGTACATAACCACATTTATGAATTAGCTTGAATTAAAAATGTGAATTATATCATTTTATTGTATTGATTCATTGTTGTCCTAGTATAATAATTTATTTTGTTTGCAAGACCCATGCATGCGTTGGAGCAGTTTGCGATATGTAAGTATGAATTTCGGTATACTTCCTATATTTTTTTTAACACACTACCTAGTGGCAAAATATATCTTTGCTACAAAAAGACTGAGAAAAATAATATTCTGTGGTTCAAAAAGATTAATTTCCATATAAAATACTATAATCAAATGGATGTATATAGGGATGCATGTTTTGTTGCTGTCTGCTTTATTGCTTTAAACGTTTCAATTGTAATGCATGCAATATGTTAATTAGAAATTTTTACACAAAAATTTGTCAGTTGCAATACAATTCAGTCAGGGTAGAAAATTTTGAAACTTAATTCTTATTAACTATTGGCTTGGTGCATTCTCCGCTGGTCGGCTTCATCGGAGAATAGTGCAAACAGCGGACTAAATAAATACACGAGTTTAAATACGAATACATGAAAAATTTGTTATATAATTATTCTAAAAGTGCTAGAAAGTATAATTTATGAGAATTCTAAAAATAAAAAAGTAAATATTTTGATATCTTCAGAAGGTCTAACTTGTATTACAATTTATTATTGAAGCTCGTAAAACTTTTTAGATGAGTTCAACTACGGTAGCGAGCATAGTTTAAAGTTTTAAGTTTTTTTAGTTATAACGAAAATTTTTAAAGGTAGGTACATTACTGTAATTTTAGAAGAAATTTATAAAAAATTTAAGCACTAGTTGATTAAAAAAAAATATACCATTAATATTGCAAGTTATGCTTTACAAATCGGTATGATGTGAAGCTATAAAATGTTGTTCCAGGAGAGTTGAGTTATTGAATGCTATTGCATCCAACAACCATGTAATTACGCTTTCCTTTAAGTGTTAACATTTTTTCAATTTTATTAACATTTGAAATTTTCACAACACAACGCGACATCCAGTTCGGTTTATTTTGCACTTAAGTTTTACTACCTGAAACAGCGTTACATCACACAAACCTCGTACCTGAATGTTTTATAGTTTCAATAACTGCCCTAGTAAAAACTAAAATACTTAAATATTCTGTCAAAGCCACGATTTTAATATTATTTTAACGGGATTGCATGAAATACTTTAGTCGGGCGCTTCTAATTTCTGCCGTATCGAGCGCTGCGGTCGGAATTTTTAAAATCAACTGAAATGCACCAAGCCTATAATTTTCAATTATTGTAAGTTTTGATAAATTGTGTCAAAAGTTCTAAAACACAAAACTAACATTGGTACTGTTGCTCGTACACTGCACCCTGCACGTAACATAAGTTTGATTTGACATGAGCTTTCTATCTGGTAATTTGTGCAAGATATAAAAATATGTAACGGAGTGGTTCGATTGGAAATGGTTATTGCAGACTGTCTGAGACTGCGAGGTTGCTGAAAAACGTCTTCTTCAGGCGCACGCCCAGAATAGAGCAAGACGTTGAACTGGCCCGTAAGTAACCTGCACTTATATCCATAAAGTTAGTTTTAATTTTTTTTTATCTAAGTCTTTCAGTATCATTCTTACAAAATCTTTAAATTTTGGTTGACTCGCTGTTTAGCCGGTTGTGGTTTTGTCCTTGGATTAAATATAGGAAAGATACAGCATACCTGGTTTAAAACTTCCCCAATATACAGGGTCCGGCAATACTGCGTGGGACATCTGTAGCTCCTAAAATAAAAACTTGGGATTTTTGTTTAAGTGCCAACCTAAAGTATGTACTAGGATGTATTTCAGGAAAAAAATTTTAACTTCTATTTAAAATAAATAAACCCAATTTTAGTGGAGGCATTTATTATTAGATACTAGGTAATACCTATTATTAGATACTAGGTAATAGGTATTAGATTTTCTAATATTTAAGTAAATATCCCAAACATATAAAAAAACGGCGGAAATGTATATTTTTTCACTCAGTAGTTTTAGACAGGTACGGATGAAAAGTTATTAATCCTGAACCACTTAAAAATATGGAGGTGGCGCACCCGACAAGTACGAGTCATATTGACATCGAAATCAAATTTCTGATGTGAAAAAACTCCCAAACATCAATTTTCATGCAAACATCGACATTAATTCAGAAAGTATTTGGATAAAATCGAAATAAAAATAAAACTTCTACACCCTGTATCTACAAAACTAAGCATTTTAGGACATAAATTTATACGAACTTTTTTACTTATTTTTATCTGCAGAAGTTTTCTTCTTCTTTTTATCTTCTGAAGTTTTGCCGAATACAATTCGGATCATCCTGTGTAGGGTATTTTCTTGCATTTTCGCTTTTATCTATAACTTGTCAAAACTTGACACAGGATACACGATATACACGGTTGTTCACCACATACGACACGGAGTATTGTAGCTAAACCATTAGATTTTTACAAATTGTTAGTTTTGGGTTCGTTGAAGGACTATTAGAGCTACAATTTAAAAATATTTTTACAAGATACAGAGTGTCCCAAATAAATTTTATTAAGGTTTATCACACTTAGGTTTATCACACTTAAACCTTAATGTTTTTGAAATATTTTCAGTTTTGTGAAATTGCAGTAAACATTTTAAGGTTTCATTTTTCCAAGGTTATCAAAGTTTTTAATACTAAATATTTACTGAAGTTTATTTATTGATCAGTTATTGTGTTGGAATAATCAAAATAATACTACCTCATACAGAGTGACTAAAAAGTTCTTTTAAATAATTTCTAGCTTTAAATGGCAATAACTTGTTTAATTTAAATAGAACACCCTGTATATTTTAGGAAAATCAGATGCACAATTTAATTGTCTATCAAATTGTATTATACCAATTTTTACCTATCCCTTCAAGTTTTCGTAGAAAATGCATTTTCTTATAATTTAGACCTCATTTATCAATATACCCATGGAATATTGACATTTTAGATTGTTTTTAAAGCAACAAATGTACAAAATGTACAGGTGCTAAAAACAATAATATTACTAGCCCATTTGTATACAAAAAGAAAACTATTTAAATCTCTTTATAAAAGAGTATTATTAATTAAATATACCACCACATTAATTAAATATACCACCATTATGTCCGCCCAAATATTAATTAATCACATACTTAATTGTGTTAGTTAATAAATTATTCTAAATAAATGTGGATTTGAATCAGAAATCATTATAATAATAAATTATGAAAATAAACGTCTCTGCTGTTATAAATAAGCATTCGTGAAAAAATGAAATAAAAGTTTTAAGATGTTACTTCTTACCACATTGTCTAATACACATACAAAACTAAGTTTTTTAGTATTTCGAGCAATTATTATTAATAACTTCAATTCAGCAATCAGTCAATTAATATAGTTTGAATACTGGAATCATATTAATTGGTCCTCTTTAACAAATATTTAAACAGTTTTTTTGAGTTTTTTAATGAAATAAACGAACTATATCTGCAATATTAGTATAAGTACTCTTTGAAAATTTGTTACATCTTTAAAAATAATTTAAAACGTCAATATTCCATGGGTATATTGATAAATGAGGTCGAAATTATAAAAATGCATTTTCTACAAAAACTTGAAGAGATAGATAAAAATGGTATAATAGAATTTGATAAACAATTAAATTGTGCATCTGATTCTCATAAAATATACAGGGTGTTCCATTTAAATTAAACAAGTTATTGCCGTTTAAATCTAATAATTATTTAAAAAAAAATTGGACACTCTGTATAAGGTAGTATAATTTTTATTATTGCAACACAAAATTTAGTAAATAGAAATACTTCAGTACAATATTTGGTTTTAAAAACTGAAATACGCCTAGAGAAATGAAGCATTAAAATTATTACTGTATTTTGACAAAAACTTAAATATTTCAAAAACGGTAAGGTTTAATTGTGATAAACCTTAATCAAATTTACCTTTATTTTAATCGTAGAAACTAAAAATGTAATAATATACAAGGTGTTCCATTTAAAAAATTACAACTTTGATATTTTTTATTTATTTGGGACACACTACAATATTTTTAAATGGTAGCTCTAATAGTCCTGCAATGAACCCAAAACTTACAATTTGTAAAAATCTATTCGTTTAGCTACAATACTCCGTGTCGTATGTGGTGAACAACCCTTTATACATTATATTTTTATACGTTTTAAATAAAATTAGAACGGCACTGAATGAATTTAAGTTACCTATGTATATTAATATTCCATTGCGATCCACCTAGGTTTGTTGCTAAAAGGCAATAATCAAGTGTTTATTATGCAAATAAAAATTTCAATGTTATCGTGGCAGGGTGCTGTATCTTTCAGTATATTTGATCTAGTTAACTTATTTTTATTAGTTATTTATGTGGTTTACATTAGAGATGAGCAGAAAATCGCAAACTGCGATTTAATCGCAGCGATTGTAAATTCGCAATCGCAACCTGTGATTCCTTTCCATAGCAAACTGCGACTTGCGATTGAAACATATATCTGCCGATTTTGGATTTTTAGGCAACCAATATTACACCAGTTGCGATTTGCAATCGCAGTGGGCACGCGAACGAAGAGCTGCGAACGAAAATCACAGCATTGCGATTTTCGTTTGCACCGGCGGCGTTGCATCGACACGGCACTGAGAAGCCGAACGATGAGCTGCGAACGAAAATCGCAATATTGCGATTCTCGTACGCCCCGGCCGGCGGCGGCGCGTCTTCAACACGGCAGTGGACAGGCGAACGAGGAGCTGAACGAAAATCGCAGCTCATCCCAGCATTGCGATTGCGATTTTCGTTGGCACCGGCGCGGCATCGGGAGTGGGCACGCCAACGAAGAGCGGCGATTGCGATTTTCGTTCGCAGCTCCCAACACATCGGCCTAGACTAGATCGCAAAATCACATTCGCAATCAGGGCCCCGTAATTTTTATGAAGCGTTGGAAAATAGGCTTATATATGTTTATATACCGCATAATATATATAATTTATTAGTTTTAAATTTTGATAATAGTTTCAGATTTATAATATAATTATGGATTGAGAAGGTTAAAAAATTCTTATTTTCGGTTATGACTAATTATAGTTACAGTTGCTCCCAGGTAATGATTCAGGTAAAATGATTCATAAGGACAGTTTTGGATTCAAATTATAAAAAATTATCTATTTTTATCCTTTATTGACTAGAAGATATAGAACACGGAAAAGAAACAGCTCTTTTATTTATTATATTTTGTTATATATTATATTATTATAAATATTTTTATAACAATCCATAATATAATATAATTTTCTGAATATACTAACAGTTGTGGATCGGCTGCTATGTTAATTTAAATACATCCTTTACAATCAGTTTCTTCATTTTAGAGAAATTGTAAATATAATAAAATGTGATATTGTCCTTTTATTTATCTAAAAGTTCGAAAGTTTGCACTTGCACTGGACGGGCCGTATCAAAGCCGTCGGCGTCGGCTTCTTTTGAGTTACATATAAAGAAAATATTTTAAAAGAAAACAAGATAAAATAAACAGTTTTTTTTCTAGTTATCTGAATTAAGGTTGGCGGCAACCTTTTTTATAATAAATTTTTCGTTACCAAACCTACTGTCTAAAAGCACATTCGAATATTTTGAACATTTTATGTATTTTTAATTTCCCTTTTAAATTTATGCGGTCTGTTCTAATCAAAAATGTTTAAAAAAAAGAAACTAAGTTATTTGTGGATTTTTTTTTTGGTAGGTAATTGATGAAAATTTTAAGTGCAATATGTGTGCAGCAAAAATATCATAAAAAACACGCACTACAAATTTTAAAAGGCACATAGCATCGAAACACCCAACAGTTTCTTATTAAAAAAAAAATATTCCGCTATTTATTCTGTTTTTTATTAGAAATTTTGGGATTGAGCTTCCCAGATTACAGCGTACCAATTCAAAAAAATATCAAAATCGCAATCGCAGGTTACAGTCGCAGCGATTTATAAATCACAATCGCAGTTTCAACTGCGATTGGAAAATCGCAGTTTTGCTCATCTCTAGTTTACATATCACAAATTAGGAATTTATTCAAATTGCACATTTATATTTTATTATTTTTGTAAATCCACTAGAATATTATTCTTATTTTTTATATATTTTATATATACAGGGTTGTTCACCACATACGACACGGAGTATTGTAGCTAAACTATTAGATTTTTACAAATTGTAAGTTTTGAATTCGTTGAAAGACTATTAAGCGGCCCATACATTATCAAATTAATTGCGCAACGCAGGCTGTTGCGCAACGAGTTGCCAATGTATGGTAGTGTTTGATGCGTTGCGCAATTGCTTGATGAGTTTCAAGAATGTTTGAATTCTTTTGTGCAACAGGACTGTTTGCGCAACGCGTTGTGTAGTGTATGTGTGTGTTGCGCTTCGTTGTGCAATATTTTAGTTCTTTCATCCAAATTCTTTGTTTTCTTTTTCGTTTTTTGGTATTATTGACATCATCTAGGGTATATACGATAATAATTGACGCAATGACAATTGAGGACATGATTGTTTCTCAAACAATGCACAAATGTTAATAAAAAGTTTGAACAAAATTTTACTAAGTGCATGGGTGAGGCAGTTGTACAACGGAACGTTGCGCATCGTTTTGTTGCGCAACTTGTTTGATAGTGTATGGACCGCTGAATCAGTTGTGCAACGCAGCGTTGCGCATCGCTTTGTTGAGCAATTTGTTTGATAATGTATGGGCCGATTTAGAGCTACGATTTAAAAATATTTTTTAGATATTAGTCCTTCAACGAACCCAAAACTTACAATTTGTAAAAATCTAATCGGTTAGCTACAATACTCGTGTCGTAATATATTATTCACTTTCGGAACATTATAAAATTTTAATTACTCCCTACACCACCGGAATGTGCATAATAACGTGATAATTTGCATCATATAATGGGGTTCTAACTGTTAAAAAATAAATCAATGTATTGGCTATTACGCTTTGTGTAAAATTGCAATAATAACACAACACTACATTTAAAAAATCACATTAGAATTTTAGTTGTTATGACTAACTACCAATAATCTTTGAATGTTTTATCTATAGTAGTAATTTCGTGATAACACTTTCATACATATTATAGGCTTATACGTAAATTAGTTACGCCAGTTTAGATATTCGCTTTTAGAGAATCGCTGGGGAATTTACGATTCATTCTTTCTTTAAATATTTTTCGAATTACGTCAGCCACATATAAATTTCGAATATTACCCATCAAATCGATAATAATTAATAATAAATTATTATAATAATAATAATTTTTTTAAAGAAAAATGATTGTAATGCAATAATAAAAAAATAACATGGGTGATTTTTTATAAATTAAATTAATTATAATTAATCTAAGTTTTATTATAATTTACTAGTTTTTTTTGACCCCAGTGACACTAATATTTATTGCATTTGTACATAATTTACTATGTATATACTTAGTTGTAGATATATCCTGTTTATTTTGTTTTTATTGTTATAAATTATATTTTTACACTTGTTAGTTATTCTTTCGCACGCAAAGCGACTATTTGTTTATTATAATGTTTTATTTATTAAATATATAACCTAATAAACTTTAAAATACTGTTATACTAACCACATTTTAACATTTTCCAATATATGGTTTATGAGAATTTATTTGTAGTAAAGGTTTTAATAAGTATGTTTATTTAACAAAAATTATTCTTTAGTGTTATATCTCATGTCCCCCTATTAAGGAAGTCAGTGAATATAGAACCATATGTTTATATATACCGGGTGCGTCTCATAAGCGGCTCACCCATAAATAATATATTATAGGGGTGTATATATAAATAATAAATTAATATATTAAAATACATTTTTGTTTTAAGTAAAAATTCAAAAGTTGACATATGATATGTCATTTTAATCAGAGTATTCTATCGAAAAACAAAATACAAAGTAACAAAATACAAAGTAACAAAATACCCAGGGTGCCATTTAAATATCAAAAGTTGTGGTCATAGGGGTGAGCCGTTATAGGGGTGAGCCACTTTTGAGACGCACCCGGTACGATGTTTTTATACAATATCTATCGTATGTTCGAATGAAAATGATACAGTGGACATAGATATAGTATTTCAGTTTAAAGTTTCCTATGCCTGTCACTAAATCTTGTTGACAGCTGACTATGTGTCCTGGTTAAACTTCACAACTACTGTGTAAAACAGTTGTCTGGGCTGAAACTTAAGTCTGTCAAGGATACAAAAGGTAATTTTGACAGACGACATTCAAAAATAAAGAAAATACTAAATAAATCAATTGTTTGAATTAAAATGATAGACGAGAATAATTCTCACTTGTCGTCATTGAAATTATTATATATTTTATATAACCAATAGCGCCCATACACCGAAAGATTCGGCCGTCGGACCCGACTGCGGATTTGGCCTGTCACGTACCAAAAATCTCGTATTTTGGTCGGCGGACTAGGCCTGCCGATTAGACCTTTGCCCGATTAAAAATTCTTGTTTGGGATAAAATTCGACATTTTATAGCAGTTTTTATATACACACATGCCCAAAATTGTTGCATATATCGTTTAAAAATATACGCAAAGGAATTTAAAGAATCTGTTTTATACATAGTTTTGATAATCTGTAATAAACAATTTTTTGTTAAAATGGATATGGAAAACAGTGATTATCGTTCAGATCCAATATTATTACAAATTCTTGCACATTTCGATTTGTGGTCTCTTGGGTTTCAGAAGAAATGTGACCAATGTTTTGGCCTTAAAATACCTAGAAACATTATTTCACAGTTTAATAGAGTCAGAATAATAATACTGTCTCAACAGGGTACCGGCAAGTTGCAATAGCTGAAATTGTAGGAGTTAACCAAGGTGATGTTTCGCGAATATTAAAAAAATTCAGGGAGACAAACGAGGTTACAGACCGGCCTGGAAGAGGTACAAAAGAATGTTACTACTGCTGTGCAAGACCGTCAAATATCCCTAATGGTACGACGCAATCCCCTGCTTTCTAGTACTGCTCCTAAAAATGAGTTAGCTCGCCTTGAAGGAGTAAATGTTTCAAGAAAGACCATAGCAAGAAGACTCTATGACAGGGGATTACATTTAAGGAGGCCTCTACGTGTTCCGAAGCTTAATTTACAGCACAAAATTACGCGACTACAATGGGCTGAGGAGATGAGAGCAAATGGACCTAATTGGAATTTCGTCATGTTTAGTGATGAAACAAGAATATGCCTAGTGTCAGACTCGCGACGAACTTTGGTCTGGAGAGCATCCGGAAGACGAGCACGCTTGAATGCAGCTCAACCCCGTGTCCCGTTTCAAGGCGGAAAGCATTATGGTATGGGCAGGTATAATGCACGGAGCTCGAACTCCTCTTGTTTTTATTGATGGCACAATGACAGGTGCCTCATATCTTAGAGACGTTTTAGAGCCTATTGTGTGTCCATTTCGAGGGGCAGTGGGGGATGAATTTGTTTACATGGACGACAATGCTTCTCTCCATCGCACTTAGCGGTTCGCGAATTTTGCGAGGAAGAGGGTATAAGGAAAACTGTGGTGGCCATCAATGTCTCCAGATATGAATGTGATCGAGCATGCTTGGGACATGCTAAAACGCCATATTGCCAAAAGGAATGATCCCCCCCCCCCCGTACCTTAAATGAATTGAAAATTGCCGCGCGAAACATGGGAAGCCATTCCTCAACATCTTCTGGACAACTTAATTGAGAGCATGCCACGTCGTCTCACAGCTTGCATTGAGGTTCGAGGAGGCAATGCAGACTATTAGTTTATTGAAGTAATTAAAATTGTTTTCAATATTTCCTGTTTAAAATGAAATTTGTTTTTGTTGATTTTCACTCATTGTGAAATAAAATTATAATAACAGCCTGGTTGGACTTAGATTTTTAATTTTATATTAGTTAGTCGTCTAGTAAGCCGATATGTCCAAAAATATAAAAAGAATCATATTAGGTACAAAATAAAATAAAAATATCGTTATATGCAATACTTTTGGCCATGTGTGTAGATAAATTCTTATCTGAATAAAAACTGCCGCTTAGAAAAAAGGAGCGTTACAAGTCAGCCGGCTTAATCCTTCGTTTTTTTAAATAAATCTAATCTCACAGAGCAAGTCCGCGGGCTTGGCCTGTGACAGGCTTAGTCCACCAAAAGCTTGGCCTGCCACAAACTTGGTCTAGCCCACAAAGACAAAGATTTCATCCGCATGCCAAATCTTTTGGTGTCTCGGGGGCTATTGTAATTTTAAAGTTTGACTTACCACTGTCAAAATTTTCATCAATTAAATGATATAAACTCGAACTGAAATGCTTTGTCCACTAACATTTGCCACGTTATTTTCATTATATCACCACACTATATGACAAAATTATACAATAGATCTTTACTACAATACTATTTATCTTGACAGATGGCTTCGCATTTTCACAAGAAGAGGGAGGTGCTGTTTCTCAAACGGACGTTATCAGAGCTTATGACACAAACATACCTAAACCCGATGGAATGTAAATTCTTAAGGTAGAGAAAGAAAATGCAGAACCAGAGTAGGAATACTAAATTTAAAAGAATCAAATTATTAAGACCTATTTATTATTGTTGAAAAAAATCACCAAAGCTTGAAAGGCTGGGTTTAGATATTTATTGAAGAGTATTAAGAAATTGAATGATGTTTATATGGTTTAGGATGTCAGTGTATGAATGAAAATATATTTACGTTAAGCTTCATTGAGACCCTCGCAGTTAGTAGAATAAATCAGTGGTTCCAATTACACTTTATACTTTTTAGTTTACGATCATTCACAATGTCTAAAAAACACAATTAAAATTAACAGAATATCCTAGCAACAGCTTGAGGTAGTCAGTTTGGTTTGGTTTGGTTAGGTTGTAGTAGGTAGAGTTGTATCTATAGAGAAAGCCTAATATTTAGCTTATAAAACAATAAGCTTTTGATTTCTAACCACAATTTCTCTTTACGGATGATAATAAAAAGCCAAAATGACATTACTCACAAATTTTGAAGTATAATTAGTGGAAAAGTTCAAAATTTGTTTACCACTAATGATGCTCTCAGTGCTTACATTGATACAAGAGGAACAAACTTCTACGCTAATTGAAACCACTAACTTATTCCACTAATTGCGAAGTTTAAGAATGAAGCTTTAAGCTAAATCAAGAATTTATTTAAATTAATATTATATTATTAATATACAAGTTATTATTATCACAAAATTGCACTTATTTTGAAGTTCACAAAAAGTTATGTTTTAAACTATGGGATATTTACGGAATGAAGTTTTTCATTAAGCTTGATCTTTTTTAATTGAAAAAGATGGACGTTAGTGAAAACATCTTATACAACAAACAGGTCATTTCAAAAACATGTTTGCCTACTTTTTATTCATCTACTGGTACCTGTCAAATAACAAATTCTATTTAATTATGATATTAGAAAATTATTATTGATATAATCAAAAATCTTGAGCATTATTACTTAAACATAACGTATATCAGATAAAGTTGAACTGAAGTTCTAGATAGTGACATGATCAAGTGTTTCTGTAATAGCTATAGTAAATTTCAAAGTAAAATATATTTTATTGGCGTTGATATAAAGCTAATGTTTTTGAAGTGCCCTGTATATTTCAATTTTCCATGTGCCTTTCACATATTTAGTTTTTATATATCTAATATACACATATATATTGAAAATGTTTGATATCAAAAGTAGATTATATTTGGGAAATGCATATTTATGAAGTAACACTACTGGCTGCACTAATACAATTGACTAACAGACGTCTTATGACTACGTAGAAAAAATACTATAAGTTATCTGGAAACAATCATATTTAGGAATGTGATTTTATATTGTTACTTTGTAAATAAAACTTAGTTTTCATATCCGTATAACTGTTTTATATGATTGCCTTTGTTAGGAAATATTCAAAGAAAACTATTGACTTACCAATCAAAAAGGTTGAACTTTAGTTATGTATTTACAGAGTTTCCAAGATTACCTATGTCAGAATATTACTATCGTATTAATTACAGGGTTTGTTAAGATAAAAAAAAGTAGAGTAGAATTAAAAGTTTAAAAAAATATATTGTTTCTAATTTCTGTTCTATTTTATATTGGTAACTCTATAACTGCGTCAATATTTTTTAACTAACGATGATTAAAGGAAAACCTGTTAAAATATAGTTTTCTATCCAGGGTATAAATAAATGAGGGTAAGAAATTACTTTTTGAAAAATAAAATTCATTTTTTTTCGTGAAAAATTTTTGATTTGCCTACGTAACAATACCTACCCTACAAAGTTGTTTGATTATACAGGGTGTATTTGTATAAACAGTTTTACCAGGCAAAGTCACATGTCATATTACTAGATCTCTACTTGTAGTTGAAAATATTGACAAGCAATTACAATTTTTTTAGTTTAATTCATGTGAAGTTCTAATGTAACTACTAATGCATTTTATTTTATTGCTTAAGTGCTTTATACGAAACTAGTATTTTTAGAAAACGGCAAATCTAAAATACTATAAAATAAAACTAATAAAAGATATCACCTGCTTTTTTAGACTTACTTATTAAGCCCTGTACAGCTTTCTCTGGCAATCTATTAAATCGGGTTTAAACTAAGTTGAAGTCTGATAGATACATAGACTTAGGTGTCAAAGAATTAAGCTAAATAAGAATGTTTAGTGGTATATGTTTGTGATGAATTATGTAAGGTTTTAGATTCACTATAATAGATACCGTATGATCGAGAAAAAACGGCGTCAGCGATGGCTATGGAATGAAGATCGCTGTCATTTTATATGTAAATTTATATGGGAAATGTCATCGATGTTCATTTCCCAGCCAACTGGACGCCGTTTTTTTTTCGATCATACGGTATTTTAGAGTGAAAACAACTTATCGTACCTCTGTTAAAGAATTATTGTATATATTAAAAAAAGTGTATTTATATATGTATGTAGGTACAAAGACAATTTACGATTCTCTATATAATCTGTTAGTGAATATTAATATTTTTTGATTACTCTATTGTAACACGATTCCAAAAATTAAAATATACCGCTAAATCTTTTGTTTTACTATTTTGGGAAATATTGTTTTTTTCAAATCGAAAATACACTTTTTTGAATTAGTATACTTTGAAATTGTGTAGTAAAAATCTGCTGGAATACAAAACATATTTTTTTTGTTATGATTATATAAAATGCATCACAATACTATAATTTGGTTATTTTTAAATATTTTTTAATTAAAAATATTATATAATATAAGAGGAACTAAATAGTTTTTTATTTTATTTTTAATCTTTAAATGTTTTAGTGAATATTACTAGGTAGGGTTACCTAAGAATATATTTCTAGCTGAAATTACAGCTTATCAAAGTTTGAATATGGGAGATGCAACATTTATTGGCGGTAACTTTGATATTTTTGTATAGGAACTGTCACTCCAGAGTAAAAAATGAATACCTTCATATCGTGGCGGTAAATTCAAGTAACGCAACAATTGTAGGCAAATTGATAGTTCGACAACTGTTTGAATTAAATTGTTTATCGATTTTAAACAAACTAAACTAAAAACTAAGCGTCAAAATCCAGAAGCTTATGAACGGTTACGTTGTCAGGATTATACATATATTATATGGAATTATATTTTAGAAAACTAGCATATTAGAAAGAATAAATGTATATTTTAATAATACAAGTATTAGCTAGTCATTTATCATCGTAAATGTTTAAATCTATATATTTACTTTCTATTTAAATTCACGTTACCTAGTTTTGTAATTTTCTTTATCTTTAATACATTGATGTAAATTATTCAACCAAAATATTCAACGAAAATTATTTAATTATTTGTGAAGTATTTTATATATTTTATATCAAACTTTAGTTTTGTCTGAATTAAAGTAACTGTTTTGTTATTCCCCTTTATTTCTATTTTTTCGATGCTAAATTGTGATCAGTGTGACTACTTATTTAGCTACGCAATGACTTTTGGTTAAGATTCCTTAAATTGTTGAAAATAAATGTGGTATTTATTTGTTTCAAGTGTGTTTTTAATTTATACCTTTCCCCTTAACAGATTTTCCATGAAAAACAATAATTTAAAACATACTGCAGTGGCGTAGTAAACATTACTAAAATTAATTGATCGCACAAAAATAAGTAATTCTAAATTTTATAAAATATCTGTTTTTTTACTAAAACTAAATCTCGGAAATAACGAGGTAAGCCCCGAACTAAGTCCTAACGACTTTTTTACTTTTCCAAAAATTAAAAATAAACTGCGTTGGTCAAAGGTTCCAGTCCCCACAAGATGTAGTCAGCACCTTAAAAAACGCAATTTTGGAAGTACCAACAAACGAGTAGAATAATTGCTTTCAGAACTGATTTCGTGGGATGCAAAAATGCATTTCTCCTCGTGGAGAATACTTTAAAAAACAATTGTGTTTAAAAGTTATCTACTTTTTTACTACCTCTATATGCAAAATATAAAACACAACTTTTAATTTTTAACACTATGAACACAACCCTTGTGTGTTTATAATTAGCATGAGTTAGGAAATATTATGATGTATCAAAAACGATGAAAATGTAGATGGTAGGTCCAGCAGTGGATATTACACTAAAATAAATGTAAAGCTAGTGAAATTATATTGAAAGAATTATTTTTGGAAGCCAATTCTGTCAATATTTCCTCAAAACTGAACGAAAAATTATTTCACCTAATTGTATTAATTGTACTGTTTTGATAATAAAGTAACTTTATGTTGCATTCATCGACCTAACAAAAGCCTTCGACTCTTTGAACAGGGATGCACTTTGAGCAATTATGAAAAAGTTCGGAGTACCCAACAAATTTCTTACAGTGTGTAAAAGCCATCATGGATCACTGAACGATCCCTTCCTGACAAATACAGGAGTCAGGCAGGAATGTGTCTTAGCGCCTCTCCTATTCAACATATTCATGGCAGCGCTCTCCATTATAGTGGATAGCAAACTGTAGGAGAGGGGATTGGGCATTAGACACAGACACGACGGCGGTCTGTTCAACATAAAAAAACACGTACAAAATTCATCACAGAACTTCAATACGCTGATGATTGCGCTCTAATTGCAAACACGTTACAACAATTACAAGAAATGGTAAACACATATACCTGGGCATACGAGGCTTTGGGCCTTAAACTGAACATCGACAAAACCAAAATCATGTGCACTCCCCTGGAATATCACAATAATGCTATTAAAATTGGAGAAGAACTATTGGAATATGTAGCGGAATTCAATTACCTCGGCAGTTTGATTTCGGAAAAGGCCAATATCGACTCGGAAATTCAGCACTGGATTAGCAGTGCCTCAAGAGCATTCTGGAAATTAAAAGACAGGATTTTCTACAATCATGACTTGAGTACAAAAACGAAACTTGCAGTGTACCGAGCAATTCTAATCCCCACCTTGTTATATGGGAGCGAAACCTGGGTGCCGCATGCCGTACCGCCGACACATGAACGCATTAAACAAGTTGCAACGCAGAAATACCTTAGACAACTCTTAAGAATCCGGTGGTTCCATCATGTCTCAAACGTATCGGTCCTTGAAAAAGCTAACTGCGAGAGTATCGAAGTCATGGTTACAAAATCCCGTTTAAGATGGACTGGTCACGTATGCAGAATGCAAGAAAACCGCATACCAAAATCTCTGCTTTACGGTGAGCTTGCTTGGTAAGAGGAGGCCGGGTGGACAACACAAAAGGTACAAGGACATTTTCCACGAAAATATAAATGAGATTAACATGCAGAATGAGAGGGAAGAAGCAGCTCACAATAGAACTCAATGGAGAAGAATTGTAAACTCAGTTAACAGCGACAACCAAATAGTAAAGAGACACCAAAGCAATGAGATTTTTGAATGTCCAGAGTGCGGTAGGCAGATAACATCACGTATCGTTTATATTATTTTCGTTTTAATTGATGCTCACAGCTAGAATTTTTTTGCATTACAGCCGGTGCCGTTCAAAGCCTACTTATTTAAAGCGGGCGAATTTTTATATACTCTATATTTCGAAGAGAAATCGAGCAAAATATCAAGTGTGTTATATTTTTGGAAAGGTAATTTTAAATTATTTTCAATAAATTAAAAATATACAGGGTGTTCTATATAAAAAATCAAATTTTCTGTTGATAATTCTTAAATTATCAATTTTAAAAAAATTATACTTAAACCATTAAATTCTACGTAAAAAGGTGCTTTGAAAATGTTTTCATATAAATACAAAATTTTCCATAGCAAAAAAGTTACAGCGATTTGTTAAAAATGCATATTTTTGAAAATCGCCCCGTAATTCCGAAACGGTAACAGATATCGATATGCGGTTTTCACCATCATGTTTTTGATAAAAATTGAGCTCCCGACACCGATATTAGTTTTTGTCTATCTCCTATAGAAAAGGGTGTTTCCATTTAAAAGCGTCTAATTTGACCCACCCTGTACATTTTTCTTATTATTTATAATAAATTAAATTAAAATTATTTTGGCAATGTTGTAACATAACCCTTAAAGCAAATTTTTTGTTAATAAATTTACTTCACTGCACTGTAAGTGTTGTATGAATTTGTTAAAATATACCAATTTTGAAGTGAAACTTCTTTACGCGCGATGGGAGTAAAAGTTCAAGGCCGTGACACACGAGCTCGCGAGAGGAAAAGTGGTAACGATCTTGGGCTCGTAACTCGGACCCTATGTGACTAGGGAGATGAAACTCGGAATGTAGATGGGGCTATTCGAAATGTATTTTTATGATATATTGACGACGTTTTATGCACTATGAAACCCCATCATCAATGGCGAAAAATGGTCCTATTTAAATGAAATTTGTTATGTCGATAGATCGGACGTGTCACTGGGACAGTTAATTTTGACGTAAGAAACGTCAAAAGTTGATGTCGTCCGATCGTGACAAAATTTGGTGGGTAGGCTATGTGAGCGACGGTGCACACGGTGCCACCCTGCAAAGTTGGATACGACGTTTCGCTTATATCTTCATCGGGGTGAGACGGACAGAAGTTTCACTTCACATAGTGCACGCACAATTTTTTTTAAATATTGCAAGTTTTATTTAATGTCTGTCTATGGAAAGAAGCTTTTACAGCAGGTATGTAATTATAAATTTAAATTTTTAAAACTGATACGTATACTATAAGGAGCACACAGTTAAAATAACAACAATATTTCTAAAATAATTACGACCATTTTAAAAATTCCTTATAACTCTATATAAGCACGCGATAAGAAAACGCAGTTGCATTCTATCTAAAAATGCTTAAAATAGCTTTGATTTTAGTTATTGGCATATTGCTTTCAGTAGTTAGTGCAGGTTCAGATACTGGTAAATATTCCTTTTACTTTGCCTTTTACACATTTTTGCAATACAATACAGGGTATCCCACAAATAAGTGCAAGTGTTTTAACTGGTAGTCTAGTTCAACCCCAGAAACACGCCTATGAGGTTTTTTTCGCAATTTTTTTTTTTGAAAATTCGGGATTTTTTGAAAAAAAATTTGGAATTTTTTATAGTTTTTAGTTAAAAAACATAATTTCTTGATAATATGGCAACATAGGTAGTAGATTAAATTTACAAGAAAGAAAATCCAGAAAATATCCAGTGGTTCTCAAAATTTTGGCAATTTTTTTGGGGGGAGGGGGGAATTTTCACAGTAAAATAACTCCGTTATTTTGGACCTATTTGAAAAACGATAAAGAGAAAATATGTTTCTTTTATCGAGATCTACCACCCCTTAAAATACTTGCACTTATTTCTGGGTCTGGGACACTCTGTATTAAAGCAGATATCTGAAACCCCGTATTATCGAAGAAAATGGTGTCAGAGATGGCTATGAAATGAAGATTGCTGTCATTTTATATGTAAATGTATATGGGAAATGTCATCGATCGTCATTTCCCAGCCAACTGGACGCCGATTTTTTTCGATCATACAGTGCATAAACAATAACATTACATTTTTTCTAAAACTTTCTAAAAGTATTCTTATTAATAATAAACACCTAAAAAATAGATGAACAGTCAATCCTAGCCGTCTGAATAGAATCCATAAAATTCGTACAGTATAATCAAAAAGTTTTATGATCGAGCGTGCTTTCGACGATGACAGAATTACATTTCAAGTTGTTTAACTGTCAAAATATTTGCCCGCTTGATGATAGGGGATATTATTCATATGGTACATATCCATACTTGACTGAATGGGTTAAAGTTTTAAATTATTCAAATCTTTATTCAACATAAGATTATAATTCTGAACACATATTAATTTGTATTAATATGTAACAGACACAGCTAAATCTCACCAGGCTAGGAAGCATGTAGAATCCGAGAATCACCCTAAAGGTCGTCACTTGCATCACAAGAGTAATGAAGAAGATAAGCACAAGTCACATAAGGAGAGATACCATCATTTGTTGCATCGTAGCCCTCATGCCAAGCCTTTCAAACAAAGAAGTTCGAATCACTCAATTTGTGGATCCTATTGCTTCGATTTGCCCTTGTTTTCAGGTAATTTCCCCTTTAATTAGACAAGTAACTGCTTCTTTCTTAGGTCTGGGAAAAAAATTAACCAAAAAAATCCAATAATACCAATAAAATATAATACCAAATTAACCAAATAATACTTTATGGGTATTTCGCCACTGCACTCCAAGAACGTCAACGGTTTCTTGTAGACGTATCTGTTTTAAAAAAAGTAAAGTGTTCTCGAATATTTGAATTTAAATATTTTAAATAGTTTTTTTCTTTATTCTTTGTATTTTTTTTGCTTCTGACGACGGAAAGAGATAAACTTTCCGAAACGTTAAGCATTTTTTTCTTTGTTAGGCAAATTTGTATTACTGTAAACATAACTTCTGACAAGGAGTGTCCGTTTACGTTTAACGCAGAAGTGTTTACAAAAAATAAGTATTTTATTTTGTAGATTTTTCTTGCAGTGCAGTGGCGAAATACCCATAAAGGATTATTTTGGAGAGATGAATCCGCCACGATAGATATAGACATTTAAAAAAAAATATGGTTATGTAAATGAATTTAGGAGTCGTCTGTTAATTCTCGAATCGTTATGTTAATTCTTTCAATTTTAGTTGCTTCGATCTTCAATGGTAGTAAGGAACTTGAACTGATCTACAGTTGGTTACCCAAAATTCTCCCAGGAGCATTTGGAAACAGTTCTGCCAACATTTCTTCATGCATTATATCGACTAACAGTTCTACCAATGATTCTTCCATCGATGTAACCGTAGAACCAACGCTACCTATCAACAGTACCAATTGTACCAATTCGTCAATACCAACAATAGGAAATCCATTCCTAAATCTCACTGGAGAATATCCGATATTTTTTTTCTTAATTCAGAAGTTCGTAGGCTTCATATCTGATAATCGGGGAATTCAGGCTTTACTCCAAGAAAATTCACTATTTGCACTTTTTTATAAGAAATTTGTTACCATCATTAATTGTAAGTATTTTTTTAATTTGAATGTTGTTATTGTTTCTTAATAATTCATAATCATTTAGTTCAAAACAGAACAGCTATATTATCTCAAAATCTATTGACGCTCTTCGGTTATAATGGTACATTTAAAGGAAATTTGTTTGATTTGAATTACACTGACGGCCTGATATCTGGCTTTAATGCAAATGGAGCCATTAAGAAGATTGAACAAGGAATATCGTCTTTGTTTAATGTGTCAGGTAAATATAAAATTAGTGCTTTAAACAGGGTTACCTAGTGTTTCAAAATAGTTATTTAAATAAATAAATAAATGCCTTTATTGTCAAAAAATTTTTCAATTTGTGGACAAAGGTAAATTAACAAACAAAGTAAAAAAAAAAAGGTACACAAACAAACAAACAAAAGATAATACAAAACATTATACAAATAATGTTTTGTATTATCTTATATTTATTATTTATTTTTTATTTATTTATATTTATATTTATTATTTATTTATTTATGGTACTAGTGTGTTACATACAGGGTATTACATACAGGGTGGGCCACTGAAAACTTACAATGGCTATAATTTTTAAACCAAAAAAGATATCAAAAAAATAAAAAATACCGTTTCTATAATATCGAGGGGGAATAAAAAATGCTGAACGACTGTCATAAAAAAGAACGAAAAAAAATAGAGCCTAAAAATAAAACAAAAATGTCAAAACGTGTCAAAATCAATAGAATGAATTATTTTTGTATCCATGAACCATTGCGAGAAAAAAAAGCTGGTACAAAGAAATTTATTATAACTCTTAATGAAGACCTCATACACTTTCAGCAAGATGGAGCTCCTTCGCATTATTCTATTGTCACAAGGCGGTGGTTGGATAAATATTATCCAAGGCAATGGATTGGCAGAAGGGGTCTAATCGAGTGGCCGCCAAGGTCACCTGATCTCACTCCTTTAGACTTTTCCTTGTGGGGTTACACTAAATCCATAGTCTACAAGACAAAACCAGGTTCGTTGCAAGAATTGCGGCAGAGGAGAACTGAAGCATGTCGAAATATTCCGAGAGAAACTTTCCAAAAAGTGAGAGAAGAATTTGAAAATCGTTCGTATTTTTGTATGGAACAAAACGGCTGTCATTTTGAGCAATTATTAAAATAAATTATCATTTTAAATTTCTTTCAAATTGTCACACCTACATTTCTTGTCACTAACCAGTAATTAAATTGAAGTCTGTATGACCATCTTTTAGCAATTTCAATTAGCTTTCCAAAGAAGTGTCACAAGTGGGGTATCGCTATCTTGAGAATAGAAGTGAGGGGGTGCCACCTAGGGGTGGGTTGGGGTGGTTTGAGAAATACTTCATTTAGCTGGGTCCCAATTTGTAACTTATGCTGAAAAAATCATCTTTTTCATTAATGTCCACCTAATTGTTCGTGTAAGGGTAGTTTTTCAATTTCACCCTAAAAACTTTATGGTCATCATTTAGCATTTTTCATGAGTTTTCCAAAAAGACGCCACAAGTGGGGTGTTGCCATTTAAGATTTTCAAGTGAGTAGGGGTGCCTCCTAAGGGGTAGGTCGGGGTGGTTCAAAAAATACGTCATATATATTCCCCCCCCGATATTATAGAAACGGTATTTTTTATTTTTTTGATATCTTTTTTGGTTTAAAAATTATAGCCATTGTAAGTTTTCAGTGGCCCACCCTGTATAAATCACGTTGGGAAATGTGTATTTTATTATTATTTTTTTAAATGCCGAGAGGGCTAATTTTCACAAGTGACTTATATGTTATACACGCGAGTGCCATACAAAATTTTATCCAACAGCAGAACTGTTTCATGTCCAATCTCTAAAGAATAATTGATTTAAAAGGATCTACCAGTTCTACTTTCATTGTTGCGAATTAAATTATTAGGGTGCGTTTATGTTACTATGCAATATAGATGTGGGTTTTTTTGTTTTTTTTTGCAAATAATAAATAGCACTGACATTATGACGTCATTTGGATAAATCGCGATTTTTTAACGATAAAATAGTGAATTATCAACCAGCAAGTCAGATTTTAAAGAAAAATAATTCAGGAAGATCTTCTGTAAGGAATTATTAACCAGGCAGGGGCGGCTACAGCACAAATACTGCCAGACAAGTCTCGTAGCGTATATGATAGGGAATTCATAACACCACTAGTTTGTTATAACGTCAAAAACTCACGCGTGTGTTACTATTTATTTTATATGCATGTATACATATGAGTAATGTCTGTATAAGTAGTGGTTGTTGGATAAAAGACTTTTTATCGGGTTTTGAATTTAAGATTTTCATAAATATTTTTTACAATATGCCTGGAACAGCGGTGTAGCGTGGCGTCAATACAAGGGGTTGTAATAAGTAACTGCAATTAATATTTTACCAATAAAATTAAGTTTTTTTCTTCTTTTTTAAAGTTTAGTCTTTAATTTTATAATTAAAAAAATTAATTATACAAAAAATGTAACAGGTTAAAAAGATAATCAAACCAATTTAAAAAAAGAACTAAAGCTAAGGTAAAAAACAAAGCTGTTAAGGTATATCTATTAGATAAAATAGTAAACAAGGTCAACAAAAAAGTTTATTGAGTTTATTACAACTACATAACCAGTGTTCACTTTTACTAAGGACTGGCAAAGGTTAGTCTTGGGTCGAGATTTCCGTATGTAAGAAGAGTACAATGGCGTTTATAATGTACTGAACAAAGAGAGGACAGTAAACACGTTGTACTGAACAAAGAGAGGACAGCCAAACGTATGAAATAAACCGAGAAACTGTGCACATCGCTAAGAGACGTGAAAGGGGATATAGCAGATTTGTCGCAGTTGACCGGTCGACCCAATCAATACCTCTGTCAGTACTTAAAGTTCTAGGGAAAGGTGTACGTCATGCGCTCAGCTTCACGATTTAATTACGTCTCGTGATACTTGATTTGTTTATTTATTAACGAGTCGTGTAATTTTCCCTATAGCTTAAATTTTTTTAAGTGCAAGCTAGAAACACTTGCATTTTTGGTAAAAATAAGTGGAATTGAGTGGGTGTTCGATAGTGGCCGCGCTATTAGAACTCTGAATTCAAAAATCGATATCTCGAAATCTATTAGAAATAATAGATAATAGACTGTAGTTTTTTCAAGAACTTTGTTAATATTTCTGCTCTATTTTCTTTGTAGACAGTATGTGAAAATCTTTATCAATAAAAAAATTACACGATTGCTGAAAATTGCTATGCTCTAAAAGTAAATGGATGGATTGTTTACAATTTTTGAATGGAAAAAACAACCTTATCGAATTTTTCTTATGTAAACATATTGTAAAATATCCCATCTTGAAGATAAAAAAGTTTCAATATCTAGTGGTTCTTGAGTTATGGCCTGTTAATATGTTAAAAAGTTGAGTTTTTAAATTATCGCGATTACTGACGTTTTCTCGTTATAAAAAATGACACCCTAACGATATCCTTATAATTCCATTTCAGACGCTCAGAAACATTACAAACCTAATGATTTTATCTAGTTATCTCTTGAAAAAAAAGTATTTTAAAAATAAGCGGTTTGCGATCGTGATTTTACTTTACTTGATAGGGAAAGGCGTATTGGCAACGCCGCAACAGCACACCGTCGCGCGTCGCGTCGGTCGGTCGCATTTCTCTCACTCCGACTTAATAAGATCCCTATGCGATTTACTACCACACATGTAAATACCGACCCAAATGTAACAGTTGCCAGCACGGTATAAACATTTTCACTAAAATGACGAATACACGATTTTAACTTAGTATTAATATTCAAAATATGCTTTGGAGGTCCTTCTTCAACAGTTTTTAATTTTTCTGAATACACCATAGAACTGAAGGATGGTTGCAAAATTATTTCTATTTTAGAATATTTTTTTATTTTATACCGCTAACGAGATGTTTTTAACTCGCTTCAAAAATTAATAAAATTAGACAAAAATAATAAATATGTTTTTTTCCAGGTTTGCTAAATGGAGATCTAACGTTATAAGACAGGGTTCATTAAATATGACCGTGATCTTGGATCAATGGAACATAACATCAAATAAAACAAAACTGTTTACACTATAATTTACAAAATATACTAATGTTTACTCCCTTTTTTCTTTATGAAAAAGAATGTGACATTGTTCTATCGTCAAACAAATTATAATAAAAAGGCATATTAAAGTAATTTCATATATGGTCTTTATCGATTTTCTATTTCCTCGCTAACCTTGTTCCCCCATTAGTTCGAATTTAACGTGTCTTTGTTTTAGGGTATGAGGTCATTTTAATATTTCTGTTTATATTAATTATAATATTGTATAAGTAACTATTCGATTATATAACTGTTTTCATTTAATCGAATAATATAATTAAGTGATTAAATAAAGTGTAAATTCTGAAGCAATTGTAAATTGTAAAAGAATAAGACATTAAATGAAATGAAGTAATTTATATAGTCTTGTCTACTTACTTACTACTATAATTATTATTAAAGTAGAAATTATGAAAAAGAGTTTTAAAAAAATCGTGTTTGCACTATGTGCGCATATTTGAAGTGAATCTTCTTACTAACAGCTATTTAATTGAAGGAATTGCAGGACATGTTTGAAAAAGTTTAGTAAATGTTGAAAAAATAGAAAAAAAAATTGATAAGTAATTTGATTTCACTTTCACAAAATTTGTATTAAAACGACCGTCTGTCTATCTGAGGACTCTAATTAAGAAAAATCCTGACGATTTCGTCCATTTAGAGGCATTGGTTCGAAATGTCGAACTTCAGGGCGTCATCCTGAAGCCCGTTCCCAATTATGCCGAAATCGACCCACATTTTTCTTCAATATCAAATCCTTAGTCCCACCCTGATGAAGATGTAAACAAATCGTCGAATCCAACTTTGCAGGGTAGGACCGTGTACACCGTGGCTCACATAGCCTACCCACCAAAGTTGGTCGCTATCAGGCGACATCAACTTATGACGTTTCTTACATCAAAACTAACTGTCTCTCTAACACGTTTCGTCCACGGTCAAGTTGGCTTTGGACCAATATATAGACATACTAAATTTCATTTAAATCAGAAGACGATTTTTTCGCCATTGATGATAAAGTTTCATAGTGCACGAAACGTCGTCAAAATGTCATGAAAAATACATTTCGAAGAGCCCCATCTACATTCTGAGTTTCTGCCCCCTAGCTCACATAGGGCCCGAGATACGACGCTCCAAATTCGTTTCAACCTTTGCCCTGGCGAGCTCGTGTGTCACGGCCTTGAACTTTTACTCCCAGCGCGCGGGAAGAAGTTCACTTCAAAATTGGTATATTTTAATAAATACATGCAACACTTAAGGCAGGCGGCCACTGCGAGCGGAACTAAACTAAGCTAAGAATATAGAAAGAAACGATAACTAAACGAAAATAAGTTTCATCGGCCACTGGGAACGATTTTGGCTCAGTAGACACCTAAGTTAGCTGCGTTTTCGTATTGTATCTCTGCTATCATAGAACTAATCGCTGCGAAAAATTCGCTGGAACCTGTCATGAACTAAAACGAGCGAAACTAAACTACGATTCGAATCTTCGTTCATATATTTTCGTTTAGTTTCGCTCAAGTGGTCGCTGACGCATTTAAAAGTATGGGAGCTGATTTTTACAAATCTTATCTTCGCTTGGCTTAGTTTAGTTTCGCTCGCAGTGGCCGCCCGCCTTTACAGTGTTGTAAAAAAAGTTTGCTTTAAGAGTAATATTACAATATTGCCAATATACTTTTAATTTCATTTGTTTTTTTTCAAGTAGAATTGTTTCGACAAAAACATTATTCCGACAAACGACATACAAAAAATAACAGGAAAAGTAATCTATAGTTGATTTAAAACGGCATTCTTTTTATTTAGTTTTAACAGAAAAAGAAAAGTGTATCAGATACTCAAATATAATGAGTAAATAATTGCATCGCTCTCATTTTTTAGGGTGATACCGCATTATGCAATACTTTCAGGAAAATATTGTGCTTGGTTTTTTAAAATAATTTAATAATAATATGTATATGGTAATCTATATTAAATTATAGGTCACATATATATCGACAAAATGTATGTATATCTCTGATTAAAAATGTATGACTATTTTTCTATCAGTTGTCGATATTTGTTTCATTATGTGCAATAAAAGCATGAAATAATAATATTTACACATAGTATTGATTAGATATGGTCTATATATTTTTTTTTAAACTACCCTGCTTCATATCTTAGCATAATTAAGTATAAATATTGGAAGAGCGTAAACACCAACACACTAAAAAAAAGATCCGGTGCATATGAACAGTTGCTGTACAGCAGGGCTGCCTGAAGAAGAAACAAACACACAACAGCTCATGGACACTGTACTAAATTCTTCTTCTTTTACTTATTTGATATCTAGTCCATCTGTTAATTTTAAGGTTGCCTCTGTAGGAGTTCTTGGGAGATGGACTGCCAACTGTCTTTCCATCTTTTTGGAGGTCTTCCTGGCTGTCTCTTACCCATGGGTTCACCTTCAAGAGCTATGCGTAGTAGCCTGCTTTCTTCCATGCGTTTTACGTGTGCGAACCATTGTCTTTTTCTTTGCCTACCCCATCTCACTACGTCTTGTATTTCACATTGTTGTCTGATATTTGTGTTTCTAATTCTGTCTCTTCTAGTCTTCCCCATTATGGTTCTTAGGTTCTTTATTTCAGCGACTCTTAACATGCTTCGGGTCTTGTTTGTTTCCTTTCGGATTTCTATGCCATATGTCATTATTGGTCTAATGCAGATCTTTTTTTTTTAAGAGAAATTTTAATTTTACTGTCTGTTCGTATAAAGGGGTTTGTCCACACTATTTGTCTCAGACATCCTGACATGGCCGTTGCTTTGTTTATCTGGCTTCTCAGATGTTTCTCTGGATCATAGTAGTGCGACATATCTATTCCTAGGTATCTGAACTGTGATACATACTTTTTGTTTTCTCTACTACCAGTTTGCATCTTACCGGCTCTTTAGACAAAGTAGGTAGTTTTTTTTTTCTGTGGAGATAATCATATTTAATTCTGGGCTTACTACTTGATAGAATTTATGAAGCTGTGTCTCTGCATATCGTACTCTGTCTCCGCGATTTTCATCGAGGTCACCTTTTGTATGATGATGTCCATTAAAAGATTGAATAAGAAGGGACTAAGGCTGTCTCCTTGTCTAATGCCTCTTGGCGTTGGTATGTCTCGTGTTAGATTATTCCCTGCTTTCACTTGAGTTGTGTTATCGATAATTAGCTTTCTGATAATTTTCACAATATTATCAGGCACTTTTTTCTCTTTCAATATGTTTTACTGTACTAAACTGTACAAAAGAAATAGGGGGCCCACAGAGCAGCGGCGCGCGGCGTGACAAATATAATAAACTGAGTGATGAGACACGATAAGTTACTACAACTTCTTACCATAGTTTATAGATATTTTTTGTTATCAGATTATTTACAAAGTTCTATAAAGTTACTTTGAATGTTTTTTTGTTTTCTACAGTGTGTCCCCGGATTGTCTTTACAAGAGGAAAAACTTTTTTATTATTGATATTTTGAGAAAAGTTCCTGTATATTTATGAAACTTGATAATAGACGTAAAATTCTGATTTTTTTGATTTTTTTGCACCTAACCTTTGCATATAATTAGAAGATTTTTGTAGTTTGTCGCACGACATTATAGTTAATGATATTGTGTGAAATGCTGAAGAAAATCTATAAAAAAACTATATTCAATAACTAAATTTTAAAATACTTTTCGATTTGTTGCCAATTTTTTGGGCACAACCTGTACATTTATTTAAAAAGCGCCAAACGTGAATCCTTTCAACAACAGAAAAACATCATTTTTACAATGATTAATAACAATAAAAGACTACAAATATGAACAAACTATAATAACATTACATTAAAAATAATAAAATGGTTCTTTTGAAGGATTTCTTCCACGACGTGAATTCGACTCGTCTAAAGGCGTAAAATTCTGATTTTTTAAATTTTTTTGCACCTAACCTTTGCATATAATTAGAAGATTTTTGTAGTTTGTCGCACGACATTATAGTTAATGATATTGTGTGAAATGGTGAAGAAAATCTATAAAATAACTGTATTCAATAACTAAATTTTAAAATACTTTTCGATTTGTTGCCAATTTTTTGTGCACAACCTGTACATTTATTTAAAAAGCGTCAAACGTGAATCCTTTCAACAACAGAAAAACATAGTTTTTACAATAATTAGTAACAATAAAAGACTACAAATATGAACAAACTATAATAACATTACATTAAAAATAATAAAGTGGTTCTTTTGAAGGATTTCTTCCATGACGTGAATTCGACTCGTCTAAAGGCGCACTCTGACGACTCGTGTACTTGTACAAACATTTATTATTAGAATATACCGTATGATCGAATAAAAACGGCGTCAGCGATGGCTATGAAATGAAGATCGCTGTCATTTTATATATAAAACTAGCGTGTACTCGCGACTTCGTTCGCGTCGAATTAATCATTTGTAATGGTGATGATAAAGCAAAGCAAGAATTTCCATTAACATACAAACTGGATAATTTTTTCTCACATATATAGAAAACTTGGTAATATTTGAGGGGTAGTTTCATCTCGTTGGAATTTGACTTTCGAAAAATCCGGTTGACAAAAAATAAGCTTTTTACGTCAAGCAGTTTAATCGTCAAAATCGTGGTTAATCAATTACCCAACTTTTTGGAACACCCTGTATGATTTTTTAAAAAAAAATCAAAATATGTAAAAAACAAAATAAATTATGCGTGTCCAAGCGTTTTCCCCAAAAGACTAACCGTTTTTTAAATAACAAATATTGTAATATTTGAGGGGCTTTTTCACCCTCTTGGAATTTGAGATTCGAGAAACCCCTCCTTATCGAACCTCTACACCCCACAGTCAATCCGTTTGCCAAAAATCAGCTTTAAACGTCAAGCAGTTTAAGCAGAATCGTGATTACTCAATGGTCATATTTTATGAAACACTCTATATAAATTTTTAAAAAAACCTTAAAATATGTAAAACAACAAAATAACATATACGTGTTTAAGAGTTTTTCCGAAAAACTCACCGGTTTTTAAATAAAAAAAATATTCTATTATTTGAGTGGAGGTTTCACCCCCTTAGAATTCGAGTTTCGAAAAATCCCTTCTTATCGAACCTCTACACCCTAAAATCAATCCGTTTTTCAAAAATCAGCTTTTTACGTCAAGCGCTTTAAGCAGGATCGTGATTAATCAATGTTGTTTACAAAGATAGCATGTTTACCAAGTACGCAAATATTGGTATACTTGCCAAGTACACGAGTCGTCAGAGTCCGCCTTTACAAAAAGACTATGCATACTGGAGATACAAAAAATATTTAATATTTGATTCTAATAATTTAAAATTAATACGATACTGTGGCCCTATGTTTTGTTCGAACAAACGAACATATCATCCTCCTACTTGTTTTAATTAAAAAATTGCCGCCCCCGTCATCATACCGCCCTAAGCAGCTACCTTTCTTGCCTAATTGATAAAGCGGCCCTCTCTGGCAACGCTGTAAAAACAATGCAAACGATTATAACAAATGATGACACTGGCATATCAAAAAACGATTTGGCTTCGCCCTAATCGTCTCGGTCTTCTACATCAGTATTAAACAGAGCGCTCAGGCGCGACGTTGGCTTATAAAAAATGAGCGTGAAAAAATATAAGTCGAAAAGCGTAGGCGATTAAAATAGTGGAACATTATGGGACTACCGGAAATCGTATTGGCCGCGTTAGCTTCCTTATGTTTTAATGCTACTTGCGTCGATCATTGTAAGTTTTTAATGAGTGGGTTTTTAATAAGTGGATTTTTCATTATTAATTTATAATCAAAAATGTTTGACATCTATATTGCGTTTGCTGCAAAACTTAATTTAAAGAATTTAAAGCAATACATTCTACGTCTATACCGGGCGCTTCTCAAAAGTGGCTCAGCCCTATAACTTTGTTATTTTGTCAGATAAAAAAACGAGATTTGGTATGTTAGTATATAACATAAATTAGGATTGATTGACATATTGAATTGTTTTTGGTCACTTTCTGTTTCACCGGAAATGACTACAACTTTTGATTTTTAAATAGCCCCTCGGTATTTTTTTACTTTATTCGAAAAAAAGTGACATTCTGAGTAGAATGACATATCCATATGTCGACTTTTGACATTTTTGCTTAATAACAAATCGTCTGTCTTTTAAATTTCAATCTAGAGTGCCATGGCTATGTTAAAAACACTAATTTATAATCAAAGAGCCTTGGAAAAATAGATTTGATCGTCTAATGTTTTTAGTGTCTTGTCCTCGCCGGTTAAAAAATGCCCATATCGTATTTTTAGTCATATCTCAATTTTTTCAAATGGAACGAGGGTGGTTAGGGCTCATTAGCATATTTGGAAAATGCATTTTTTACGAATAATTGGATATCACACACTTGATATTTGAGTCAAATTTTTGTTAGGAACCGCATGTTAAGCCGCGTATAAATATGCCGAGGCAAGTACGAGACAAACCCGAAACGAGTATGAAACGAGGCTATAGCAAATTCTTTCCAAAAGGCGTACTAATATGCCGAGACGAGGACGAGGCGAGTCAACCTCAAGCGGAATTCGTCATATTATAGCCTCGAGCCGAGCGATTTAGCCTCGAGCAGAGTCCCTGCCCAGTCGAACGGCGTTGTCTCGCGGCTATCCATTTTCAGTGGAGCCTTTGGCGAACCCACAAAATTCTTCATAGGGCTATGCGATACTGAGGCAGTATCGATATTTTGGTATCGAAATATTGATAAATATATTAAAGTATTATTCGATACCATTCAATATTTTTAAAAATTAATTAATAAATTTAAGTATAATGTGTTTTTTAATTGGATTAGGATCGAAAAAATCAACAGAAGTCCTTTGTTTTAAATTTGTCGACGTTTCGCAAAATTTATTTGCATCTTCAGGACACTACAAAGTTAAGAAAGCAAAATACAATCAAAAAATTTAAAAAATTTAACAAACAATTTAAAACACATATCAGTGGAATTCCACACATACACAATTGGTAAAACTACCCTAATGTTAACAATTAAATAAAATATATGTATATGTTATAAACTTAAGATCGCTTGGAAATAAAAATAATAAGGGATAAGGCCAGAATATAATCAAGATATTTTCTTATTCGCATTTAACGAAAAAAATCGACGATGGTGGCACTGTTTTATACAAAAAAACTACCCGGATCAGAACTAAATCAGTCATCAAACGATCTCAAATTACTAAAAGCACTTGGAAAAAAATGATAAAACACTTAACCTAGGGTTGGCAACTTTGAAAATAAAAAATAGGGGCGAGAGGATAAAAAAAGGCACAGGCGAAACATTTTTGAAACGTCGCTCAAATGTGAGAGAATTTACCAAAAAGTTATATAAACGGTATGCGATAAATATTTAAAATACACAAAAATATTTATACTCAAAACAAACTTTTTTTCAAGACATAAACTAACAGTAAGTAAACATAAAATTACATAAAAGACACAGATTAACAATTCTTTAAAGCATTGTGGCGATAAACGAATATTATTTAGATTTTGAAGTTGGTATGTAACAAAGTTTTCAATACGCGAGAGAAAAGAGGACAATCAGATCATGGGCGCCGGACAGGGGGGGCAAGAGGGGGCATTTGCCCCCCCCCTGGATCACTGAAACAGTAAAAATAAAAGCTATCTTTTTACATCCATCTGTAAAAAAATAATCATTATTATGAAATTTTGGTAATTATTGGGAAAACTGGAAATCGTCAGATTTTCACCAAAATTGGTATACACCCTATTTTGAGGTCGTAGATTACGAATCTGAAGGCCGAATTACGAATCTTTTTCTTGGCGGTCTCTTACCGTTTTTCAGAAAAGCGGAAAATTATTTCAACATCGAATTTTTCTTAATTTTTCATATTTTTAAGGTTTTCTAGCACATATTTTGTTAGGTATTCAATAAACAATGATGTTATTGCTATTTTCTGTTACTTTTTTAACCAATTCTATGCATAATAGAGGAAAATTTGCTAAAATAAATTTGTAAACAATCTGAAAATGTTGGGTTATGTGTTTCTGGCATTTAAAGCAACGTTGCCAATGCTAAACCTAAATTTAGCGTGTTTTTTCGCTCATTCTGGGATTACGAAAGGCGGTCGCCAGAAGAACGGCTCCTTCCCATAATTGCTATTTTACCAACGAGAACTTACTATTTATAACCACGAAGTTGCACAAAGAGATTTGATTGCATTGCTTACAACTTCCATGTGGAGGTGTTAATCTTTGTTGTTATATTATATCAAAAAGATTAACCCCCTCCGCAAAGAAGTTGTAGCAATGCAAGCAAATCTCTTTCGTGCAACTTCGTGGTTATAAATAGTCTTTTATTTTTAGGGAGGGGTTAATCTTTTTGATATAATATAACAACAAAGATTAACACCTCCGCATGGAAGTTGTAACCAATGCAATCAAAACTTTCCGCGTAACTTTGTGGATATAGGTAGGTAGGTATATTTAATTATTTGTCGATCTCATAATAGGAAATTTATTTAAAATCCCTAATCACCCGAAAAATAGAAGATATGGCAACGTTGTAAATTTTCAAATTTCTAGATTAGGTTTAGAATATATTTGTCTCTCTCATAACATAGGAGAGAGAAAGAAGGATATATCAAATGTCAAACTTCCATCTGGTCTCAATTTTCTTTGTTATTTTGTTAGGAAAAGTGTTTTTCAGTAAAATTTTGGACATTTTTCTATCCCCAATCAAGTGCAGCTTTTAGATAAACTATAATATAACGGAAATATAGTGAAATTATTACTTTATAGGGCCGAAATAAAGAAAAATTCAATGTTGAAATAATTTTCCGTTTTTCTGAAAAACGGTAAGAGACCGCCAAGAAAAAAGTTCAGATTCGTAATCTACGACCTCAAAATAGTGTGTATACCAATTTTGGTGAAAATCGGACGATTTCCAGTTTTCCCAATAATTACCGAAATTTTTAGGTGTTACCTGTAAAATAATAAAAAATGTGTTTCAATTTTTTATTCATTTTTACCTTGCCCCCCCCCCTAAACTTCATTCCTCCGGCGCCCATGAATCAGATCAAAAGAGGGACTGTTTCTGGAATAGAGGACGGTTGGGAACCCTATTTTAACCCCTGTAGCTACGAATCAAAGCAGAATTGGATTGGTTGCTATAAAAATAAATGTTATTTTTACGTGAGGAACTTCCCACGAGAGATGGAACATGTTTTTTGAAACACCCTGTATATGTTTGTTTAGTTTCAAAATAGGTAAAAAAACAAGCTAGATAAATTAAAGGAATTCATGATAAATTTAAATTATATTTGACTGTTTACATTAAAAAAACTGGAGAACGCCGACTGAGATACCTGGAGATAACGGCACGGCAGCGGCGGCGGCGGAGCCTTCTGCCAGTACCGTTTTTTTTTGAGTCTTTAATTATTTTATTCAATAATATATTTTGTATGTGGTTTGTATATCTATAAAAATTTTAAATAGAGCAACAGCGCTTTCAGATGGAGCGGACCGTACGCGCAGAGCATCCGCACGGATGTTTTTTTCAAGATTGCTCATCCGGACGGAGCATACGCGAGCCAGGTGAAATTGTTCATATAAGCTCATGGTACTTGCTCGAAGTCGCGGACGCTCCGTTCCATCTGAAAGCGCTGTAAGATAAGACCTAATTCGACTTTATTTATTTAAAAAATTTGAAATTTAAGTAATTAAGATTTAAATTATTAATTTAAATCTACATTTAAATGCCAATAACTAACCTGAAACATATATTGTAAATAATATATCTGCATTTCTTCATTTCTAAAGTTGTATATTTTTTCAAGGTATTCAATTCGCCACATTATTATTCTATGGCTTTCCATCATTGCAGCACGCTTATTAATAATTTTTAAATTATTAATATATATATAATTTTAAATCTAATTCCCAGTTTTTTAAACCTTCGCCGTAATGTGCTTTCTGAACAGGGATTTTTTTAAAATCGGAGAGTTTTTTTTAAATTATTTGTATGGCGGGAACTTTATTATTTTCATATTTGCCATAAATTAAGTTTCTTAGTAGTCTGGATAGTTCAAATTTCTGGATTTTTCTATATCGAATCGTTCCTTTCTTTGTCGATTCCCTTTATTTATGAGAGTACCGTAAGGAACTTCTGATAGCATGGCCACCTTTTTCAACACACTCGATTTGCCTCTCTTATCTTCTATGTATCCTATATGTAAAGAAGCTTGTTTTACATCTTTAATTCCGTTCAGCAGAAATAGCGCATAATTTACGTTTGAGCCGTTAATAACTCGACGAAAAGTTCATTACGTTTATTCATTTTTCATAAAATTTTCATGTTTTTATAAAAGAAATCACTAATAAATCTTTGTATATGAGATTTACCTACTTTGGCTAACTTACCTATACTATTTTAGAGAAGACAAAATTGCATCTTTCTAGTTAGGATGCATTATTAACATTATTACAAATAAAGGAAAGAATATTTATTTTATATAAAAATGGGATGTGGAATCCGAGCCCCTTGAGATTCGAGGCAATTGTTCCGCGGAGCCGCGGTGTATACGCCACTGGTTAAATAGACGCTCCAATCCTTTTGATGGTTCGCCAAAGGCTCCGGAGAAAACGGAGACAACGCCGTCCGGCTGGGCATAGGCTCGGCTCGAAGCTCAGACCCCGTCCCAATATGACAAGTCAACCTCAAATCCGCTTGAGGTTGACTCGTCTCGGGTGTCTCTCGCACTCGTCTCGACATATTTATACGCAGCTTTATAATTTCAAATAAACCATATGCGAAAATGTCAAAAGTTGACATATGATATCATCATATGTCAACTTCTATTCAGAGTGTTATTTTCTATCGAATAAAGTAAAAAAAATACCGAAGGTGCGATTTAAAAACGAATATTAAGTTTGCAGCTTAGTAGTAACCATTTTTTTAAAGGTCTGCCTGTGCTGAATACATCTCACAAATTTTAACAATTTTGGACAAGCCCATTTTAAGTAGTTTAAGAAAGACTGCATCTAATTTTAAATTGAAACTGAACAGGTAACAATGCAAAACCAGTCAAATGTCAACATCTCTTAAGTTGTCAACCTATGATTTTATATCATTGTCACTACGTTATAGTACCAACCAAGTACCAACACTTTAGTGTACCCGAAATGTATTTTTACCATTTGAAACTGGGTCAAATGAGGCAAAAGCCTAGCGTTTGGAAAATACAATTTGACATTGACAAAATTATAGGATGACAACTTAAGGTATGTTGTCATTTGCCTGGTTTTTCATGGAAGCCTGGTTTTGCATAATAATGAAGCTTGCTTTATCTACGGTTACGTACGCTAAAAGCAAAGTAGTATACAGAAGCGTAAGCTAAGTACCCCCAGTCCCCCTCTATTTGCGTCATTGGTAGTACCTTTGATACTGAAGTGCAATTTCTGTGTTTTGCTTGTCAGATCAAAGGATCCAGCAAAATCGGCCTGTTTATGGGGATAAATCCCCGAAACCGGTCGTCGCGTCAAGTGGCCGAAGAACATAACTTCGGTTTTATTATAACTTAATTCAAAAATTAACACATTGTTAAATTGGGGTTAAAGCTTCATTCAGAACCTCGCAATTAGTGGAATAAATTAGTGGTTTCAATTAGCGTAGAAGTTTGTTCCTTTAATTTCAATGTGAGCATTCAGAACGTCAAAATTTGTGGTAGACATTTTCAATTAGTAGAAAAAGTTATCAGACTTTTGACTTTTCCACTAATTATGCTTCATAATTTGCGAGAAATGTCATTTTGGCCTTTGATTATCTTCCGTCAAGAGAAATTGTGGTTAGAAATCAAAAGTTGATTGTTTTATAAGCTAAATATTAGGCTTTCTCTATGGATACAACAGACTAACGCAGGCTGTTGCTAGGATATTCTATTAATTTTAATTGTGTTTCTTAGACATTGTGAATGATCGTAAACTAAAAATTACAAAGTGTAATTGAAACCATTAATTTATTCCACTAATTGCGAGGTTCTGAATGAAGCTTTATTAGGCTTTTTACACTCTCTGTACACTGTTTTATTAATTATAATTTTAAGACTATTGCCAAAGAATGATCAAAGCATATCAATTATTAATATTAATATTAAATTTTCATATTTCTTCTTATTTCAATTGTGTCTCCATAAGTTTTTGCAGCAATACAGTGTAAGTAGTATATTGAGAACTGTGTCATTAATATAACTTGCCAAAAAGAATATTTAAAGAATATTTTATTATAAGGTACTTTTGAAGAAGTGGTATTCATATACCTACTAATTAAGAAAATTTTCAGGTTGCTGCAAAATTTACTTGTTATTATTTAACTATTGATTTGTTAAAATACGAATATTATAATCACTAATACTATAATAGTATTAGGTTTTATTATAGTTAGGTTTTGTATATTATTTATTATTATGATAATATTGTCAATAAGACCATGGTGAAACATATTTTACTTCTGAAAACCGCAAAATACAGCACGAAAATAGCTTATAAATAAATCATATAAATTCTTTATTTTTTAATTCACACATTTCTTTTCAATCACATGAGTTCTTGCAGCAATGTACGGTAAGTTATGATTTATCCAGTTTTATTCATATATTGCCATCAATATAACTTTATACATTTAACAAGAAATAACCAACTGATCAAACAAAGTCTATTTAATTATAAAATTAAAAAAAAAAATGTCAATCATGGTCTGATTAGTTATGATAATAATTATGAAAACTTTATAATACTTTTATATGTTATATTTATATCTACCACTGATAACAAAATAATAATTTTTGATTTGCTTACAAATTAATTTAATAACGTTGTGAAATTTTCTCCATGTATTTTTCAAAAAATTCTTTAATTTAGAAACATTGCTAAAATTTATATGGCTTTTAGTAATGGTCTATAATTACTCTAATTTTTATATCTGTATATTATTTACAACATTTTTTGCTTCAATATGAATTATAACTACGTATGATTATATCTCTAAAAATTAAACAAAGTTCTTATACAAAAACACTCTAGTATAATTTATAGGTTTCTTTTAGATCAAAAAAATCATTTTCCCCACAGAATCTACATTCGCCGTTGTTTCTCAGCTTCAATCTACTGAGATGTTCGTTCAGGAGACTCCTGTTGGAAATCCCGTGACAATCCGAAGATTGTTCTCACGTAAATCAAGGAAAATCTTGAATTTTTCTCGGTAGTAAGTTCTGAGAAACTTTTTCGAGTTTTCTTTTTTTTCTTAAAAACATACGAGAAATCACACACCCCATTTTTTAGAAAATTACGAAACACGCTGTATTTTGTCAAGATTTTTACTTCTTTTTTTGTCAATTGGAATTAATGTCAATGTCGACTTTATTGAGTTACTAAATAAATATCTCCTAATTTTCACATATCATTGGTCATTTTTTTGTATCAAATTATACTAATTGAAACAGGGCAGCGTTTAAAAACACATCAGGGAGACAATAATTACAGTGATAAAATTTTATTGAGCGGAGTTGTGATGGCTTACTTTGAGCAGTATTTTATCAGTCGTAGTAGAGTGTTACTAAAACTATTGAAATTATCGATGTTTCTAGATTTTTAGTCATTTCCATATCAGTTTTACATTATTTATATTGCACCAGTTATACGTTAATAAAGTGTAAAATATTCTTGTTATTCAAGTGACAGAAAAAAACTTAGTTTTAAATTCATGTATTTTTTTATTAACCTAATTTAATGTAGCTTAACAGGGACAATTTACAAAAAGAATATAAATTCAGGTACAATCTAGTCAAACCAGAGGATGATGTGTCTGAACCATTAAATGGAAAAAACGGCGCTCTTAATTATATTACTGTATTTGCATGCATTTACAAATATAAATAAAATAAAAGAATAACTACATATATAAAAAATCTGCTTCTGACTTATAGATTCAGATACAATATCAAGATCACGATATCAAGTTTTAAAAGATGATCTGCAACACGAAAATTTTATTATTACAACCTTAAAGGTAGGTCTTGTCTAAGTAAATTGTATTGCCTTTTTTAGTTCATTTTTTTAACAATAATTTACTTCACATACTTTTAGAATGGACCTCTTAGTGGTTACATAGTCGAAAATGGTACCTTAATAGGGACAGGCGTTGCTTTTGATATAGTCAAAATTTTACAAAAAGAATATAAATTCAGTTACACTCTAGTTAAACCAGACGATGATATGTTTGAACCATCAGATGGAAAAAATGGTGGCGTTAAAGAAATGCTTATCAATCAGGTATACAAAAAATCGAATCCTGTACATTTTAATTTCTCCATTTTTTATAAAAAAATATTTCTTAAATAATTAAATATTTTTAATATTATTTATTACTTTATTTTTTTTTTAATATTCTATTTATTATTTATATCATTTTATTAGGTTTTGTTACGGAGGGTAGCAGTAAGGAGAATTATTTTTATATATTGAAAAGTGGTCATCAAAAAGGGAATAATTAAGATGGTACTTCTAAGTTCTACCTTTGAAAAAAAAGCAAGCAACTTTTAGAACAGGAAATAATAATAAAAAAGTGATAGATTAAACATACCAGTGTAATTCCGATTTCTGAAGGCGCCTGTGGCCACTTTTTATTAACTTCACTTTATTTATAACCGCTAAGTTCAGTTTGATCAGTCAATGCTGCTAAGATTCCTCTTGTTAACAACGCTGTAGCAAAAAAAATAAACAAATAGAAGATATACTAAACGTAGATAATAAAAAATAGATAAACAATGTTAATGGAGAACAAAAAACAAAAAAAAATAAATAAGGAGAAGAGAATAACGATTAAAAATTATTTATATCGAAATTAAAATTTATATTCATTTTTTCGATGGAACAATAGTGTGAAAGGGACATCGAATTTCAAGACAAAATTATCACTTGGTAAATATACAAGGTGTTTCCAAAAACATGTGCCATCACTCATGGAGAGATTCCTCGCGTAAAAATAAGATTTATTTTTCATATCAACATGAGTCCGATTCTGCTTTGTTTTGTAGCTACAGGTTGTTAAAGTCTTAATAATCTTTCGATTTATTATAATTTTCTTCCAAGTGCTTTTAGTGATTCGGTGACATTTTGAGGGTAAAAGTTACTATAAGTGCTACATATTTTAATGATAAAATATATATAGCAAGGGTTATCACTGGAATATTTTTCAAAAAAAAACATGTGCGCCACTGCCTTTTTTTCTTTTGATATCAAAATTGTGTAGGTCGTTTAATGCCAATTAAAAGTTATCTCTTGATATTTTGTCGAATTCAGCCTCCTTGATGAGATAAACACATTTATATTAATCACAATTAATAAAATTACAATAAAAATGAAATTAATAAATTACCATATTTTACCTAATTTATTATTAAATATTATTACTATTAGTTATTATTACTATTAGTCCAACCTACAGCAATTTCAAATAAAAAAATAATGGTATTTAAGATAATTACAAAAAAACTAATTTGAAAAATTTTAACATCCTGTATCTCTAGAACTATGCATTTCCATACCCATGTTCATAGAAACTTTTTTTTATGTTTTTTGATGAGAAATCAACGAGTACTTATTTAAAACTTTTGCAAGTTAATTATATTATTTTTTTAAATGTTGCTAAATTAGACTTGGATCAAGGCAAATTAATAAAATTGCGTTTATCTCATCAAGGAGGCCAAAATCGACAAAATATCGAGAGGCAACTTTTAATAGGCATTAAACTACTGACACTATTCCGCTAACAAGAGAAAAAAAGTCAGTGGCGCACATGATTTTTTTAGAAAAATATTCCAGTGATAATCCATATGCACGTCCCTGGTGGACATGTCGACACTTTTTAGCTTTAAAATATGTAGCACTTATACTTATAGTAACTTTTACCCTCAAAATTTCATTCGAATCACTAAAAGTACTTGGAAGAAAATTATAATAAATCGAAAAAAGGATTAAGACTTGTAACTACGAAAAACCCTGTAACTACGAAACAAAGCAAAATCGGACCTATGTTGATATGAAAAATAAATCATATTTTTATGTGAGGAATCTCCCCACGAAAGATTGCACATGTTTTTTGAAACACCCTGTATTCATCATATGCTTGGAGGGCTCTAAGGGGGGCCAACCCTGAGCGTCACTGCACTGTGGTCATTTAGGGAACCCTCAGGGTGCATCCACACTATCCTAGAAAAAGCGGAACGGCGCGGTGCGGCGTATCGGCGTAACAACCTTGAATCGATTTCCAGTAATTCTATTGGCTGAAATTTTTGACAGATGAGTTTTTGAGCCAATAGAATTGCTGGAAATCGATTCAAGGTCGTTACGTCGATAAGCCGATCCGCTTTTTCTAGGATAATGTGGATGCACCCTCATTTCCCCTTTCAGGTGACCACTTTTTCAAAGTCCCATAAGAAATTATTCTCCATACCTTTACCCTCCATAGTTTTGGTATTCATTTGACAATAGTAATCAATACAACAATTAATAAAATTATCTTAAATTTAAAGAAAGTACATATAGCAGCTGCATTTCTACCTATACAATACAATGACGTAGTTGAATACTCCAGAGGTTTAGACACCGCCCAATGGGTAGTTCTGATGAAAAGGCCCAAGGAATCGGCAACAGGTATTCAAATAACCAGTCACTTCGATTTCTTTCAAACGAAATAATCTATCACCGGTAAAGTGCCAGTTTAACCTAAATAAATATTTACTCGAGACACATCTATCTTGAATTAAATATTTATAGGGTTTTGTTTTCCCTTTTACAATTCCCTTTGTAAAGAGCGTGACTGGCCTTATTATCTTTATGCGGCAAAGTAATGTTTTAATTTATTTGAAAGATAGAATAAACGCTTATTTTTAAAATATGCGTGTCAGACTTTATCAAATTATGCTACTTAAAGAATTATTTTTTTATTATGGACCACGCAAGTGTGACGTCATTTAAATGTTTAAATTAAATTATACAGTATCAGTGTTTTTTAATTGGAGTTAATAAATTTTAAGCACGTATTATACTAGTATAGTTCATATCAAATAAACTCTTAGTCACGTGATTAAGTTTGACCGGGACAGTGTTGCCCACTTTTACATATTATCTTTTAATTAAAATATTTTAGGAAACAAAATTAAATTAATTATAAATATATAAACAATTATTATTTACATCAACAAAACTCACCTTCTTAACAGCACTTAAGGGACACAAAGGGCCATTACTGCCGCTTTCCCGTTCAAAATATTCTAATAAACTTGAGATTATTTTTTACGGCTATTAAGCTATCTTGTACACTTCGCACTAAAAGAGGTTCTAAAAAGAACAATGTTCGACTGCAAGGTCTGCTAGTAAAAAGGTTTAAGCTTAAAATATCACAACACAATTCATTTAAATCAAACACTCGTAATACAAAACTAAAGTGTCAAAACGAATGACAATGTCAGGAAATAAATAAATGTGGCAACTTGACATTTTTTACCGCAGAACTACCACCTGAATCCACAGGGGGGAATTTAAATTCCAGTTAGGCTAAGAACATAGTGAAGCGATGAGGATAGCAAGCAGCGCGACATCGCGTCCAAAACAAACCTGCAAAGACAAGTACGTGCGAACATAATAAAGCGGTCTGCTCGAGCGGTTAGATCGAGCGGCGATATCGATTCAAATAATTTTGTTTTTGTCGCTCTGTCGCGCTGTAGAAAATAATAGATTCCCAAAAATGAATAGATTTAGTATTGGTAAGAGAGATTTTATGGGATCAAAAAGATAGTAATCACCATAACCGGTACATTTTAGATAAGTTATGATATGAAGTGGCAACAAATTTTCGTAAAGAGGTTATAAAACTTGCCATACTTTCTCGGGTTTTTGAAAACTTCATCTAGCCAAATGTTTGCGACATTACTGCCTAGCATTTTAGCCACTGTTAACATTTTAAAATATCAATAAGCAAATGAAAATAATAAATTTGCACAATTATCTCGCTATTCCTCGCCGCTCTACTATGTTTCAGCACTTCGAGGTTTGCTCGCCGCTATCCTCGTCGTTCCACTATGTTTCTAGCTAGTCAGCCCGGTGCCGAATACGTCCATGATTGCCATGGTTGGCAACAATGAATTTAAAAATTGCGAACTCGATTACGTAACTAAAAGTTTAATTGGTATCAAATATATGTAGTTTATTATGACAAATACACATGCAAATCTAAGTTTATTTAGAACTAAATATTGGAATATGAAATAGACATAGAGTATTTTATGTCAAATTCCATAAAATATTAAAGAGTATTTAATTCAAATAGAAAAATTTGTTCCGACAGATTGCAAATATTATTAATGGAGGATCTTATTGTGAGACATTGTGATATTTTAGTTCGCTAGAAATTTATAATCCGACCTCAGGGCGACAAACACCCTGTGTATATTTAGATTTTAGTTTTATATTTTAATATATTTTTAGGTTCTGGACTTCTAGCACCATTCACAGCAACAGTTTGGACTTTAATAATAATTTCATTACTTGCAGTCGGACCAATTTTATATATTGTTGTTTTTCTCAGAGCCAAGATATGCAAAGACGATGACGATATTGTGTTTTCATTACCCGCCTGTATGTGGTTTGTTTATGGTGCATTATTGAAACAGGGTTCAACTTTAAATCCTAGAACAGGTATATAATTATCTAGATTCTAACAGATTAAAGTCCGCCGGGGGCAAATTTTTACAGACGAACACATCAATAAATGAAACAAGTTTAGATCGGAAAGTGGCCATAAGGACAATCTAAACACTATTTGGCGCTATTCTTGCAACGGTCGCGACCCAAAGCTTTTAATAATTTCGGATCGGTTCGGCTTTTTCCGGACTTATGTCGCCAATTATTGTTTATTCAAATTTATTATTACTTTATTTTAATTTTACAAATAAAATACATTATGTTGCATACAAGAAACTGTATTTTATATAAGGACATGTATGTGAAATACCTATGAAACATTGGAAACCGACGTTATGCCACGATCCACGATGGTTTTTGCAGTTCACAGTTCACAACACAGTTTTTTAGTATTTAATGCTTCCCCTAGGAGATGCAAGACCTTGTCGTTGGTGGGGAAGCTCCTGGTCAGGTGCTGGGGGGAATTCCCTCTAGCACTTGGCTTGGTCTAAGAAGCATCTCACTCATCGTCTTGTTCCTGACTGTAGTGTCGTGGCCAGGGAATTGCACCAAGACATATAACGATACCGGGCGGGGCTACGGACAGCCTCAACCTTGGGGCACCGGGGGGCACCCCATTGTATTTTACCCCTTACTTCTACATGCGGGGCTCTGTAGAAGTGGACCGACTGTCCCTAGCGACTCATAGGAACACTATGAGATCTGATAATAATAGTAATAAAAACATCACCTGTGAAGCTGAGGGGAAACCCCTAGCGACACTGGGAACAGTAACAATGAAAGTTCCAAGGGGCCAAACCCAAAGAGAACTACAGGAGAGGTGGCTGACACTTGCGTGAGACCATCCTCCGCAAGTGGCATACAAGCTACCACCTCCTCCAAGGGTCGGGAGCCTACCTCCTACCTCTAAACCCAACAGGCGACACAAGCTGCCGTTTCGTCTACCCGGCCTGGGTCGTGGCTCCTCGACTGTGAGGGACACGGGTCTCCGTAGGAAGTCCTGGGACTGTATGATGAGTTATAACTCAAGAAAGGGGGACACAATAGATCTCTAAGGTCGCAGAGATTAACCCCCCTCCCACTTATTCTAATTCTAATTCTAGTATTTAATGCCACTTTTTCACAATTAGCACGGGTTTGAGTAAGTAATATTTAAATTAAACTCACAAGATAAGCAATAAATACTTTGAGAATGGATACTTTAAACACTTTTCAGTATTTTTTCAATAGGGGCGGTTTAAATATTGAAAGATTTTATGATTTTTGAAGATTCTGACTTCGACAAGAGAAAATTTTTGTTAGCGTTGTTCTCAGCAACCGCTATAGCAGCGCCAGATCGCGCACAACGGTCGCGACCCAAAACAATTACATATTTTGACGGGTTTTCCAATCTAAATTTATTTCCTTTTTCTATGACCCAACAAATGACAGAAAATACTATTTATTTATTATGGATTTTAAATGAATGAATTAATTAGTCAAAGCAAAACCTTTGAAGGCGGGTAAAAGGACAAATAACTCACAATCTTTAAGTTGTTTAATTTAAATTTTAATGCTTCAAAAAAGCAAGGGGGGCAACATGTTTCGGGAATTTAAACTATTCCCATCATCAGGCCCAAAAGCTAAAACAATTACAGAGGTCAAATTTATAAAATACAATCACAACAAATTAAAAAGTCAAAATTTTTTTTACAAAGTCAAAAAGTTATATCTATCACAAAAATTGTTCAATCACAGATAACAATATGGTATGCTAAATTTGAAAAATTAAATTAAAAAATTAATTAGTGAATGAATGAATTATTAGTGACTTCAAATGACAGCAACAACTGTCATTGTCATGTTAGACAGACTAGACCATTTTTTATTTCATAATATAATGCATAGGCAACATTACTAATAATATTTAATTTTTAGATTCTTCAAGGATTCTTTTCTCTACGTGGTGGATATTCATAACAATTTTGACAGCTTTCTACACCGCAAATTTAACAGCTTTTTTGACGTTGTCGAAATTTACGTTGCCTATCAGTGAACCTAGAGATATCGTCAAGAAACAGTACAAATGGGTGACTAACAAAGGCAACGGCATCGTTGAAGAAATTAATGAATCAAGAGAATATAGTTCAGGCGATGGAAAAAGCCTCTATGAACAAATAGGAAATCCCAAGATAGAGGTGAGTCTGGATTCTACATATTATTAAATTCTGCAAAAAGAAACGCTTGATACGCTTTTCGCTGACCAGGTTACCATCATCAACAGATTATTAAAACTAAACTAATATTTTATTATTTATAAATTGAGAGTTTATATAGGCATTGGATTGGTATTAGTCAAGAGTAACGAGACAAAATCAATCGAGCGTAACAACTATACTATAACTATCAAATAGTGTTTATGATTTATATAATATCTATCGTTGAAAAATCATATTAATTGTCAGTTGGGCAGTTACTTTATCGTTTTCCAAGAGTAACATTAAACACTTATGAATACATACTTACCATTAAAAACATGTAAAGGCATGTTTTTAATGGTAAAATTGCTGTAAATCGTTACTGTCTTATTCAAAAGCGAATATCTCCAACAAAAATAAAGCTATCGAGACGAATAAAAAAAATAACTATCGCGAAAAGACGTACCTACCTAGATGACAAAATAATTTTTAAATTCCTAAAAATCGTTAGTTCTATTATTGTTATTAATGTTAATTAAAACCCAGGCTGTATTGTTAACGTTTTTTTTTTTAAATTTAGTATAGAGTATCCAATGCAGCGTATTATGACGTTACGACAATAGTCACCAAAACCATCTCGTCATATTAAAAAATTACATCAAAATATAACGATAATTGAAAAAATTGCAAATTGATGGTGATTAAAAATTAATCAAGGCATGTGTGGGCATGATTAAAAAAAAACAAAATGCTCTGGAGACATGGTTCTGAACGTAAAAGTATATTTTAGGAAAATTTTCACACGAAATTATTGCACAGGGTGTTTTAAAGTTAGGGTTAAAAAACAACCCCTCGATTAACCCTGTATAACATGCCAAATACAAAAGTTTATAAAAAACTGAGTTTACGAATTAAAGTGGATATAATTATATACAGTAAAATTATAAAAGGATTCTTGCCACTTAACTGCTGATCTAGAAATTTAATTCTACGCTGTGTTTGTCATAATGTGGATCAACCTGCTCTCACTACCGGTTTCGGAGCCCTACTCTATGATCAGGTGAGCTTGGGCAGATCCACAAAGTGACAACCACAGCGCAGAGATAGTTAATTCCGACTTGTCGGAAAGTGTCGGTTAGATATTAAGTCCCGAGCGGGAGATAGCGGCCTGCGTGCAATGGTAGTACTTTCGTACCACCGAGGCGCAACTATCCATAGTAAAAGGATGGTAAAAGGCTTTTTTCAGGCATCATCTCTGTCCCCATAAACATCGCAAACTAAAAACCTAATAAACAATTTTATATCGAATATAGAAATAAATTTAGTATTCTTACCTATTATCGTCCAAATCCATGTTAGCAGATAATTAATATTTTGGATTTTTGTCTTTTATTTTTAAATATATTTTTGGAACTGCTGGTTTTAGTAATTATTAAATTAAACGAACTAAAAAGTCAGAAAAAATAAACAATTCTTAACCACAACCCTAAATAATACAAAAAATGCAGAAGATCTCCTGTCAGCTTTCTATATTTTTTCCTAGTGACGTCACAGGTGGTATGCGCGAACTGGACGAAATTGGAGCCGCTACCGATCATACCTTGTATTCTTTGTACCATGCCGTCTTATGCTCTGTCTTATTATTCAACACCATTTTTGAAACAAAGTGTCTATGCTGTAGGAAAATGTGTCAAAAATGACATAATTCTTTTGTTTTCAGACGGCAGTGGAGGAAGAAGTTATTTTATCTGATTTTGTAACCAGACGAAATTTGATGTATATTAGAGAAAAAACGGTCTTGGAAACGCTGATGTATGAAGACTACAAACGAAAAATACAAGCTAATGTTAGCGAAAAGGATAGATGCACTTACGTCATCACTGATTTTCCGGTCTGTACTTTCCCGAGAGCGTTTGCCTTTGCTCCAGGATTTAAATACAAGCCTTTATTTGATTTCACGTAAGCTAATCAAGATTATTTAATATAATCTGTCCAAGGACACAATACAATGTCCGCAAAAATGTCTGTATCATATAATGTGATGTTTTTTTATTATCAGAGAAAGAAAAAAAAAGAAATGAAAAAAAGAAATCATAAAATTAGGTAAGGCAATTAATTTTTGCTTGTCTTAAAACTATATGTATATTAAGAATGTCATTTAGTTGCGCAACTTGGTTTACCTGCCAAATTTGAGATTTTGTTTGAGATTATTAAAAATGACTTTATTTAAATTTTCAAAATGTTTATAAAACAACAAATTTCAAGTTTAGTCAGGTAGGTATATCGTATAAATATATTTTTCGTGTAAATTATATTTAAAAAAAATCGTTGAAACTGATCCTCATAAAGTCTTGTATTTCTACAGCTATCTCCCTATGTAGTTCTATTTTCCTTAAAAGTTACTAAGGTTTTCCCTTAAGGAAACCCCTTTTTTCTCTTCCCTTTCCCCCAGGGTGGTCCGAACTGTATTCCGGAAACTTCAGCAGCATATTCTACAAATAAAAATAGGTAAAAAAGTTCGTATAAATGTATGTCCTAAAATGCTTAGTTTCGGAGATACAGGGTGTAGAAATGAAATTTCATTTTTATTTCGATTTTTTCCAAATAATTTCTGAAGTAACGTCAATATTAAGATGAAAATTTGTGTCTGGGAGTTTTTTGAGATGAGAAATTTGATTTTTATGTCAATGTGACTCCTAGTTGCAGAGGGCGCCACCTACATATTTCTTAACTGGTTTGAAAAGTAATAACTTTTCGTATGTACCTATATAAAACTACTGAGTAAAAAAATATACATTTACGACATTTTTTACGTAAAAAAGATCTTTTTGTAAAAATCGATACGAGTAATGGTTCTCGAGATATTTGGAATCGAAATTATCAATACCTGTCATCATTGACATAAATTGTAGACTGAAATCATAAATTTGAAATGATTTTGTGTTAAAGGTTCAAAAGAATCAATCATCATCATGTTTTATCATCATTTTTTTCGAAGAAAAATTTATGATTAATTTAAAGAAATAAAATGTTTTCAAATTTTCAATCATTTCGGTCAAAAAACTATATCTACTCAATATGTTTATTTTTTGTCAATAATGACATGTATTGACTAATTCTATTCTAAATATATTAAGAACGGTTACTCGTAGCGATTTTTACTAAGAGACATTTTTTATGTAAAAAATCAGGGAGATATATATTTTTTTCTTTCGGTAGTTTTATACAGGTACGGACAAAAAGTTATTACTATTCAAAACAGTTAAAACACATGTATGTGGCGCCCCATACAAACAGGAGTGATATTGACATCAAAATCAAATTTCAAGTCAAAGAACTCCCAGACACCGATTTTCATTCGAATATTGACGTTACTTCAGAAATGATTTGGAAAAAATCGAAATAAAAATGAAACTTGTACCACAGTTTAAAGAATATAAAATATATCAGTTGACCCACTCTAAGGAATTCTATTGTTATTTTGACTTCAAAGGCGGCTCGTGACCCTTCGAGGTGACAAAAAATTTGTACGTTTACCGGGTGCAGCGGAAGTGCTATTTTATCAGTTATACGAGGGATCAATTAAAAATACTAAGGAATTTTAATACAGCAAGTAGAAAAATAAAAATACAGTACTAGTTATATTGATTAACAGTTTTAGGCGTCTTTAATAATTGATCAATATTGATTTACTTTCTTATTATTATTTAATAACATATCTCATTGTTTACAAATATAAATACGATATGAATTGAAATATCATATGATACTCATCGTTTTTCCCATGTGCTCCTCAATTGTTATATTTACTGTTACATAAAATTTAGTAAAAACTCTAAAAAACTTGTCAATAGTAGAAGAAGTTGTATGCACGTATTTTCATTACCTGACGATAAAATTTGGACTTTCCAGGTAGGTAGTTAAATAACTTAAATAATAATTTAATATGCACTTTGCAAACCGGTAAATACTGCAAAATCCAAAACATAATAGTAAAGTATCTACTACTACTCTAAAATATCTACTAAAATAATAAACTAATTGTTAAAAATAAATATTTTGTGCATATTCCGAGTAAAATCTTTTCTTAATTTATATGTATATTTTTAAAACAATTTATTCATAGTTAGGTTTCTATAATTATAATATACTTAATATGTCTAGTACTTTAATTATTATATACTTAATATCCTATACTATATAAACACATACCTTCCTTCATCTTTTGGGCACCTAAAGAACGATATATTGTCTGTCATTCTACTTTCACAACCATCCACTGCACAAATATTTCTAGTAGACATTTTATTCACAATTCGAACAAAACAACTAAAACACTATTTTTGATTCACCCTATACGTCGGGCCGAAAACAAAACTAAAATAAACTTGAAACGCTGTGTACACGTCGAGCAACGGATGTAGACTGACCCAAGTCTACAAGACAGGCGGGGAGCGGCGGGAGGAATTTTGATACGGGCGAAGAGTGGGTCAAATGATATATTTTATATTCTTTAAACTGTGCTTGTACACCCTGTATCTCCAAAACTAAGCACTTTAGGACATACATTTATACGAACTTTTTTACTTATTTTTATCTGCAGAATATGCTGCCGAAGTTTCCGGAATACAGTTGTTCGGACCATCCTGTATATAAAATTATTTATAAAACTATGGAATATCCTGATAATGTTTTATGGACTCTAGAAAGATATAATACTTAGAAAATAAAAACCAATAATCTAAGGAACCTATGCGATTAACAGTGGTATATTGATTTTTTTTCATTTCAGACATGTGTAATAATGTGTATATATATTATATTGATAGATTTTATGTGTTACCTAAAAATACCATTTATTTTTATTTTTAGCAGTAGGATTTTTACGAGATATACGTTGATAAAAGTTATTATACAGAGACTCATAAAAAATGTCTATACCTATGGGGCGGTTTCCTGTCTCCAAAAAATTCCTATATGGGTATTTCGCCACTGCAATAAAATCTACAAAATAAAATGGTTATTGGTTGTAAACACTGCTGCGTTAATCTAACGGAAACTAATTGTCAGCAGTTAAGTTTACTGATTAACAAATTTGCCTAACGAACAAAAAAAACGTCAACGGTTTTTTGTAGACGTATCTGTTTAAGAAAAAAACTAAAGTGTTCTGAAATAGTTCGTTAAGCAAATCTGTTTATCAGTAAACTTAACTGCTGATAATTAGTTTCCGTTGGATTAACCTAGCAGTGTTTACAAAAAATAACTACATATTTCATTTTATAGATTTTCTTGCAGTGGCGAAATATCCATATAGGAATTTTTTGGAGAAAATATTAATTTCATATGTTAACAAAAAATATAAATTATAATAGATAGACAGTAGAGGGAAAAATAGAGAGAATAATTTGATTGGAAGATTAAAGCCGTGAAACTTTTTAGATAATCTAGACAAAAAAATAAATTGTAATAAATAAAGGCACTTTATGACATTTTTAATAACAAATGTCAAACTTGTACGTAATTTTCATTTTTTAGATAAGCAAAATCTGCGTTACTTAATTTCACCTGTATCTAATAATAATATAAAAAATATTATTTGATGTAAAATTTTATTTAGTGTGTTTACACAGTGCCAATTCTGGCGTACCAGTGATACAGGCGCCAGCTACTGAATGAATACGTGTAAATTCGTCTTAAAGGCTGATTTGGTGCCAGGTACCAATGACTGATACAGAAAAGTGTTTACGTGGTGCCTTCTCCATGACAGTGCTGGCGTACTAGTGATACTGACTCCAGATACTGGAAAAAATTAAATTAGCCTTTAGGGACAATCAAAAAATTAATAAAAATGATAGATCACAACTACCACTTTACTGTTATACAGGATGAGTCTTAAATAAGTGCAAATATTTTTAGGGGTAGTATATTTCGACTCCAGAAACACGTCTATGAGAATTTTTCCCCGAAAAAAAATTAGAAATTTTAGAATTTTTTCAAAATATTTTGGATTTTTTTTTATATTTTTTGTTAAAAAGTATATCTTTATAATATGGCAACATATGTAGTAGATTAAATTTTCAGGTAAGAAAACCCAGAAAATATTCAAGTTTTGGTTTCAATTTGGTTTCAAAATTTAAGCGAGAAATCAATTTTTTTGGAAATTTTCGAAGCAAAATATCTCGGTATTATTGACTTTTTTGAAAAACGGCAAAGAGAAAATATGTTTCTTTTATCGAGATCTACCAGCCCTGAAAATGTATGCACTTCACCGTGTATATTCTGGTTTTAAACAGACTACAGTCGACATTCCTTCAAATGTATTTCAACCTCTGCCAAAATTTCGATCCTGAATATACAGAGTCTTAAATAAGTGCAAGTATTTTCAGGGCTGGTAGATCTCGATAAAAGAAACATATCTTCTCTTTACCGTTTTTCTAAAAAAAAACGAGTTATTTAGTGAAAAGTAAAAAAAATATATTTATTGAGATGTTGAGAGCCACCGGATTTTTCCTGTATTTGCATCCCTAGAGGCATCTCTTTGTCATAACCATAGAGTAAAGCCATAAACATGGTAACATCAGAGATTAAGAAATTATACCGCGGGAAAATTGGCGGTGATCAAGCAGTTCTAAAAAGTTTTCTAAAATATACAGGAAAATATAAAAGAAAATGCACGATTTTCAATAAATAATATTCTGGGGTCGAAATATACAACCCCTAAAAATATTTGCATTTATTTTCACCCTGTATAGTAATATATTCCCTAATAAATATTTTCAGTAGTTTTTAGTATATTTGAGTAATTTGATTTTCAGAATACAGCATTTGAGTGAATCTGGAATTACGGCTTTCAAGCAACGCGAATTCTTACCTGATACCACTATCTGTCCACTGAACCTGGGCAACAAAGAACGACGTTTGCGCAACGCTGACCTAATCATGACCTACATGATAGTGGGTGGAGGTCTCATCATCTCTACTGTCATTTTCATCATCGAACTCATTTTATACTACTTTAATCTTAATAACCGCTGTTGTGGAAAAGCAGAGTTTAACAATAGAGAACGCACAGATCCCTTGTTCAAGCGTAAAAACGAAAATAATAATATTATCACCTTTGGTAATGCTTTTAAACCGGCAAAAGATTTTGTAACGCCACCTCCATCTTATCACATGTTATTTGGTCCTCCTCCAGGCAAGAAAGGTACAGATTATACGAAGAAAACGATAAATGGTAGAGATTATTGGGTAATAAATGACAAAAATGGAAACACTTCGCTCATACCTCAAAGAGCACCGTCTGCGCTATTATTTCAGTTTACAAATTAGATAATTTAAGTACGTACTGGCTGGCTCGAATTCGACGCTCATCATTGGGATTTAGGAAACCGTAAGAGATACAGGATCGGTTAAATGGAGGCAAAGTTGCGCAATTTGATGCTCAATAAAATGCCGTATTGCTTTTTTTTTATTTTTTGCATAAAATATTCTGGTAATGGAATTTTCTGTACGAAACGTCGGCAAATATCAAAGTAACTATATATAGTGTTTTAAGAGTGATAAAAGGGTTTAATTAAATTGAAAAAAAAAATTCAGGTCCGTATTTAAAAAAAAATTAAGTTGATGATGGTCGCCAGAAGCCGAAACGTCAGAGTCAATATTTAATCACACAGAGTTATAGAGCAGAAAAAGTGGCCATAAAATGTGGTGTCATTTTAAGTTATCTTAACAAATAAAGCCAGGAAACAATAGAAAACAAAATTGAAAATTCCGTTTTTTTTTCGAATATATTCGGAAGTATTCGGAATTGTTCAAAATGCAATACGGCATTTTATTGAGCATCAAGTTGCGCAACTTTGCCTCCATTTAACCGATCCTGTATCTCTTACGGTTTCCGAAATCCCAATGATGAGCGTCGAATTCGAGCCACCCTGTACAGTTTGTCAAAGAAGAGCATATTATATGCAGCAATTGCTTGATATTTTATTTCAAAAGTAGAGTATTTTCTGTAATTTTTTCTATATTGTGTGTCATTTTTTCGACATTGTCTGTCGAAATAGTATTTTTTTTACTATAAAAACTTTAAATATAGTCTGTCCAGTAAATATATACCGAGTGATTCTCAAAAGTGGCCCACCCCTATTATAATTTCTTTATTTTTTCAGATAAAAAAACGAAATTTGTTGCGTTAGTATATGACATAAATCAGGATTGTTTGACGTATGTATTTAATTGTTTACGGTCACTTCCTGTTTCACCGAAAATGATCACAATTTTTGATTTTTAAATGGCACCCTCGGTATTTTTTTACTTAATTTGATAGAAAATGATACTCTGAATAGAATGACATATGATATGTCAAGTTTTGACATTTCTGCATATGAAATTGCAACATGCGGTTCATAACGACAATTTGACTCGAAATACCAAGTGTATTGTACCAAATTATTCGTAAAAAATGCTATTTCCAAATATGTTAATGAGCCATCCTCGTTTCATTTTAAAAAATTGAGATATCATTATGAATACGACTTGGACGACTTCTAACTGGACAGGACAAGACACTAAAAATATTAGACGATCAAATCTAAGGCTCCTTGATTAAAAAACACAGCCAAGGCATTTTAGATTGAAATTTAAAATACGATTTTTAAGCAAAAATGTCAAAAGATTAACATATGACATGTCATATTCTATTCAGAATATCATTTTCTATAGAATAAAGAAAAAAATACCGAACCAAACCAAACCAAACCATTTAAAAATCAAAAGTTGTACCTAGTTAGTCATTTCCGGTGAAACAGGAAGTGACCGAAAACAATTGAATACGTCAATCAACCCTAATTTATATCATATACTAACATATCAAATCTCGTTTTTTTTTATTGGAAAAAATTAAAAAGTTAAAGGGGTGAACCACTTTTGAGAAAGACCCGGTATATTACAGCGACTGTTGTTGACTACAAACGTCTGTTAAAATATATTATTTTTTCTTGCAGGATAGTATATAATTAGAAAAGTAGTTCATAGTGTTTAACCAAAGAGTAGATTCTCTACTCTTTGGTATGACTTGAATTATATAAAATTCTATTTTTGTAGAAGATGAATCATAATTTAGTTTTGCTAATAGCTATTACCAAAACCGGCAAATTAGGTGTTGGAGTATAAGCACAATAAAATAAATAAAAAACGCACAAAAAATATATTTTAACCGATATTTGTGGTATGCTGTGTTGTGTATTCAAACACAGCTAATTCATTAGACAGCTAGTCAACTTCTCTAGTTTATCAGTACCCGCGTTTTAACTGCAAATAAAGTCTCCATAGTTTTTTATAAACCAAGTTTCAGTGGATATTCGAATTCAACTTGTTACATAGCACAAGATAAGCGAATATCTAGGTAGACAGAGTTCCATGTAAATTATCGTTAGTCGACTGGCTGTCAAATTAATAAGCTGTGATTCGACCACAGGAAATTTACAGTAGAGTACATTTTTCATGTAGTACATACGAGTATAGTTCCTGCATCTATTTAGCGAAAGGATAATATATGACATTAGTGATAGTTTTCTATGATTTTAATTCAAAAGTAGATTATATTTGTACTGATATTTTTCGATTAGTTCTTTCAAAGTGTATTTTTTATTTTACTCTAATTTGATCTCAATGTGACTTAGTTGTTTTAGTAGCGTATATGATAGTTGCTATTAAATAATTATTACAACTTATGTAGTTTTATTAGAAATATATATTTTGACAATTTTAATAACTGGTAACTTGTTCATATGTTTCTTCCTTAATATGTTATTATTTTATTTATTAAAAGAAAAAAAAAAGAAAAATAAGGGTTTATTGTATGAAGATTAATTGTTCATAATAATAATATGTTAAAACATCGGATTCGTATAACGTCAGATATAATAAATAAAAAAATATATTTCTAATAATACTCATTAGAACGATTAGATAATAACTTTTATAAAAGGCACTTATTACGGTTATCGGGTGAAAGACCTAAGACAACCTTGCGTGAAATCACTTATAAGATAATGTCATTAGAAAGCATATCTAAATAATAAATTATCAATTATTAACTAATAATGCTTGTAGTATTTATATTAGTAAGTATCCAAATCATAAGCTTTACACAGGTTTAGAGCTTGGGTTTAGAGCCCATTTTTATTATTGTTTTTAACGCACAAAATGAAAAAGAATTTTTGGAATGGCAGTAATTTAGATTCAATACTAAGTAAATTGACAGAGATGTGATCAGATTATTAATTTATTTTTAATGTTTGTAGGTAGTATGTAATACAAGTATGAGGGTAATTCAACTGAATTCTATAAGAAAAATAAATTTATTTTTTGAGTGTGTCTAACTTTTATTTTAGTACTAGAAAAATCGTTTGTTCGTAAGATGGCATCAATGAAAAATAAACCCAAGCATTAATTAATTTAAAATTGATTAATTATTTTAAGCTTTTTATGAAGCTTATTATCAAATATAATTTGTGATACTAAAGCTTCATTCAGAACCTCGCAATTAGTGGAATAAATTAGTGGTTTCAATTACACTTTATACTTTTTAGTTTACGATCATTCACAATGTTACAAAAACACAATTAAAATTAATAAAATATCTTAGCAACAGCTTGGATTAGTCAGTTATATCCATAGAAAGCCAAAAACAACTTTAGATTTCTAACATAGACTAGATTTTTTTACAATAGACATTTTAGTTACTTTATAATTTCTAACCACAATTTCTCTTGAAGGAAAAAGGAAAATAATCAAAGGCCAAAATGACATTCCTCGCAAATTTTGAAGTATGATTAGTGGAAAAGTGAAAAGTTTGATAACTTTTTCTACTAATTGAAAATGTCTACCACTAATTTTGACATACTGAATGCTTACATTGAAATTAATAGTATATTAAACAACGAGTTTCGAAAACGACGTTTTGCACACGAGTTCGACAGTTACAAAGAAGTTTTCGAACGAGTTTTTTACGCTATTTTTTCTACTACTACAAATTAGCAGCAGACTCACTCAGTTTTGTGGAATAATTTGCGATATAATGACACAGATTAGGTATCCTATAAGTATACAGATAAAAATATTGTCCCTAATTCGTGGACGAAAATGGTTTTTTATGACGATGAGCAAACGAGTAAATTTTCTTGTGCGCAAAAATAAACTCCCGTTTAAACAGCGTAATAGCCGGGCCGGTCAGGCGCTGTGCACAATTTTAGAGGTCATAATAAGTGGGCGTGCTTGTGCGCAAACTAGTAATCTAACCAGTGCGCGACTACGAAAATTGGAGCCACGAAAAACAATGGGCGCGTTCAAGGACGGTCAGCGGCTGAGTGGCTGAGTAAGCGATTTCCCTAAACGGTCTATTCTGACGAACAGCAACAGTCAGCCGCTGTGCAAAATTCTCAGCGGTAAATATTTCGGCTGAGACAAGTCAGCCTTTATATTTCCTTATCTGTGGTCAATTAATGTAAAATAGCTTTAATTTTCTCAGTTTATTGTTTACTTTTTATGGTTTGTTGACGTTTATAGTTAATCGTAGTTAATCGAATCCTTAAAAAATAGGAGATATTTGTTGTCAAAAAAGTTACAGAGCAGTAGAGGTTAATCTAAAACGTTCGAAAAAGACAATAATTGTAAATAGAGATCGAAGAAATTAAAGAAATAAAGAAAATTCAACTTGATTTCCATCTCAAGTCGAGTTTTCTAAATACAATGAAATTAAAAAAATACTACTCTGAAAAAATCTAAATCAGGATAAATAACTTTTGATTGTAATTATACCGTCTGATCAAAAAAAAATTGCCCCCAATTGACTTAGAAATGACGATCGATAATATTTCCTATATAAGTTTACTTATAAAATAACAGCAATCTTTACCTCCACATCACCCCTGACGTCGTTTTTTTTTATTGTAGGGTATTTACACCTTCAGTAATTTTACTTGTACCATACCATCAAAAAAAATGCGTAAAAGGTGCCGGTTCCTGTTATTTTAAGTTGTTTAGGTGTATAGGTAAAATTATTTATAAACTGTTATTTTTAGAAATTTAATGTTTATACTATATTGTCAAATAATATATTTTCATTTATTAAATGATCAGCCAGTAATATTTTTTTTTCATATTTCTCTCAAATTTTTATAGGAGACAGAGAGCGCATGAGACATGTACTCCAGCATGTACTCTTTCTTGTCCTTTCTGCTGTTTTGTGCCGTTTAGGGAATATCGTAAGCTGCTGGTCATCGAAATTCTACGCTGAATGTCAGCGGCTGTGTTCCCTGAACGCGCCCAATGCTTTTGACGATAAGTTTATAATCAGTATGATCTGTGGTAATGATGACACTTTTCTGACGGCTGCGTTGCGTTTGGCGCTTTAGCTAAACATTGGAGGAATAAAGTTAAAATTGACATATTATGTCGTGTGCACCATAGACTAATGTCACCTACTACAGATAGATTGGACACTGATATAAAACAAATAAGTCCGTCATTTAGAGCCACCTGGCGATCCGGAAGAAACTAATAGAGAGTTTTGGCATAACATAATTTTAGCGTTCCGTTATTTATTAACGCTAATTAAAACGGTAACGTTATTCACGCGCAAACTTAGCCCTTGTAAAATATGAAATAATAAATATAGACTATATTTTATGTTTTATTAGATCATTAGAATGGCAACATACCTATTTAAAACTAAAAATAAAATTATGAATACATACATTTTAAACACCAACAATAGAGCACATAGCGCCTATTTTTTTGATTTAACAAATAAAGTTTATAATATAATAAAAATATTATAGACTACTAATTAATTGTTACTAAAAATACTATATTACCCACTATGTACTTACTTATTTATGATTAAAGATTTTTTTATTTCGTTTATAAATGTATTATTAATCTAAGATGTCTAAAATATCTTTAATAAAAAAAGTTTAGCATCTAACACCAAAAATGATAATCAACTGTAAATATCAAAATGCACAAACTATAAACACAAATCACCGAACTTTCCGGCAAATCAGGAATATCTGAATTTAAAAATGATTTAAAAATAACTTGACGGATCACCAACATTTTGACAACTAGATCAAAACTAGACCATAGATGGTAGTTAATATAGAGGCTGTCATGTCATCTTCATTTATAAATTAGAAACCTGTACTTTAATCACGGCATATAAATTGTTTTATGTGCCGTGCTTTAATGTTATTTGCACCGTCTGGCGATGCGGAAGAAACTAAATTTTTAGTCCTATAAAATTATCATTGAGTGTCTAGGGCATGTGTAGGGCATGGTGTGCACTAAGACATATGTCGTGCGCTAAATTCTTAGCGCACGGTTTGCAAAACGCCAATTTCAGATCGAATTTTCCGTGTGTCAACCTGCATTTTCTAGGCTAGTCGTAGAAAAAGGAACAAACTTCTACGCTAATTCAAACCAAATTTATTCCACTAATTGCGAGGTTCTGAATGAAGCTTAATATAGAATTCTACATTTTCGCCAACTAGATTATTACAGCTTAAAAAAAATATGCGCCTCCATGGCTTGATGTGACAAAAACATTTTTTGGGAGTCAGCTTCGGAAATATATATTTTTTTCCTCAAAAAGAATACGCGGTGGCGAGCGCGGTGGTGTTTTTTTACAAGAACATAAAAGTAGTAAATACTAGAAGGGCCATTTTACGAAAAAAAAATCGCTCGTCGGTTAAGTTGGAAAATATTTTTACTAAAATTTATGTAGGAGTGGGGGTAGTTTTCACATTTCCTGTACTTTTTCTTATTTTTTAAGGAAATCAAATGTTAAAGCACTTAGCAAAACATAAACACCCAAAATCTCATTTAAATCAGAATAACGGTTAAAATATCTGAAAAAATGTGTTCATTTATTTTAAATTTGATGCCGTCTAACGGACAAACGAAGCACTTTTGTATAGAGGTAAATTGTATCCAATAGAAAATTTTGTTCACGGACACCCTGTATGTGGTTAGTTCATTTTTTATTCATGTGTAAGAAAGCATAAATGTTTTGATGATTTCTAAATGGCGAGCGACGTGTTCAAAAATTATGTTGTCATCCAGTATATTTGCAAAATTTATTAAAACAAATTTTATCAAAGTTATCGTCCATTGTAAATTAATTATCTTTTTTCGAATTCGTGCAAATAATGTTTTAAAATACGAATCTTAATAGCCAAAAAGAAAGACATGCATTGTAAACAAAATATTTTCTAAGTAGGCAATTGAAAAAAAAATCGCTAATAGATTATCGTTTACCGATAATTTTACTTAATAGATCACTAACCCACAAACTATCTGGATCATGATTCACGAATTAAAAACCAAATCCAGTGCAGTTTATTCCCCCCATTTAATTTTCTATCAATACTCAAGTACTATTTCCTTCGATTCATTTATTAAAAATCGGGGGTCAATAACTCGAAATTTTCAGCCAATTATTAATAAAGATAGTATTTATTTTTTGATAAAATTCATTTTAGGCGATACGTATATATAAATTGTTTTCAAAATAAGTTATGACCAGAATCAGAACGTTACTTACGCATTCATCGCTCGCGAATCTTAATAACATGTATAGTACTACATTTTGTTTGTTTATACTTTTTTCACTTAATCTTCACACTAATGTATTCTGTATAAAAGAGAACAAATTTTTGATAAATTTTGGTTCCGATTACGGTGTAAGTATAGTAAACTCAATGCAAAAGTTTAATTATGAGGACTTTTTTCAAAGTACGATAAAAAGTGAAAAGTGTCTGAGCGATTTAAAGGCGTTCTATGCCAACTTAAAGAATATTACTGACGATGGGATGTGGGCGTTAAAAAGTAAGTAAGACTTAAATTTAATAAATATTTTTACTATACAAGGTGGTCCGAACTGTATTCCGGAAACTTCGGCAGCATATTTCTGCAGATGAAAATAAGTAAAAAAGTTCTTATAAATATACGTCCTAAAATGCTTAGTTTCGGAGATACAGGGTGTAGAAGTTTCATTTATATTTCGATTTTTTTCAAATAATTTATGAAGTAACATCAATATTTGGATGAAAATTGGTGTCTGGGAGTTTTTTGACATGACAAATTTGATTTTGATGACTCCTACTTGTACCTCTACAAGTAGATCAATCAATTTATTGCGCACCCTCGCGCCACCTACATATTTTTTAACTGGTTTGAAGAGTAATAACTTTTAGTCCGTACCTGTATAAAACTACTGAATAAAAAAATATACATTTACGACATTTTTTACGTAAAAAAAGTCTCTTGGGAAAAATCGCTACGAGTAATAGTTCCCGAGATATTTGGAATCGAAATTATCAATACTTTGAGAACGGTTGCTCGTAGCAATTTTTAACAAAGAGACATAAAAAGTCACGGAAATGTATATTTTTTCACTCAGCAATTTTATACAGGTAAGGACGAAAAGTTATTACTCTTCAAAACAGTTAAAATACATGTAGGTGGCGCTCTCTACAAATAAGAGTGATATTGACATCAAAATCAAATTTCACATTTCAAAAAAGTCCCGGGCTCCAATTTTCATCCAAATATTGACATTACTTCAGAAATTATTTAAAAAAATCGAAATAAAAATGAAACTTCTCCACCCTGTATCTCCAAAACTAAGAATTATAAGAACATTTTTACATATTTTTATCTGCAGAATATGGTGCCGAAGTATCCGGATTACAGTTCGGACCACCCTGTATAATGTAAATGCCAACCTCAAGCTACAAGGTAATCCAAGTTTTATATGAGAGGTTTCTGGTATGACATTTTTACTGCAACTTTTTAGCCGACCATACCAACAGGTATGGTATGGCTATTAAGATCGGCAAAAAAAAGTGCTTTTAATTTCACTCAAAATGAGTTATTTGGATCATAAATGACCTAAATACAAAATATTTTCATGGTGTCTGTCTGTCTGTCTGTCCGTCTATAACACGATAACTCAAAAACCGCTAAACCGATTTTAAGCATATATGTCATTAGTTTTTGGTAGGGATGGTGGGTTGGGAAGGGGGTATGAGAGGGGGTTAAAAATTTTAAAAAATCGTAACTCCAAAATTGCAGTAGCTATAGCGAAACGCGGTTTTCAATTTAAGATTAGGAATAATATTTGCAACAAAATTTGTAATAACATCAAAATCAGTCAAAGTTGCAGTTTTTGAGATATTCCGTGTTTCCGTAGTCCGTTTTTGAGAAAATCCGTGTGGAGAACTCCAAACTCCCATCGGACGCGACCCCAGGTGGCGGATAGGGGAAATAACCGCGAACCAAAACTGGAAAAATTCCTTTACTTTGGAACTAAAAGAACTGCCTACCAACTTTTTATTAACATATTTTAGTATAGGCGGCTATACGTGCCTTCCGGCGCCAATTTTTTTATTAAATATGCGGGTAATGGTATCGCACATTTTAAAAATATTTTTAAACTAAAGAAAAACTATATTTTCAAAATAAAGTTGTATATTTTTAAAGGGCTATGTCATTAATTCTATTCCCATTTATTCTATTGTCATTAATTCCCTTTGCATTTCAAAAATATCATAACTTCATATTTTGACAAAATTTCCTATTCAATTAAAACACTCGAAGTTTTAGTGTGAATTCCGTAGAGGACACCAGTATACTGTAATTCCGGTTCAAAAGCATGAAACATTTTTAATTTTAATATTTTGAGAAAACTTAAAATAAGTAAAGTTGCCTTTTTTCCTATTTATAAAAAACTATCCATTTATTTTAATAGTTACAATACCGTATGATCAAAAAAAAAACGACGTCCAGTTGGCTTGGAAATGACGATCGATGATATCCATATAATTTTATATACCCGGTGCGTCTCAAAAATGGCTCACCCCTATAACTTTTTTATTTAAAAAAAACAAAAACAAAACAAACGAAATTTGGTATGTTGTAAATAGTGTAACTTTGTGTAAAAAAGAATATGACATAAATTAGGATTGATTGACATATTTTAAATTTGAAACTAGAGTGCCATGGCTGTGTCAAAAACACGAATTTTTAATCAAAGAGCATTGGAAAAATAGATTTGATCAACTAATGTTTTTAGTGTCTTGTCCTGGCTGGTTAAAAGATGCCTAAATCTTGTTTAGAATCATATCTCATTTTTTTCAAATGGAACGAGGCTAGCTCATTAGCTTGTTTGGAAAATTATTTTTTTGAGGAATAATTTAGCAACACACACTTGGTATTTCGAGTCAAATTGTCGTTATGAACCCCATGTTACAATTTCAAATAAACCATATGCGAAAATGTCAAAAGTTGACATATGATATGTCATTCTATTCAGAGTCATTTCCTATCGAATAAAGTAAAAAGATACCGAGGGTGCCATTAAGTAATCAAAAGCTGTAGTCATTTCCGGTGAAACAGGAAGTGACGCCATTAACATTTTTATTACTAAAGAAACATTTATTATGATTTATTTTTAGTGATTGATGCAACTGCCAAAATCCCCTCTGGAATACTGAATCTTAATTTAGGCGGTTGGATGGGTAGTTTTGATGAATGCATAAATATTCACAGTAAAAAAACTAACATTAGAGGGAATTATTGTTTAGGAACAATTTATATAGATATATCACAGGTCTTACAACATGGCGAGGTAACCAATTCGTATACATGACACACTCTCAATTGTGTAAAATACTGATATGTCGGACTTCATTATGTCGTCTTTATTTGTTGTTGGTACTGGTTATGCCTGGGTGAACTAGGAGCTCTGGCAAGAAAGGAACAAAATTAAATGATTAAAATCACGGCAATAGAAGTTCGACATCACAGTTTTATTTCGAATGAAACTTTTCTACCTTTAGACAAACTGTATCGTATTTGTGACGCTTTTAGGATGCTTCTATAATGCGCAAGGCCCATCTTTTTCAAAAACAAAAAGCAAATTTTCAACAAGCCTTTCCAACTGCCTCGTATCCATCATTTGGTATCTGCATACCCGATGGATGCAAGGAAGAAGACCTCCAAGCAGTGGTACTGGCCCTAAATATTACGATTAATCTTCCATTCGAGTGCCAGACTTTTGAACAAGCAAATCCGCCACTATCAAAGGGTGCCTGGATAACAGTGTGAGTTTAGTCGGTCTGATAAAAATGTTAGAAGTTAATATACAGATTGATAATTTTAAAGCTAACAATCGAAAATATCTCTTAAGATTTGGACTGTAGTTGTGTGTGAACTAATTCAGTGCGCGTCCTCCTTCACATGAAGCCACCGGTGTGTTCGACATTGGTGTCCACCACAGGTGTTCAAATTTAGAAAAGAGTTTTTTTTTAAATCTACGTATACATATATTGCTTTTAGTGGCATAGCAGTCGCTGTCTAGTCCCTCACTTGACGTTCTGATTTGTGTCAGGCAGCGGTGATCAAAGAGCGAGATTGAAGCTACCGGTGGCGGACACAACTGGCTATGAAAGTGGCTTCGTGCGAGAGAGCTCGAAGCTTGCATGCAGATAGCTCGCGTCCACATAGCAGAAAGCTGCATCCACATAGCTCGCGAGTAGACCGAACGAACACGTGAAACACGAGAAACATGGCAAACAGTCGGAGCGAGTTGTTCGCGGTGCTCTACGTGCATGCAATCTCATAAAATGCCTGTTTCGACTGTTCGGCTCTATCGCGGTACATCAAAGATACGCTTCGGAGCCATGCGAGCATACTTTACGGCGCGGCGCGGCAGTTCGAGACGCTCGAGCTGTTTGCGTTGTTTGTTAAGTTATTAGTTTGGTTTCATTCGTAGGATTCGGTATATATTGCAGTATGATGATACTACCACGATTTTTCTAATCTTATTTTGTTCAGGATTATAAATATTTGTGTTGTTCTTGGATTAATAATATTAAATATACCTTTAATAAAATATAACTCTATATTTATATTTCCTACTTACCTTAATATGATCTTTGAGAACTTTATTATTTATAATATTTTGGCATACGCCTGGTAGGTATTATTGTTGAAATGCTTTGCTTGGAAACTTTGAATTAATAACCCAAATTGGTATGCGAGTCTCTAGTTGCAAAGGAATCTTAATGTTTTGGCCAATCTTTATTTAACTCTTTCTTTAACCGGAATACACTTCCTAAAAGTTGTATTTTTTCTTTCTACACGTGGCGTGGGTCAACTGAGCTAATAAGTCTTTCAAAATCAGTAGCGGACATGCGAGAAAAAAATATTAAAAAACATTCTGTCTGTTTGTAAATCGCGTAGATGTTTACGTTCACTGTGCTGGGATTACTTTTGAAATTATTAAATATCCAACACCGCCTTTTTTCTGTTTGTCTCCTTCGTTTTGCAAGCACTAGCAGCCGCTATTAAAAATACTTCGGTATCATCCATGTCCGATCAGCACGAACGCAACACTACATTTAAATGTGGACGCCGCGCCGCGCCGTTGCTTGCGAGCCGAAAGATCTCGAGAAACACGACAAACAGGAAGCGCAAGCAACGGAAGCACAATCAGGAGCAAGAGTGCGAGCAGGATCACGAGCAATGTGGACGCGCCTTAAGAAAGATCCTGACATCTCGATTGCTAGTTTCCAAATTACCACTCTCTAAGTATTGAGCTCACTAACGAACGAATTATTGTTCAATTAACATAACAGTTTTATTTTTTAGTGGATTCTTTGCTTTATGTATTGTTGTGTTAACCTCTTCAACAGCTTACGATATTTACTGTGAGAAAATTAAAAAAGGTAACCACAATACATTACAATATTATATTAATATCATAAAAAATTTTTAAATATCTGCATTATAGAAAATAATATATATATATGTATATAGGTATGTCATGTCAATTAAACTTTTAGTTACGTAATCGAGGGCGCGATTTTTAAATTCTTCGTTGCCAACCATTGACATGTTCGGCGCCGTGCTGATTAACTGGAATTTAAATTTCGCGCTGACGATTCAGGTGGTAGCTCTGCTGTAAAAAATGTCAGGTTTATTTGTTTATATCTTTTGATATATCCTGACTATATATTGATATATCCTGACCTTAGACAAGGAAAGAGAGGGGACGGGTAACGCGCATATTCTCCCGTGATCGGATAGTGAGGCCAAAATTCGATCGGCGGCCATACTTTGGTTACAAGATTTCGAGGTGACACCGAGCGAATTTTTATGTTTTTTGTGACAACTGTTTTGTTTTAAATTTTTAAACTGTGTTATGTAGTATGGTGAGATGTTCAGAGTATGGCTGCAAAGGTCGAAGCGAGAAAAAAGTGGCTGGAATTACATTTCACGGGTAAAAATCGATACACAACTTTTGTTATGTGGTCATAAAATGTACATTTTTTTCATTATAGCAGTAAAAATATGTAAAATGCTTTTAATATGTCTTGTACCACATCCAAACCAAACTATTTTTAATAATTCCAAGTAGTATTTTCAATATCCTGTATTATAATTAATGTTTGAAACTATAAATATTGCTACACAGACCGGATTTCACCAGTGACATAGGGAATTATAATCAGAGAAATACAATTTCTGCAATAAATATTTTTTTTTATATATTTTACATGTAAAAAAATGTATAAAGTATTGTTATCAAATATGTAAAATAATTGTAAACTATAAAAAATGAAAAATTCTAGTGATAAAAAATCTATATGTAGAGTTATATAAAACTTAAATTTACCTGCCAAGATTTGTTGGGGGTGGACAAACTTGTGGTGGGCTACTTGTTACTACATACATATATTTTTTTAAATATTCTTTCAAAAAATTTGCTAATTTAAGTGTATAATAATAATTTCAGTGAGTAATTAATAAAAACGCAAATAATAATATAACAATAATTAACGCAAGTGTGAAGGGTTAATGGCTAGATTCATTATTAAACAGTATGGTCAAAAAAAAAACGACGTCCAGTTGGCTTGTAAATGACGATCGACGACATTCCCCATATAATTTTACATATAAAATGACAGCAATCTTCATTTCATAGCCATCGCTGACGCCGTCTTTTTTCGATGTCTTTTTGTATAGTTTTTATGTCATTTTATATGTAGAATTATATGGGGAATGTCATGGATCGTAATTTACAGGCCAACTGGACGTCGATTATACGGTATAATAATGAATCTAGCCAATTCTCTTCACACTTGCTTACGGATTCAATATTCAATGAATAATGTAATTTTTAATATTCATTTATGAAATTGTCATTTCCAAACAAACAAGACGCCGTTTTTTTCGATCATACAGTATATATGTATATACACGTTTAAAATATATGTTATTACGTTATATTTTATTTAATTATACATTATACACACGTTAATAAAAAATAGTTGTCTTGATAATCAGTCCACTGTGACTGTTAAATAAATTTTGCATTATCGACTTAGATATTCTAATATTATAAATGTGAGACTATAAAATACAAAATTGTACATGCATTACTCAAAAATGAACGATATATTAGTTTACGTTTTACTAAATATTTTGTACAGTCTAGGTACAAGCTAATTTCTGATGCTACGCCATTGGAGAATTTCGAGTGGTGACAACTTGCCTCACTTTTAGCTGCCGTGTTACCTGTCCCCTCTCTTTCCTTGTCTAAGATCCTGACATTGTCATTCGTTTTGACACTTTAGTTTTGTATTACGAATTTTTGATTTAAATAAATAGTGTTGTGATACTTTAAGAAAATGTTTACTAGCAGACCTTCCAGTCGAACATCGTTCTTTTTAGAACCTCTTTTAGTGCGAAGTGTACAAGATAGCTTAATAGCCTTAAAAAACTCATCGCAACATTATTAGAATATTTTGAACGGGAAAGCGATAGTAATGGCCGTTTATGTCCGTTAAGTGCTGTTAAGAAGGTGAGTTTTGTAGATGTAAATAATAACTGTTTGCATATTTATAATTAATTAATTTATTTTTGTTTCTTAAAATATTTTGATTAAAAGAAAATATTTAAATGTGGGCAACGCTGTGCTGGTCAAACTTAATCATGTGACTAAAAGTTTATTTGGTATGAACTGCAGTAATATTGTTTTATTAGGAGTAAAAATGATACTTATTGCGACGAGGCTGTACGTTTGACTTAGGGTACCCACATAGTGAGGCATCTCGATGAAATGCATCCTACGCGCACTAATTCGCCGTTTTAAAACAGTGCTTAAAACGTGCGCCTAGGATGCATCGCGGCGAGCATCGCATCGAGATGGGCCACTATGTTTGTACTCTGGGTACCTACATAGTGAGGCATCTCGATGCAATGCCCGTCGCGATTCATCGTTTTAAAACAGTGCTGAAAACGTGCGCGTAGGATGCATCGCGGCGAGCATCGCATGGAGATACTACGGGCTTCCTAATACTAAATAAACAATATTTCTTATGCCGGGTCCAGACCAAAGCGACAAAATGTAAACACGATTTTGAGACAAAAACAAGACAAACATGCGACAAAAAAAGGAGAATTCTGACAAGACAAACTTCAGAAAAATTGTCCACACCGCAAGAACAAAAGTACAACAAAGTCAGAAGTTTAGTTGTTGCGAATGAGTTTTATTAACCATGTGTGATTTCACTGGTCTCCTACTGTTGGCAGCACACGCCATCCACACTGCGCCGACAACTTGTCGTAAAATATACGAACAAAACATAGACACTTTGATCTTTACTGACTCGAGACGGGATATTGAAAAGTCTCCGAATTTTGAAACAAAACATAAATGAGACAAAAATGTCGCAGAAATGTATTGGATTTGTCGCAATTTTATCGTAAAACATGAATGTTTCTGTCTTCTTCGTTGATTTGTCTGCTTGGTCTGGAACCGGTATTACATAACTGATTTCAGCTAAACGAAAGTAGCCCTGATTTCAGCTGTTCTAAAGTTGAAAAACTCAAAAAGGATGCATTTCCGCAGGAAAAATTTTGTGACATACTATTCAAAAAGGCTTCCAAATACTAAATAAAGAAATATTTCTTACATGCATGACTGTTTTCAGCTAAACGAAAGTAGAGCCAAGAAATAATTACTTCCAGTTACTTTTAGAACCATCGCATGCATTGATTGGCTCGTACTCCGTATACAGCAATGGTAAGAAACTCTTTAGAATTAGGAAAAGTACCACTGAGCTGTCGTGTTTGCATGGCATTAAAGTACTTAGCATGATGTGGGTTGTTGCAGGCCATACGTTCTCTATCATGATCACTGGACCGGTCATGAATTCTCTAGATGTCTTAAAAGTAAGACCTTTAATATATATAATTTTTATAGAATATAAATAACTTATTTACGTACCATTATTAATAAAATTACAAGAAACATTTACATAAAAACGAAATTTTATTTGTTGAAAATGGCAGGTATCAATATATCACTAAACTTTTTTTACCAGAAATATACGTCAAAATTTATCAGAGCACTCTATCTAGGTTTCTCGAGCCAAGTAAGGCCGGGTATACACTTAAGTTTCAAACTGTTTTAATTAAGATTGTTTTAATAAAATTAGTAATTTTTGTACATTGAGAAAAACAAAATATCGTAAACAAAAACTTCAAATATATAATTATTGCTTTGATAATAGCCAAACCAAAGAGCGAAACATAAATTTAATTGATTTTTCTCAGATTTTTTTGTATATCCTTCTTGGATGTTTGTTTGTTTTGTTTTGTTTTAATATACAAAATATCGACAGGGTGTATTGTTTCATATGGTCTCCAAGGTACAATATACCTTCTAGTTAATTATTTTATGGGTATACCTACTATGAAATTTGTGGTAACCGTTGAAACGTTGGGTTAATCAAAATAAATAAAGACAATAATGGAAGTCCGAAATTCTTTTATTTTCGACTTATTGCTGCTTATTCTATCAGGTGTTCCATTAATAGTATCACAGATATATAGTATATTATTCAACGGTGGCTGTTATTCACGCGGATGAAGTTTATGTCATAAATCATCCGAATGTAATAAGTGAATAACAGCCATTATATGCGAGTCAGGGGCGCCGACTGAGTGGGTGCTCGGGTGCTCTAGCACCCACGAGAAGAAAACAGTGGGTGCGGAGCACCCACGAACATAAGCGCCAAAATTAATCAGTTTAGCAACTTTAAGCGACACTTATCCACTGCACGGCAAGAGGTCGCTCAAAAACTTTAGAAAGTCCTTTGGTTTGGTTGGAAAAAGTACCACAGTATAATCTGTGATAGTATGATTTGTGTAGTTTTTCGAAGAAATAAATTCTAAGTTCTCTCGTCCATTCTTATGTAGTTAACCAATCCTGTTTTGCAACTTTTAAATAAGCAAGGAAATTGACATGGGAATAATTATTTCCTTTAAGTAGCCAATCTTTGGTCCATTTGTTTCTATTAACTAGTCGTTGCTTTTCTGCCTTTTCTTTATTGCACCAGCCAGCAAAATGCAAAACAGAACTTATCTTGAGAGGCCATTTTTTTCACTTAGAAAAAATGTGCTGAAGTGAGTGCGTACTCAGTTCTTTGTAGATAAAACTATACTATAAAACTAGGTGTTTGCGGCAGGCTGTAGTACAGGTTAACCTACGCAAACTGGACAGTACAGTTCCTCTGTGTTAAACTGAGTTTGAGCTAATCTGAGTCTGTGTGGGCTCTAAAAGTGTTTAGGGATTAGAGTTTATATATCTATCTATCTATGATAATTGTAATTGTTATAAATTGGAAGCGAATTTTCAACTACTTAGGAATGCCAAAAATTTATTTGGCTATTGGATTCTGAACCGTCCTAAAGCTCCGTCCTAGAAAGCTGCCAAATAATGTTCAGAATCGGTAACAAAAAACCTGTAATATGTGTTTATTTTCGAGAATTTTTAGTTTTGGTGGATAAATTTGTCGATCGAAACCCTAAGCTGTCCAATCCCGAATATCCTTCCACTATCTTTTCAGCAATTTCTAACTTCATTCATTTTGTATCTAAACTAGAGTATCTGTCTGTTTTACTATCTGCCCTTACATGATTGTAATGGAAATCATTAATATCGTATGATCGAAAAAAACGCCGTTCAGTTGACTGGGAAATGAGGATCAATGACATTTCCCATATAAATTTACATATAAAATGACATATGAATGCGATCTTTATTTCACAGCCATCGCTGACACCCGTTTTTTTCATCATACGGTATATTCTCAAATTGGTATCTGCACTAAAAAAAATATTTCTACATAGATCAAATTATACTCAATAGGATTGTAAAAATTACATAAACACTTTTTTACATATTACATACATGTAAAAAAGTGTTAAATACAACAAATGTAACAATCTGGAAATGTATTACATTTACTTATATCTGATAAGCACCCACGAGGTTTTATAAAACCTGGCGCCCCTGATGCGAGTAGAATACTATACTTTATCCAGGACTATCAAAAAACTTAATATAAGTTTTTATTTTTAATGTCAAAAAAATATTGAACGAGTATAACGAGTAAGTAACATGGAAACAAAACATTGAAATTTTCTTTAACTAGGTAGCTAACTAATTTAGCTTTAACCAATTAAAACAAAATAGTGCCGGTTTGGATCGAGCACAGCTCTTTTTTGGAGTTTGGATCGAGATATCCGTGGAAGCGGTGAATAATGACACCATTATTCACTAGTGAATAATGAATATTATTATTATTTCATAAACTCATGGATAATAATCAAATTATAGATGAGTCGTGGATAAAAAAAGTAATATTTTTGTCTTAACATTCTGATTGATTTTAAAATAGAAAATAATTATATTTATTACTTTTAGTATATTGACACAACAAAGAGTATGATATTTGCAAATGCTGTTCATTCGGTAGACACTTTCTTGATGGTCACTGGATTATTAGTGATGTACAGTTATATGAAGTCAAGGCACCAGGGCTCTAAATTCAATTTGTTGGTTTTTTATTTGCACAGATATATCAGGTTGGTAGATTATATTGACTATAAAGACTAATAAGGGAGAGTCAAATATTATTTTTATATTGGTGAAAAATAAAATCTTGACATTTTTTATTCAAATGGTTTAGAGGTCGTCAGATAGTATGATTTTTTTTGGCAAGTAGTAAATTTTTAGTATATCTATCCCAATGATCCTAAAGGCGCACTCTCACGACTCGTCTACTTGGCAAGTACGCCATATTTGCGTACTTGGCAAGTATCCCCACCAGTCGCTACTTTGTAAACAACATCGGCAAGTGTGGCGCTCACACGACGCACAGTGATAGAAAATTGATTTCTGAAGTTCCAAAATTCAAATTTCTTATTGACTTAAATCTTTTACAAAATTATATATTATCCTTCAAAGAAAGCTAATAAACAGTGCTACACAAATCCCAATCGCCCTGGCTAAGAAACAATTGCTCAACGTTGATCGAAAGTCGAAACAGTTAATACGCCGTTTAGAGAAATTCTGATCTCTGTTTCGATTGCAGTCTTAACCGTTTCGTTAAATTAATATTTGTGTGTTTTGATTTCTCAAAATCATGCTGCATATTTCTGGAGATATGTAATTTGTGTTTTACATAAAATTATGATGTTTAGTATGAAAGATACTTTAGGACGCTCAATTATAGTGTACATTGTAAATTAAAGAATAATGCGAAAACGTTGTTGCATAACAAGGTAGAACTTCTTTGTGCCTTGTTACGACTTTCAAATACTAACATCATTTTTTTCTCCACCTTTTTTCCTTCTAAATAAAACAGAAAACTTTTGCCACCAGACGCCCCTTTTAATTTGTATTTTTATAAACAATTTCGGGACGATCAGGCGTATCGACTTTTTTGAAGTTTTGAAATCGAAGGGCCCTTTACACCCTAGGACACTTAACAGCCAACAAATACTCTTGCAATACTCGAAATAACAAACAAACAAATACTCGAGCTCAATTTTCTTCAAAAACATGATGGTGAAAACTGCACATTAATATCTGTTACCGTTTCGGAGTTACGGGGTGTTTTTCAAGAATATGCATTTTTAACAAGTCGCTGTAACTTTTTTGCTATGGAAAATTTTGTATTTTTATAAAAACATTTCCAAAGCACCTTTTTACGTAGAATTTAATGGTTTAAGTATAATTTTTTTAAAATTAATAATTTAAGAATTATCAACAGAAAATTTGATTTTTTTATATAGGACACCCTGTATATTTTTAATTTATCGAAAAGAATTTAAAATTACCTTTCCAAAAATATAACACACTTGATATTTTGCTAGATTCCTCTTCGAGATATAGAGTATATAAAAATTCGCCCGCTTTTAAATAAGTAAGCTTTGAACGGCACCGGCTGCAATGCAAAAAAATTCTAGCTGTGAGCATCAATTAAAACGAAAATAATATTTACTATGAAAGATGCAGAAGTTTTGAAATCGAAGGGCCCTTTACACCCTAGGACACTTAACAGCCAACAAATACTCTTGGATTATGTTTTACATATTGTTGGAAGTGAGGATCTCTCAGTTGAAGGCAAAAAACTTAGTTGTTAATACTATTGATTATTTTACAAAGCATGAAAAGTGGAACAAATCAAAACGTTATGTACAAAACAATTCAAAATTTCATATTGAAGTCATTTCCAGAGGATACAATCAGAAAAGTCGATTTCGAAACGGTATTTTTTTGTAGTTTCTTGACAGTTTGTCAGGTTTCCAATGATTCAATGGTGCTATACTTTGAATATCAAGTTACTTGAGCTAATCCAGTAATAAATTCCATATAAAAAAATTTCATAGAAGAACCAGGCTTGGAGCCAGGGCTAAAAATATACATTTTCCACTTTTTATAATTGTCCCAAATTTTGTAGATAGCCTTAAAATATCATTTTAAACACTTTTTTCCAATGACTTTTTTCGATATTTTGCCATCTAACCCCACTTTTCGGGTTTTCATAGCGGTTTTTTTTAATTTGCCGCCATGACAGTGATCACGTGACTGATGTCATAATGACATTTAAAGTTACTAAACACGCAGAAGCGATCCCCATACAAAATTTATTATTTTATTTCATTTATACATATGTAGCCAACATTATGGTAGACACTGTATAGGTAGACAAAGAGGGTGAAATGTCGATTTTCAGTTATTTGCAGCTTAAAAACAGTTGAAAATAGGTATAAAACATAAAATATGTCTAGAATTTGACATAAAATCCACAAATATAATAAAAAATGTAGGTGTTTCCATTAAAATAAAGAAGTTATCTGGCATAACTCATTTTTTGGGACACCCTGTATACATTAAAATATCATTAAAAAAATGGCTTACAAAATCTATAATCGACGTGTCCGAGCGTTTTTTCGAAAAAAAGAACATTGTTTTTTTTAGATTCTCACTGTGAAAATAAATAAACAATCGTATATAGGGCACTCGTATCTATAGTTATTATCTATATATTATCTATAGTTAGTAAAAAAACTTTTTCAACATCATTTGTAAGAGTTTATTAGCTTATACCTTGATTTATAACGCCAAAAAAAACCCTTACATAACATAAATATTTTTGGAATCGTAGAATTGCATTTTGAATCACTGTGCGACGTGTCCATTTCAACAAGTACGCCAACACAAACTTTGTTTCAATCCTTGGCAAGTAAACAGTATAGTCGCATCGATGGATACCGGTCGTCCCGAAATTGTCGTTGCTAGTGATTCTTGTTTCTTTTTAAGTTACTGTACATTGCAATACGATTTCTATGTTCTTTATGTTTGGCCATCCATATGAATGGCTCATTTTCGTATAAATCCATAAATTCCAAAACATCATTTGCAGACTACACGGAAAAAAAATAGCTATGTCCATTTTAATTGGAGCCGAGAAAAATGCCATTTAGTGTTTTTAAAGAAATAGTTATTTTCGGTTGAATAATTAGAAAAGTATATATATTACTACCAATTCTGAATTATTAATATTGTTAATTATCGCCATATTCGGAAATAAATGTATAAAAGTGATCCTTTGACTCGGGCTATGTTTACCGACAGAGAATGGGAACGCGACGAGTGCCTAAGGAAACCGTTCCCACGACATGGCGAGTATATTCCAATACCAAATGTTTGTCAAGTACACGAGTCGTGAGAATGCGCCTTAATAAATTAATTACTTGAAATTAGATAATGGAAGTTGGAAAACAAAAAGGAATTTTATCGGCCATATTAAGACCCCTTTGCGGTCTTGCTAATTTCATTGATGATCTCTCTTAACTTTTTATTCAGTGAAAAAATAAATCACAACTGAGGCACCAATATCTTGTTTATTCTAGATTGACGCCTCCATTTTTGGCTGCTATAATTATCAGTATGACATTATTAAAATATATGGGTTCTGGACCGCACTGGTCGTTTATAGTGAATTATTTCCAGGGTTTCTGTGAAAAGAGCTGGTGGTCAGCTTTACTGTATCTACAAAATTATATTAATGTGCAGCAGTGGGTAAGTACCTACGTTGGCAAAAATCGAAATTAAATTAATTAATATTAATACTGCACGAAAAAAATGTCGTCAAAGATGGCAATAGATAATAATTTTGGTGAGGTTAAGTCCTAAACGTCATTTACTAAAAATTGATATAAAACTTGTCAAAAATTAACACTAAGTAAAGTTGAGTATACAGGGTGCTACAAATTCGGGATACGAGCATTGGTATCTCGGAAACCGTAATAGATACGAAGATGGTTAAATTGGGACCAAGTTGCGCATTGGGATGTTCACCAAGATGCCATCAAAAAAGTTTAAAAAATTTCAAGGATTGCTGAGTTTTTTGGAAAAAACGGATTTTTTTGAAAATCAATTTTTTTCCTGTCGTTACATTTTAGAAAATCAAAAAACTAATTACACATTCTCATAGCCACTTTATTAGGGCTATCTGATAGTATTTCTAGATCTTCAAATTAGCTGATAATTTGAAAAGAGATACAGAGTCCAACTTAATTTTTTTAAATACGGACCTGCATTTTTTATTTCAGTTTTTGAAAGAACTCGGTCTCCTGAGTACAACGATATGCCACACTTTATACTTTTTTTTTGTTTCGGACATTTGAACACAATTTATTTAAACTAATTTCAAGTCCAGCTCTGTTTTTTTAATATTTAATCTATTCATCGTTACAATATTGATTAACATTCAAAATTAACAATGACGTGGGGTAAAATATTGAATACGGAAAATCAAATGCAATAAAATAATATAAAATTATAAATATAAATATAATATAATATAAACAATCAAATCATTTTCCCGGAAGATGGACTGGCAATAGTAGAGCAATATAATGTTCAGCGAGGTTCCTGGACCTATCGCCAAGGGGCTACATTACTTGACGTCATTTTTAAAAATGAAATCAATTCATCTCAACATTTACAATAAAGAGTACAAAATGCATACGGAAGTATAAGAAGAAAGTTCAAAGAGCTATAAATAAAATTGAACAAAAAATAAATTTATGCAATAGGGAAGGTGGTAACCCTTTCGAACACGTTGAACATTAGAAACTAGTTTGTAGAAGTTGATTTATTTATAACAATTACGATTAATATTATGCATATTATTAGATCGCACACTGAAATTTCAAATTCACAATAAAAAAAAGTTAAAAATAATATCTTTAAATTTCTGACCTGGATATTCTTTATTTGAATCTTCCAATTGACCCGATTTTCATTATTCATTGTTAATTCATTCAGATTAAATATTTTAAGAAACCAGACTCGGACTTGAAATTATTTCAAATATAATTAAAGAGTTTTGTTGCTGTTAAGGTACCCAAAACAAAAAAAAAATATAAAGTGTGGCATATCATTATATTCAGGAGACCTAGTTCTTTCAAAACCTGAAATAAAAAATGCAGGTCCGTATTTAAAAAAAAATAAGTTGGCCTCTGTATCCCACAAATTATCAGCTAATTTGAAAATCTAAAACTACTATCAGACAGCCCCAATAAAGTGGCTATGAGAATGTGCAATCAGTTTTTTGATTTTCTAAATAGTAACAACAGAAAAAAATAAAATTGATTTTCAAAAAAATCATTTTTTTCCAAAAAACTCAGCAATCCTTGAAATTTTTTAAACTTTTTTGATGGCATCTTGGTGAACATCCCAATACGCAACTTTGCCCCAATTTAACCATGTTCGTATCTATTACGGTTACGGAGATACCATTGCTCGTATCTCGACTTTGTAGCACCCTGTATATGCATCTGTATTGCTTTGTCCATTGTTTCGTCACTCCAATCATATTTAAGTATGAGCTGTCATTAAAATAAACACAAATTATCATTGATTATCATTTCCCAGCCGTCATTGAGGAAGTTTTTTTCAATCGTATGGTGGTAGAATTTTTATATTACTCTGCAATTCTTTGCAGTGCATAGGTCAAACATGGTATTTAAATATAGATTGGCAGTTGTATCTCTGTTCTCCAATATTTTTGCTGTTGCTATCATGGAAACCCAAATTAGGCCAAGCAGCATTATTTGTAGCGCTCGTAACATTTATAATCGTCCCATTTTACATAACGTGGGTAAATGAACTACCAGCTTTAATAACCAACTTACATGGGTGAGTATTAAGGAAAAAATATGAAATGGTGTGTACCTTCACAAATTTTTTTACAGTGACTTGGTAAATTTTCAAAATAAATATTATTTGATAACTCACACCCGAGCATCCCCTTGGTTCGTGGGAGCGTTGATGGGATATCTTGTTTTTCAAATTAAATTTGGATATTACAACATAAAACTAAATAAGGTATAGTATTGTACAGGGTGAGTCAACGATAGAGTAAAGTCCATTATCTCATTTGTTTCGAGGTTTACAAAAAAATGTTAAATACAAAAGTTATAGGGAATGTTAAGATACACATTTTAAAATTATTATAGAATATACAGGGTCCTTCAAAAATGTGTGGCGGATATAACATATGTTGTTTTAAATGCAACACCCTATTTTTTATTTTATTTTTAGATTCTGCGTAAAATTCTATAACTTTTTTATATATAATGTTATATACCTAAAATTAATGGTTTTTGTAATATTTAAATTTGTTTATACAAATGTTAAATTGCAGTGTGGTAAAAAATTGTCAGTTGTACCATTGTTTCTGAAGTTGGAATACCAAAATTTGGTATGAAAGTTCTATAGAGATTAAAAAGAAGACATATGTTAAGATATTTTAGTTAAATGCTACAGGGTGTTTAAAATATATTTATGAATTTCAACTACTTAAAATTAAAAAATCTCAAATTTTTTAAATGGTACACCCTATATATTTTCATTTTTTCTGATAGATTTTGCAAAGCTCTTCAACTTTTATTAAGTATGTCATATACCTATTTTTAATAGTTTGCCACTTATTCCAATTTTTTCTATTTTTATCCTAATTTTTAATACAATTACGCTATAACATCATAGTTGCCGTGACAAAACAAACATATTTATTACTTATTTTTAACAAGTAGTTTAATAATTAGTTACAATTGTTATTATTAGTCAAAATTAACTAACTTTACTCAAATAAACTAAAATCGTAGTCGTGAATTTCTTGGTGTATTTCTATATTATGAAAGATGACATTTGGATTTTCCGTCGGGCCGAATAGCCGCAGATTAGGGTAATACTTTGGTAATACTAACTAGATTACCTGAGAAGTGTCTCACTATTGGAATTACATGTACATTTTCTTGGCAGTCGCTGGCAGTCATTGGCAGTCTTGTGGCAGTCGCCTATAATAATTACATGGCAGTCATAGGCAGTCTTCTCATAGTCACTGGCAGTCGCTTAGAATTGGAAGGATATTTTGGCAGTACGTGTACATTTTTAACCCAAGTGAGACACCCCTCGAGATTACCTAATTATTGACGACTACTGATATTGAAATTTTCTCCGACATACAGTAATTTTTTTTTCTCGTAGTAATTCTGGTTTATAATTCATTTCGTAAAACCAATATTACTACTGCCACAAAACCGTCCCATTACACACTGAAAATATTATAATATAATATAATATGAAAATGTTTTCTAGATCATCTACATCTATATTCTTATAGTACTTAGCAAAGTACTATATAATATATAGTACTGAACCAAAAAATATGTTCATTTTGGCTTGTTCGTGTATATCAGTCACATTGACTAATCCATTTTTAGGAAAATCTGAAACTATTACCTCTACCTCTACCATTTATACAAATTAAACTAAAATTCACTTTTTGTTCTTAACTTGCTTAACAGACATATGAAATTTTGATAATAATTATTTTTTTTGTCGTGGTAACTATGATGTTATAACGTAATTGTATTAAAGATATGGGTAAAAATAGAAAAAATTGGAATAAATCGCAAATTATTAAAAATAGGTATATGACATACTTAATAAAGGTTGAAGAGCTTTGCAAAATCTATCAGAAAAAATCAAAATATATAGGGTGTACCATTTAAAAAATTTTAGATTTTTTAATTTTAAGTAGTTGAAATTTATAAATATATTTTAAACACCCTGTAGCATTTAACTAAAATATCTTAACATATATCTTCTTTTTAATCTCTATAAAACTCTCATACCAAATTTTGGTATTCCAACTTCAGAAACAATGGTACTACTGACAATTTTTTGCCACACTGCAATTTAACATTTGTATAAACACATTTAAATATTACAAAAACTATTAATTTTAGGTATATAACGTTATGTATAAAAAAGTTATAGAATTTTACGCACAATCTAAAAATAAAATAAAAAATAGGGTGTTGCCTTTAAAAAAGTTATATCCGCCACACTTTTTTGAAGCACCCTGTATACTCTATAATAATTTTAAAATGTGTATCTTAATCTTCCCTATAACTTTTGTATGTAACATTTTTTTGTAAACCTCGAAACAAATGAGATAATGGACTTTACTCTATCGTTGACTCACCCTGTACAGTTTTACAGTTTTTGGATTTTACTTTGTCAAGCCTTTAACAGTCTATTCTATTGAGCTAGAACTTTTAAAAAATTAATTATAGGATTTTTAGTAAATTATAGTATGTACAGGGTGGACCATTTTGGTTGTTTCTATAGGGTATCTAGGAAACCGTAAGAAATATTAAAATTTTGATACTGCAGTCTCGGGTTCTTTTTTTGAAAAAATCACAATGCCGCAAACGGATCGTGGCTATCCTGAAAGGTTTCGAAGCTACAGGGGGATTCTCAAATTTTGTACTTTTTGAAGATGTTCGATAGTTTGTTTATTTCAGCTACTACGCAAAAATGAATTATACATTCTAAAGGCACTTTTCTGTGTAGAATACAGTGGCGTAGTCAGACTTTTTTCGAAAAAATATTAATTATACTTCTGTTTTTTAAAACATAACCCTCTGTATATTTTTAAATTTCCTGATTCAGCTTGGCATGGGCTTCTCGAAAATATATAACACTCTATATTTATTTTCACTATTAACCTCAACATTTCAAATTTTTCTTAAAATATCGTAGTAGGCCGCGCCGAGTAACAAAGTAAACGGTTGTCATGGTGATCGGGACATACCTTTGATGGATGCGTGACATTTCACTTCAACAGATTGAAGTGTGTATTTTAAATAATAAAAACATGAGTAATTATGAAAATTTTGAGAAATATAATATGTTATATTAAGTCTAACAAACATAAGGTAGTAAGTAAGGTATTTTGAGTGCGAGCAATTAACCCAGCCATTTTTAAAAGGTCAGAAAATAGTTTAATTCTAGCTACCTTGGTCACCTGATATCACTCCCTTGGACTTCTTTCTCTGGGATTTTCTGAAAAACGAAATTTATCGAAATGCAAATAGAACATTAGAAGAGTCACAAGATAGATTTGTTGTGGCTTTGCAAAGTGTAACCAACATACACATTCGAAATGCTGTCAGCGGCGGCGTGCAGAGACGGTGCCAGCTCCGTCTAGATAATAATGGGCAGCAGGTTGAACATTTAATGTAGTCTTTGTGTTTGAAGCCTGATTGAAGTAACCTGTTGAGTTTGTATTAAAATATATGTTCTTTTGTTTCAGTCACTTATTTTTTATTTGCTTCGTATGTTCGAATTTATTTAATTGCTAATACATGGATTAATTTGAAAGTAGATATTCGCTTGTTTCCTTTAATACTCGGCATGACCTACCAAGAGGAAAGTCGATATCTTTAAATAAATTGGAATTTTAAAGTTAATAGTGAAAATAAATATATAGTGTTATATATTTTCGAGAAGCCCATGCCAAACTGAATCAGGAAATTTAAAAACATACAGGGGGTTGTATTTAAAAAAAACAGGAGTATAGTTAATATCTAAAAAAATATTTTTTTCGAAAAAAGTCTGACTACGCCACTGCATTCTACACAGAAAAGTGCCTTTAGAATGTTTAATTCATTTTTGCGTAGCTGGTGAAATAAACAATCTATCGAACATCTTCAAAAAGTACAAAATTTGAGAATCCTCCTGTAGCTTCGAAACCGATCAAGATAGCCACGATCTGTTTGCGCCATTGTGATTTTTTCAAAAAAAGAACCCGAGACTGCAGTATCAAAATTTGAATATTTCTCACGGTTTCCTAGATACCCTATAGAAACAACCATTTCACCAACATTTCAACAACCATTTCAGGTCCACCCTGTACAGATGTCCCATTTTGGTTGAAATCATAGAGTTATTTGTAAAGATAGGAGGATGCGGTTTGCATAAACCTATTCCAGTTTTATAACAAACGCAAGACGCTGCAAACAAAATTTTCATAGCCTTCTTCGTTTTTGAGCTATAGGGTCTTTTTGAAAATTTTGCAATTTGGAACACCACCGAATCTTTGTTATCGTGAAAGGTATCAGACGACACTAAAACTCACCAAAACCTCGGAAGCATTCGGATCCTACACGGAGAGTTCGGTTTTGTTCGGCGAGAAGCGCTTTGCGGGAATTTTGAACATTATGAATAATCGAGAATCGAACAGTAATCACACACAATAATTTTATTATGCGAAATTGTTAACAGTAGTTGACTGTTTTGGTTGTTCATTTTGTTTTTTATAGTTTTTGACTATTTTTACAAATATGGCTATATTTAAAAATTGATCTATATCTGGCTGATATTTGGTAATATACCTATAAAGCCTAGTGATTAGCCTTACTAAAGTGATTTTAGTCAAAGTTGCATTGATTATTGGTGTAAATTAAAAATTGTTTCATTTTGCAGATTGCATGATCACTATCTAATTTGATGCATAAGTGAGAACCATAGCTTTACTTGGAGAGAGCTCATTATTCTCAAACTAGTTGAAGCCTGGCGCATCCGCCACGACATCAGAAAAAATACTTTTTTTTTTTTTTAATTAAATGAAAAACAAAAAGTCCGGCGACGACAGTTTTAGAAGAGTCAATTAGCTATCTTTTTAGTAAAAATAGCAACTTTCTAGAGCAAGTCATTACTTCAGTAGAGACGACACAGATAAACATTAGCATTTTATATATGTAGATTCTACTCTCAAATCTTTTATTAAAATATCAGTTCTTAAATTGAATCACATTTTCATGGGGAAATAAACATTTTGGGAAAATTTGTTAGCTTAATTACTGTAACATATTAGAAATAAAAAAACATTTATAGTTCTAATAATCACAGACTTTATTAGAATGTTGCAGTTTCTTATCAGAAACTTATGGCTGTTCTGTCAAAAAATACAGTAATTACAACAATACAATACAATAATTTTAACAATAAACAATACCACATTATACAGGTTAGTAGCATAAGTAGTACAAAATAAATATAAAACCCTTAACCAACAGTCAATACATATTTACTTAAGTAAGACCAAAAACAAACGAAATAATAAATAAAACCCATAACCTCTTTCACTTTGTTGGGAATAATTCTTGCTTATCCATTTTTTCCTTTTTATGGCTCATTATATGGTCTTTTTATTGAACTACTGGCCTTCTCTGTTCATTTAGAACAATTGCTGATGTATCTTAAAAATTTTTCTTTTTTCTATTTTACCTAACCCAATCTATTTTACCTATGATTACGATAATAATTGTAAGTTTTTTTTTTTCCACATAGTCATTATATTTTCTTGGCAGATGCATAATTTATCTTGATCTTCTGTTTTTCATACCACAGTTTATAACTTTCCTTAGTATCAAAGTCATAGGCAAAGTTATGTGTTTCCATTTCAATTTTACTTCATGGTGTTTACCTTCAAATGTTGTTGCAATATACGGCAACTTCCACAAACTATACAGCCACAAACTATATACAGACTACCATATTTAGAGTACACAGTGGGCAAATAATACGTTTCTTCTTATTATAGTGTTTTCACAAAAAATTAAGTGAAACAACACAAATTAAAAATAATCCTGTCTGTAATATTAATTATCAAAGTTCTATGAATCGCTGGATCCCCAAAACGCATTCACAAATTGTAAATCTTCTTTAAATGCTTTTAGTAGGTATTTTTTGTATTATTTTGAGTTTTTAACTTTGTTTTTAAATAGGGCCATATTTACGCTGATAATTATAAAAGTGCCGTTGTTTACAAAGTCCATCAACGGCAAAGTTCAGCTGAGTTTGACGTATACCGCGGTTGCGTGGTTCAGCTTCCGAGTATTTTGTCCTTAGAGAAGGAAAGAGAGACTCTCTTTCCTTGTCTAGGGTATGGTGAGTTTTAGTGTCGTCTAAAGGTATCGAGAAGGTGAAAACTGCTTCTTGTAGAATTTTTGATGTACAAAACAGTGGCGTAGTCTACTATTTCGCTGACAAGAGAAAAAAATCATTGGCGTACAGGCCTTTTTTAGAAAAATATTCCAGTGATAACCCATATGCACGTCCCTTTTTAGCATTAAGATATGTCGTATTTATAATAACTTTTACCCTCAAAATTTTATTCGAAACGCTAAAAGTACTCGGAAGAAAATTATAATAAATATAAAAAATATTAAGACTTTAACACCCTGTACCAACGAAACAAAGCAGAATCGGACCTATGTTGATATGAAAAATAAATCTTATTTTTACGTGAGGAATCTCCTCCCCACGAGAGACGGCAGATGTTTTGGCTCATAATATACAAGTTGATCTATACAATCTATGCCATGTAATTATACAGAAATCCTAAATAAAAATATTAAATTATTATCATTTCAGGTTCTTATTAGCGGAATCTGGCTAACTGTACTTTCGTTGATTCCCATATGTATTTTTGTTGGCCATAAAGATCTGACATCTGAAAAATATAACAAATACGCTAATGCTTTTTACAATTCGTTAGTGAGACCTCTTTGGGCAAGTTGTATTGGTTGGATAGTGTTTGCCTGTACAATGGGCTATGGAGGTAATATCAAACTACGAGTACATAAAAAAACCACCAAAGGAGAAATAACAATTTAAATTTGCTTTCTAGTTTGTTAAACTGTTAGTAGGCCAGTAAGCGACGATAAAAATAGGGTATTACCTCCGAATTCTTGACACCCGCACCGATTGACGTGAAATTTTAACAGTGAACAGAGATATATGTAAGAAACAAAAGTTATATAGTAGCGATGTGTGCTTTCTCGGGGGTGAAAAATAAATCACCCATTTTAATTACAAAAATCAATAAAGGAATGAATTCTAATCAGAAAATGTTGATTTTTCATCTAAAAACTGCATATTTTTCTGCCTTTTTTTATAAGTAACTCGAAAATCTTGCGTTTTATCGCAAAACTCATATAAAGCAAAAATAAAGCTTTTGGTATATCGAATCGATTCATTTTGCTGATTACCGTAGGTGCAGTAATAGCCGAGTTATCACTCTGTAAACGTGATTTTTTATTTTTCGAAAACTAAATTGCAACCTTTTACCGTAAAATAATGGCGAAAGAACACATTTTTCGAAGAAAATGAATATGAACGTTTTTAAAGCGCTTTAAAAGACCTTTTAAATGTCTTTTTTAAAGGTCTTTTCAAGTTCGTAGCTCAAAAACTCGCGGAGTTATGATAAAAATAAAAAGGTCAGCTCATTTTTTCGGAAAAAAATGAACAACAAAATCTATAACTAAAATCATAAAAATGAAAACTATCAATTTGTAGGGAATTACACGAGCTACAAATTAACCTAGAGGTTAATTTGTAGTTCAAACCTGTTTAACTATAGATAGTTGAACAGTCTTAAACTCTTTATTTTCACGAGATTTTGGGGTTTTAAAGTTTTAAGGGCTCAAAGAAGGTGGCCCTTACACGTAAGTCAAACTAAAAAACGTATATATCTACGAAATAAAGAGATCTACAGAAACATTGAAAGATAGCAAAAATATTGCAACAAAGCCTTCAATTTTACTCTGTTGCATTTTTTACGTATCTTGCTTCGTTTTCGAGATATGTCAAAAAAATTAAAATTTTTTAAAAAATAAAAAATAAATTTTCAACTTTTTCCAAATTTAGGCATTCTAAACCGCTCGAACTTGCAGAGTCCATTGTTAGTATCTAAATATAGCCAACTGTACAGGGTGGCTCGAATTCGACGCTCATCATTGGGATTTCGGAAACAGTAAGATTTTACCATAAGGCCCGGGCCTTGGGCCGGTGGTCTGGGAGGCCCGTTAAAGGTTGTAAAATATTCATAATTTCTTGAATTTTTGAATTTTATTGGAAAAGAGGGCACGGATTTTTGCTTGGGCCTTAGGGCCCAACCAGATGAAAAATAGACCCTGCGTAAGAGATACAGGATCGGTTAAATGGAGGCAAAGTTGCGCAATTTGATGCTCAATAAAATGCCGTATTGCATTTTATTTTTATTTTTTTTGCATAAAATATTCTGGTGATGAAACTTTCTTTACGAAACGTCGGCAAATGTCAAAGTGGCTATATATAGTGTTTTAAGAGCGATGAAAGGATTTAATTAAATTGAAAAAAAATCAGGTCCGTATTTTAAAAAAAATAAGTCGATGATGGTCGCCAGAAGCCGAAACGTCAGAGTCAATATTTAATCACACAGAGTTATAGAGGAGAAAAAGTGGCCATAAAAATGTTTTTCATTTTAAGTTATCTTTTTTTGAAAATTCCGTTTTTTTCGAATATATTAGGAAGTATTCGGAATTTTTCAAAATGCAATACGGCATTTCATTGAGCATCCAATTACGCAACTTTGCCTCCATTTAACCGATCCTGTATCTCTTACGGTTTCCGAAATCCCAATGATGAGCGTCGAATTCGAGCCATCCTGTACATCTATTATGCTTAGTTTTTTTTTGATGATTTTAGTCATAGATTTTGTTGTTAATTTTTTTCCGAAGTAATGTGGTGCCATTTTATTTTTATCATAACTCCGCGAGTTTTTGAGCTACAAACCTTTTTAAGAAAGCATTTAAAAGGTCTTTTCAAGCACTTTTAAAACGGCCATGTTCATTTTCTTCGAAAAATATGTTCTCTCGCCATTATTTTACGGTAAAAGCTTACAATTTAGTTTTCGAAAAATAAAAAATCACTTTTACAGAGTGATAACTCGGCTATTCACCTACGGTAAAATGGACCTTTTAGTTATTTCAAAAGCTATTTTGCTTTATATGAGTTTTGCGATAAAATGCAAGGTTTTCGAGTTATTTATAAAAAATGCAAGAAAAATATGCAGTTTATAGATAAAAAATCAACATTTTCAATACTACATAACTATGAAAATATTAATTTTCTGAAAAAATGTTATAGAATTTTTTTTGCTTAGAATTCATCCCTTTATTGATTTTTGCAATTAAAATGGGTGATTTATTTTTCACTCCCGAGATGGGGTGGCACTCACCCCCAGGGTCAAAACACACATCGCTACTTTGTAATTTTTATTTCTTATATACAGGGTGTCCCAGGCTGAGCGTGCATTAGAAGTTTCTAGAGAACTACAATATCTAGACCGGAGATTTTTTGCACATTATTGTTTCACAACGAGATCTATTGATTAAAAATATTTTCAATATGGCGGCACTTCCGGAAATACCGGAAGTTGACGACAACTTTCTTATTTTAAATGGGTGCCTCCATTTTTTATTATGTACTTAAGTTCTCTGAAATTTTTTATGAATTTTGATATTAAACACTCTATATCTAACATTAGCCGTTTTTGAGGAAAAACTTATTTAAAATTTTTGAACGAAAAAATCTGCCTGTCAAAAATATGTGTCTAGCCTAAACGTCAAATTTAGTGATTATCACAACTACTGTGCCATAAAGAGGAAACATGTGGCTATCTTTTTCAAATATTAAATTGTTTGAATGTCATATAATAATGGCTGCAGCTGTCATAGAATTAACGATTAAAAAATTATCATAAATCATTTTTTTCAAATGGAAACCCACTTTTTTTATTTCACTAGTGAAAAGGTTTTTCAATTCGTTACTTTTTAACTATACATGTTCCTATACCTAAAATAAATCGGTTTTAAGTTATTTCTGATTTAGTTTTAAAGCGTATATTTTTCTTGATTTTAACCAGTAGCCTATGACTTTAAACGTCAAGTGATGTAAAATACTAGATCTGGCCATGTCATATTTTGACGCTTTGTTCAAAAAGCAGCATCATTTTCGAGCCAACTTTTTTTTTTCGATCATACGGAATACTAATAATATCAGCTATTAGATATCACTGAAGGGCGAAAATACGAGATAATTTTTATAAAAAATACACTTTTTAAATTCTTAAGCAGGCAGTATTTGTAATATAGGAAATTCAAATAATTCGTTTTCTGACAGATGGAAATAAATTGTCTGACCGTTTGACACTTAACGTCAAAGGAAACTAGATAAAATCAAGAAAAATATACGTTTTCTAACTCAATCTTAAATAACTTAAAAACGATTTACTTTAGGTATAGGAACATGTATAGTTAAAAAGTAACAAATTGAAAAACCGTTTCATTAGTGGAATAAAAAAACTTGGTTTCCATTTGAAAAAAATGATTTATGATAATTTTTTATTCACTCAATTCCATGACAGGTACCGCCATTATTATATGACATTTGAAGAAGTTAATTTTTGAAATAGATAGCTACATGTCTTCTCTTTATGTCACAGTGGCTGTGGTAATCACTAAATTTGACTTTTAGGCTATACAAATTTTTTTGACAGGTAGTTTTTTTCGTCCAAAAATTTTAAATATTTTTTTTTCTCAAAAACGGTTAATTTTAGATATAGAGTGTTTAACATCAATATTCATAGAATTTTACAGAGAATTTAAGTATGCAATAAAAAATAGAGGCGGCCATTTAAAATAAGAAAGTAGTTGTCAACTTTCGGTATTTCCGGAAGTGCCGCCATATTGAAAATATTTTTAATCGATATATCTCGTTGTAAAACAATGATATGCAAAAAATCTTCGATCTAGATATTGTAGTTCTCTAGAAACTTCTAATGCACGCTCAGCCTGGGACACCCTGTATATCTCTATTCACTGTTAAAATTTCAATCGGTGCAGGTGTTCAGAATTCGGACCCTAAAACCCGGCCTATAGATCGGACTGCCCTGTACAATTTACGTATTTTATTATTGTTATTTTAGGTTTTATCAACAGCTTCCTGTCTTTGCCAATTTTCCAAGTATTAAGTAGATTTACATACAGCATATATCTGTTACACGTGACCATTTTATATATGATAACATACGCGGCCAAATCACCAGCGTATTTTTCAATTTTTCATGTGGTAAAAACAAAAATATTAATATATATTAATCATAAATTTGCATTCAAATTTCTTATGTTAATTTATTTTTAGGCCTATTCATTTTGGGGTATCACCATGATGACCTTTGTCTTGTCGACATTTTGGGTATTAACCTTTGAATCTCCTGTTATAGTAATAGAAAAATATTTTCTAGACAAGTATAAGACCAAAACTAAAACGACTAATATTAACCAGGTAATATTACATTGTGAAACAACGCCACTATTACATAAAACAATATAAATTGTTTATTATCTAAAGATATATATGATTTTAGTGAAATGTATAAATATTACTAACACCAAAAACATACATGGTTACGATCCCTACTAAAAAACTAACCTGATGCATGCCTGGGATAAAGAAAACTAACAATATATTATTTATAATTTAGCTAGCACAAAGTGTAAATAATTTGTAAGAAAATAATATTTTTTTAAGTAAAAATAAGAGTTTTGTATGAAATAAAATTCACCATCATAAAAAAATCTCTACTATACAAAATAGAGCAAATTTATTTTCTAAAAATCTTAACACTTCTTATAATATAATAATAGTTTAATAATATATAATCACAATACATTTTTACAAACCTTGTAATGGGTTATTTAACCACGAAAAAATATATTTAAAAAAATAGCTTTCTAGCACACTAGGTAAGTTATGCAAAGTAACTATGCTCACATATAATATGTTGAATAAGCATATAAATCAACCCGAATGTAATTATAAGATTTAAAATAAAATTCTTCTCTTAAGGTGGTCGAAAATAACGTGTATCTAAAACTGATTTTTTATTGAATTCAAACATTTATTCTAAACAATACTTATTTGCTACCGAGATAATATAGAGATATCTACAATAATAAACTGTACAGAAGGATGTGTCTAGTTTTATTTGAAATCATTTAGTTCAAACATATGGTTCAGTTTTAGATACTTTGCTTATACAGGGTGTCCCAGAAATGAGTGCAGATATTTTAAGGGGTGGTAGATCGGGTCAAAATAAACATATTTTCTCTTTACCATTTTTAAAATAAATTGAAAATAACCGAGTTATTTAACTTTGAAAATTTAAAAAAATAATCGCAACATTTTGAGAACCGCCGGCAGATATCGCCAACTACATCCAATTACCCGGATCAAGCCCGGATTTCAGTTAATTCGACGCACTGTGTTGCCATAGGGACAAGAAAGTATATGTTAAAAGTAAGTCATAAAATCACAACACCTGAGGAGTTTGCAGAGATGCATTACATTTTTAAGATTGTGATATTATTAAATAAAATAAATTAAAAGTTAAATGTTTAATAATGTGTTAAAAAAGTTGAATTAAAAAACTTACCCAACATTAAAAAAGATACTTATGACAGATCGATGTAACTGTGACAGTTCTCTTTTTTGATATACACTTAACTAAAATACACTTCACTGTGCTGCTTTACTTGTGTACATGCTATTATAATAACTACTAAAATAACAGTCCCCATTTTTAACACATTATTTTCATACAGGCCTCATCACAATTTGAACCACTGATTTACAAAACACCTTGAAAAGCACACATTACTTTGAATACCTTTCTGAATGAATAAATGTTGAGAATTATTGTCTCTTACCGCCACTTTCCGAACTACTTTCAATCTAAGAAAATACATGTTTCACTCAACCATTTTAAATACGTATTTTGTTTTTTCGCTATTTTTTCTATGTATTTCGACAATTCCATCGACAGCCTAACCGTCGCGTCGGCCAAGAGACCCGCGCATCACTGGTAACTGTTCCTTTGTCGCGCCGCCGTGTCGAGCTTGCGTCATGCGAGGTTGCCGTAGTTTCAACAATTTCAAATTCAAGACACTCGAAGAAATCAAATTCTTATTAAATTTTAAAAATAAAACAGAAAAACATGAAAGGAAACAAACAAAACACAAATGAATTGGTTATTGATAAGGTCACAAAAAAGAAATTTCTAAAATGTTTATCGTAATTCAGTATTCAATACATCGAAAACAGCCCGACGAATAATCAATTCATTTTTGTTTTGTTTGTTTCCTTTCATGTTTCTCTGTTTTATTTTTAAAATTTAATATGAATTTGATTGCTTCGAATGTCTTGAATTTGAAATTGTTGTAACTACGGCAACGTTGCTTAACATCGTCGTCTGACGCAAGCCCGCCACGACGGCGCGGCGACCGGCGACTCAAAGGACCAGTTCACACGCGGCGCTCTTGGCTGACGGTTAGGCTGTCGATGGAATTGTCGAAATACATCGAAAAAATAGCGAAAAAAGAAAAAACCTATTTAAAATTGTTGAGTGAAACATGTATTTTCTTAGATTGAAAGTAGTTCGTAAGTGGCGATAAGAGACAATAATTCTCAACATTTATTCATTCAGAAAGGTAAGTAATGTGCGTTTTTCAAGGTGTTTTGTAAAACAGTGGTTCAAATAAAACAGAGAAACATGAAAGAAAACAAACAAAACAAAAATGAATCGATTATTCGTTGGGCTGTTTTCTAAATTTCTTGAATTGAATTCTAAATTACGATAAACATTTTAGGAATTTCTTTTTTGTGACCTGATTGTGAATAATATGAATCATTTTATTAAATTTATTCCAAAATAAAGTTATTTTGCAGCATAACAAAGATTTTCGTAAACGTCATAAACGTAATGTTTTAGCTAATTTTCGGTGGTTTTTGTTAAGTTTTCATTGAAAGGGTAAGTACTAAAAATAATTAATGTGTTTTTTTTTCTATAATTATTAATAATGAGCACTGATAAAAGATTAAATTTACCATTCCTAATTTTTTGAGTAGAAATTTGTCTATGAATTTATAAATGTAGAACTATGTTCCGCCGAACTATGTAGAATGTCGATAACATAGGAGGTTGCAACACTGCAAGGTTTAGATACAAAGTAGGGAAATCTCAGGTGAATAAACAAGTGGCACTAAAAAGTTTTTTCTAATTTCCCGGAAAATGTCAAGAAAAATTTTAAATTTTCAACATTTTTTTTTGGCAAAAAAAACCTCATAGGCGTGTTTCTGGAGTTGAACTATACTGCCAGTTAAAATATTTGCACTTATTTCTGGGACACCCTGTATATTTTTCATAATAGATAAATATAACTGAGACAAACAATACAGATATTGGTAACACTATGAACTAGGCGAATTTGTAATATACAAAGACGTACAAGCCTTATTGTGATGTATAAAGATGTTTTAGCTTGTTATTTAGAACGGGACTAAGAACATCGAGTTTTTAAAGAAAATAGTTGTTAATGTGTTAGATTAAGTAATACAAACTATTTCTGAGTTGAGAGTGAAAGGAGTAATTCCTGGACATATATTTGGAAAAAAACTTCATATGAATGTGTGTCCTAAACGCCTTAACTTTCGAGATACAGGGTGGTAAATTTTTCTAAAAAAAATTACACCCATCCACCAAAATGTCTATTTTGATATATACAAAATGTTTTATTTATTTCCACCAGTGGCATCCATACGGGGTTTTAATTGAATGTTTTTGAAGGAAATAATGGCACGCCAGTGCCTTCTCTATTCTAATTTTACTTTAGTGTCAAATAGCTAAAAATCCGATTGTTTCTACATTGGCTGGATGGAAAATAAGAGATACAACAAAAACAAATTGCACACCAAAAAAAAATACAGTTTTATGCATAGAAGGTGTGCATAAAATTGCATAAAGATAATTATAATAAACTCAGAGTTATGAAAAAAAGTTTTTTTTTTAAAAATTTTACAACCCTGTATCTCAAAAGTTAGGATGTTTAGAACATACATTCATATGAAGTTTTTTTTCTTAAAATAGCCCTTTAAATATTACATGTCATTAAGGAACACCCTGTATATAATAGAAATAAATGACATATAGTAGAAATTATCTAAAATAACAAAATTTGGAAAGCTAAATAAAAAATAGTAAGTAAAGAAATTGGAAAAAAAATCAAAATTTTAATAAACAAAAAGAGTACTTTTTGACCAAGTCCATCAATTATAACAGTACATTTAAAATCTGGATAAACAAAACCCACCTGCGTTACCGTCTTACGTTATAAACAGTTGATAGACAGAGATACAAAGGATATACGATTTGCTTGTGATTAGTGACCTTTTATATTTTCATTTCCATAACGATTTCGCTGTTTTACTTATAGTCTAAAAGCTAGCAACATTTTCGAGAGAGAATTTTAAGACAGCTGGTTCTTTAATGTATATTTTGCTATGCTCTACTGAACAGCGTGCGGACCGGCATTCACTACTGCGCATCACAAATTCGCCCTGTATTTCAGGAACTAAGGAGGCTAGGACAAACCTATGTATAGCATATTTAGTTTCATAAAAAAGTAGCAAAGTAATGTGAAAATCGCATCATTGTATCTCTACTCAAAAACGAGATATTCCAAACACACGAAAATGAGACCCTGTACAGATGTGATGCGCAGTAGTAGTCTACCGGCAGGCAGACAGCCCGCACTTTCGTCAGGAGAGCATAGCAAAAGATATATTAAAGAACCAGCTTTCTTAAAATTCTCGTTTTCCCGACGGTGCTAGCTCTTGTACTATTATATTTTTATTAAGGTTAGATTAAATTTGTCAAAAAAGTGTCAAAAGGTCCGTTACCGTACGATCTTTCTCCGTTGACGACCTGGAGTAAAAAAATTACGGATGAAACGCTATGATCAATCAGAGCGCCGTCGGACCATCGAATCAACGGATAACAGACGCATGAAAATGAAGCTTAAACCAAATTGTACCAATAAATAGTAATATGTAAAGTTGGTACAGTTCAAAAACTTGGAGCGAGTAAAATATGTCTCGTCTTGATCTTAAACTCAGATTAACTTACAGATTTTATCAGTAAGACGAAGAAACTAAATAAAACAAGGATGCATTCGGTTTGAGGGGTACTTGGGGACACAACTTGGAGACACTAAAAAGTCAAATAATTTAGCTACAACATTGCTTAAAAATCATAAAAATCGGCCCACTAGAATAAAATATATTAAACTTTAAAATACATCAAAATTTTGCGGGTGAGTGTATATCACTATTTCATAAGCTAAAATTAGGATGACACCAGGTCTGTATATTACTTCATAATATTACCAATACCCGTAGATTTAGAAAGTAAATTAACCAGTTGTGAACATCGTAATACGTGACGGTATAACGACCGCAGCTAGAACGAACCCGACCTCTTAGGATGTGGCACAACCTGGCGGGCTGTCGTCCGTGTCGGCGTCGCTGTGTAATGAGCGCCACGACTCCGAGGAACTGTCAGATCCGCTGGAATCGAGACTTAGCAACGAGAATCCGGTTCTGCCGCCGACCTGGAAACTGTCTTCCGCGTTACGAGATGCGCGCGCATGACGCGACGCTCTCAGACGACGCCACAGCAACCACAGCACCTGCGACAAAGACTATAATGTTTGTTTATTAAGACCAGAAAATTAATCTAATATAGGGAAGGAACCATTTTAAGAATGACCCAGCGTTTCGAACAAGCTCAATGTCAGATTTAAGATTTGATATTTTCACTCATATCTTCTTTATGATGGTGAGTTTATAATAAATAATAATTGCTCCCGTATGTAGCGTGTAATACCTTGGGAGTAGCAAAGTACAGCTTGCCATACTAGAGCCGTTCAGTATACAAGGAGGGTAATGCGGCTAGCATTACGCTTCAACCGCCTCTATTATTACCTCAGGATTGTGAATCCCAAGTACTCATTTAAGGCTGAGTCGACCTAAATACCTAAACTATTTTTATTTTATTAAAAATAGTCGGCTGCTTAAATGCCGGCTGTGGGATTCGAACTCACAACCTTTGAATTGGTAGACGAAAGCTGTACCTCTACGCTACCGGGCACCTGATGGTGGGTTTATACTTCAAGTATTAAGCTTGATTTTCATGCATCCGTTGTCCGACGATACGTTGATACGATATTAATTTTATTGGTAGAATTTAAAGACTTTGATTGGTTAGAAAATAATGCAGTTTTTAAATTTCTTGCATTTTCATGCCTCCGTTTATCGGATATACGTTGGTGTTATTTTATATTTTTGTTTCCATAACGATTTTGCTACTTTACCTATATTTTTATTAAGGTTAGATTAAATTTGTCAAAAAAGTGTCAAAACGTCCGTTATCGTATGGACGGGTCCGTTGACAGGCTGAAGTAAAATATTTACGGATGAAGTGGCGCGAAAACGCTATGACCAATCAGAGCACCGTCGGACTAACGCATCAACGTATAACGGATGCATGAAAATCAAGCTTTGGTCCTCACCTTACCTTTAACATTAACCCAAAGAAATTAACCTTAAGAACTTAAGGAAATGCCGTTCATGCTACTCTTAATTGTCTTAAGAATATTCTAGTGACTGCCTGCGCTCATACGATTAACGTTTACGGTGTAACGGTAACAGAATACAATAAATGCCTCCTAATAGCGATAGTACCTAAAATGTTTACAACTCATGGACCAGTTCAGGAAATACGTGAAAACCAATATGGCGCCGAAAATGACAAGGAAAGTCTCAAACTTGGAAAATCGGTCTGTATACAGTGTGCTACAAATTCGAGGTACGAGCATTGGTATCTCGGTAACCATAACAGAGAGGAACACGGTTAAATTGGAGCAAAGTTGCGCTTTGGGATGTTCTTCAAGATGCCATCAAAAAAGTTTAAGAATTTTAAGGATTGCTCAGTTTTTTTTGAGTTACTTTTTAGAAAATCAAAAAACTAATTGCACATTCTCATACCCACTTTATTAGGGCTATCTGATAGTATTTTTAGATTTTTAAAATAGCTGATAATTTGTGAGATACAGAGGCCAACTTAATTTTTTTAAATACGGACTTGCATTGTTTATTTCAGGTTTTGAAAGAACTCGAGTCCAACGATATGTTGAGTCCAACGATATGTCACACTTAATTTTTTTTTGTTTTGGACATTTGAACACAATTTATTTAAACTAATCTGAAGTCCGGCTCTGCTTTTTTTAATATTTAATCTATTCATCGTTACAATATTGAGATAAGCTTTCAAACTTAGCAATGACATGGGGTAAAACATTGAATACGGAAAATCAAATGTAATAAAATAATAAAAAAAAATAATATAAAATAAATATCAACAATCAAATCATTTCCCCGGAAGATCGATTGGAAATAGAGCAGTATAATGGCTAGCGAGCAGTATAATGGCTCTGTCGCCAAGGGTCGAGGGGGGAGGAAGAGACGTTACTTGACGTCATTTGTAAAAGTGAAATTAATACTACAGATTATACAGATTACAATCTTTGTTTTTTCTTTATTGTTTTTCGTGGTTCCAATTTTCGGAATCGGGCACTAGTTAGGTGACTAGTTTGCGCACATAGCACGCCCACTTATGGCCTCTAAAATTGTGCACAGCGCCTGACCGGCACAGTTATTAGAGAGATATCGGAAAACCGAATAGCGTCATCCAGTATTTACGCGTACCTTATCATGGTTACGATATGAGCGAGTCAATTTTTAACGCAACATCCGCTAATAACGTTACCGCCTGACGTAATTTGCGGATCAATTACACCAAGCGTTCTTTCTAAATAACCTCTGATAACGTTTAAAAATTGCTTAAATGATTGATATTTAAGTAGCTGGGATTAGTTTTGATTAAATAAATATGGCCCAAAATATGGATTCCACCTCTTCCAATACTAAAGAACTTATAAAGAGTCTTAGGTTTACAGCAGATGACGACTTAGCCCTTCTAAGAGAATTTGTTGCTTGTTGCCCTAAACCCACTGGCAGACGTTGAACAATAAAGCACTGGAAATAAGCACTTTAGTCCTTTAGTTTTAAAATACCTACTAAACAAAACAATTTCAAAGTTTTAAATTCAAAGTCAGGTTAAGTTTAAATAGCGGACGCGACGCGATCGGAATTCTTTCCGATCCGATAACTATAAAGCTGTACGCACACTGGCGCGATCACGGCCGCGATCACGATCACGATCAGGGATTTAAGTGTACAAACACTTTATTGCTGCCCTGATCGTGATCGTGATCGCGGCCGTGATCACACCAGTGTGCGTGTAGCTTAAATGAAGAGAGTTAATACCACCTCATGTAAAGGAAATAACACCTGGCCTTATTAACGTCCATGCACGCTATTCGGTTTAGCGATATCTCTCTATTACGCTGTTTATTGTTATTTTACGCGAGTTTATTTTTGCGCACAGCAAATTTGACTCGTTTGCACATCGTCATAAAAAACAATTTTTGTACCACGAATTAGGGACAAGATTTTTATCTGTATACTTATAGGATACCTAATCTGTGTTAATACATCTCAACATTTACAATAAAGAGTACAAAATGCATTCGGGAGTATAAGAAGAAAGTTCAAAGAGCTATAAATAAAACTGAACAAAATATAAATTTGTGCAATAGGGAGAGTTAAACGCATTAGAAACTAGTTTGTAGAAGTTGATTTATATATAATATCTACGATTAATATTATGCATATTATTAGATCGCACAATGAGATTTCAAATTCACAATAAAAAAAAGTTAAAAATAATAAATATCTTAAAATTGCTGACCTGGATATTATTTATTTGAATCTTCCAATTGGCTCGATTTTCCTTATTCAATGTTAATCGGCGCTGATTAATATTGTTGCGATGAATATAATCAGATTAAATAATTTTAAAAAACCAGAGTCGGACTTGAAATTATTTTAAATAATAATTAAATAGTTTTGTTGTTGTTAAGGTACCCATAACAAAAAAAGTATAAAGTGTGGCATATCATTGTACTCAGGAGAACGAGTTCTTTCAACACCTGAAATAATAAATGCAGGTTCGTATTTAAAAAAAATAAGTTTTCCTCTGTATCTCATAAATTATCAGCTAATTTGAAAATATAGATAAAATTATAGAGATACCAATACTCGTACCTCGAATTTGTAGGAGAAGAGGAAGTATTTAAAATATCTACATTCAACTATTCAAGAACACTAGTTTTTTTTTAACAGATACGTCTATTATAAACCGTTGACGTTCTGTTTAACTGTTTGAGAGAGAGACAGCTGTCGTAAACGCTTATTATGACATTTGATAACTGTCAAAGTTGTCAAATAACGCTTCCCTTAATAAGGCATGTAGTTGCTATATCTCCTCTATGTCACCCAAGGGGTGGATCAAATATATTTTCAAAACTTGTATATATTTCAAATATAATGCTATATTTTGTAGTTACTATTGTCTGCATAAGTATTTTGTAACCAGATTGGAGTGAAAATCTCAAACCATAAACCCCGATATAGAGCTATTCCATAGAGCTGGGTCAACGTCTAGCTATTTATACATACATTATCACCTTTAAAATGTTCTTTACTAGTAGAATCACTGAAAACGATACACCTTTTTTAATATTCAAGTGGTATTCCTCATTCATATCAAATAAATGTCAATACGTACTCATATTTAAATTATCATATAAAACTGATATATTACCAAAATACTGGCGACAGTAAGGGATTCAATACAATCCATGCTTAGTAATATTTACAAATGTACCTGATTGTCAGACTGATCTGTAGAAGTGTTCCAACATTCCCTCCTATTCTTTCTCACAGTGCGGGGTAAGTCTCTCATAACTGGTTCGTCTTCACAAGATGGCACCCAGAGCTATAAATCATAGATATTTTTACACAAAACATTCATTAAAGAAAAGATGCAGTCAGCGTCTTCAAAAACGCAATTTTGAAGGTACGAACAAGCGAATGGAATAACTGCTTTCAGAATTAGTTCCTATTCAACTTTTTAATATATTAATAAATTGTTTAAAATATTTTTGCTTCTATAATTTGTAGTCTGGTCTCATAGTTCAGTTTATAAGTTAGAGTCACTTAATTATTAATAGTATACCGGGTGCGTCTCAAAAGTGTCTCACCCATATAACTTTTTTATTTTTTCAGTAAAAAAACGAGATTTGATATGTTAGTACATGACATAAATTAGAATTGATTGACATATTCAACTGTTTTCGGTCACTTCCTGGGTCACCGGAAATGACTACAACTTTTAAATGGCACCCTCGGTATTTTTTTACTTTTCGATAGAAAATGACACTATGAATAGAATAGAATTTTAGAATTTAGAATGAGTGGGAGGGGGGTTAGTCACTGCGACCTTACAGATCTATCGTGTTTCTTGAGTTATAACTCATCATATTGTCCCAAAATCTGGGACGGTTTTATAGAGGGTAGTTCTCCATCTCCAATATCAGTCGTACCAAAGTTCATGGCACGAATGGTTGTCGTCTCGGCGCACTTAGTGATGAGGTGTACTGGTGTTTCCCCATTTTGCCCACAGAATCTGCATTCGCCCTTGTTTCTCAGCTTCAATCTACTGAGGTGTTCGTTGAGGAGACAGTGTCCTGTTAAAAACCCCGTGACAATCCGAAGATTGTTCTTACTTAAACCCAGGAAGATGTGTGATTTTTCTTGATCGTAAGCCCTCAGAAACTTCTTCGAGTGTCTTAGACCGTTGCAAGATTCCCATTCCAGGTTGCGGATGGAATCTTCCAAGTTCTTGAGTTCCGCCTTGAGTTGGTTACCACTTGGAAAGCAGAACGGTTCTGGTCCAGTTAGTGGAGTGTTCGCTCCTTTTCTAACTAGATGAATAGAATAACATATCATATGTCAACTTTTGACATTTTCGAATATTGTTTATTTAAAAATGTAACATGTGGTTCAATTTAAGTCAAAATACCATGTGTGTGGTGTCAAATTATTCGTAAAAAAATGCTTTTTCCCAATATGCTAATGAGCCACCCTCATCCCATTTGAAAAAATTGAGATATAATTAAAAATACGATTTGGGCATCTTTTAAGCGGATACAACAAGACACTAAAAACATTAAACCATCAAATCGATTTTTCCAAGGCTTCTTAATTAAAAATTAGTGTTTTTAACATAGCTATGGCATTCTAGATTGAAATTTAAAATACAATTTTTTAATAAGCGAGAATGTCAAAAGTTGACATATGATATGTCATTTTTGATCAAATATAGTAAAAAAATACCGAGGGCGCCATTTAAAAACCAAAAGTTGTAGTCATTTCCGGTGAAACAGGAAGTGACCGGAAACAATTGAAGACATCTGTCAATCCTAATTTATATCATATACTAACATACAAAATGTCGTTTTTTTTTATCTGAAAAATAAAAGTTATAGGGGTGAGCCACTTTTGAGACGCACCCAGTCTAACGGAAATAATAACAAAATAATCTCTAATAATAACATCTAATAATAAAAAAATATCTAAATAACATCTTTGATTCAGAGTCGTATCTTTGAACCCCAACGCCCGGCTGTTACAATTACAAAGCTAGCAGCCTCTGTGTGGCTCATTATTATTTAAGCAAACTTGTGTTCAATCGAATTTCAAATTTTAAAGGCGCCGCACCTGTTCGGTTACATACCTTTACATCCCAATCGAGACCACTGGTTGCGACAAACGGCAGTTCAGGGTGCGGTTCGACACAATTCACTACACCATTATCGTCGGCCAATAGAAATTGAGCAATTGCTTCAGTACTCTTCTCCCAGAAGAACAAGTGGCCGCAATCTGAGCCACTCACGATGAATTCCGACCGAGGTCCAAAAAATGACACGCCCTAAAAAATAAAACCTTTGAATAAAAAGATCAAGGAGCATATCAAAAACTAGTGATGGGAAAAATCCATTAATTTCAATAATCGAGTACTCGAGTTTCAAGCGATTTCAATAACCGAGCGATCGCTCGTATTTAAAAATACGGTTTTTCGACCATAGCTTGTTTTAGGTACCCGTTAACGCCAAGCGCCAAGCAGTATAAGTTGCGTGCGCAGGGCACATATTCTTTCGGTGATGAATGGCAAGTAGCAAGCGACGAGCGATTCGCTTGATCGCTTGTTTATTTCAAAGCATTGTCGATATAGGTAGTAAAACTTTGTCCCTCAGATACACACCAGATAAATATATATACGACGTTATATAAATTTGCTACCTGCAATGTATGTAGAAAATTCTATCGGTTTTTTATCGAGTATATCGCATTAAAATCGGATTTCAATTTATTTCATTCTAGCATCGCTTGCGTTTCTCGCTCGTAACTCGTCACTTGCATCGCTCGTTCATAATCGAGCGAACGCGACGGTGACGGGGTCCTAGAATGGCCGACTTAAACTCCAGTTTATCAGAGCCGTTTTAATTTTATTCAAAAGGTGTAAAAATATGATGTAGGGTAGACATGGGGTAGACTCAATAATTTATTATTTATTTTACATTGTCAGTAAATGTTAGTAGTTATTACTTATAAGCCTAGCCAAAACTTATAATTGTTTTAGGGTGTATACGTTGTACGGGATCTGGCGCTGCTATAGCGGTTGCTAAGAACAACCGTAAACAAGAACAGGAATAATTTTCTGTTTTCTCTACTAAAAACACGGAGGGGCGTTTTGACCCAAAACTTTACTATTAAGTTTCATATCTATCCTAATAGATTATTTTCTTTCATCTATGGATAAACTTACCTTAATTGTTGCAGCATTTCTATGACCTGAATATCTACGGATATACTGAAAGGTATCACGTACTGTGTGAGTATCAAATAGATAAATATCATCATCATTGTAAGAAGCCAGTACTTCGCTGCCGTCGTGATTGTACACTGCGCAAGTAATGTGTAGATTGTTTGGATCACTCTCTTGATAAGGACATAGTCTTGCTAATGGTTCACGGCTTTTTCTTTGGTCATATATTCTAACCTGAAAATTATACGTCATAACTGGAATTTTGCGTTACATTATATTCGTATTTCAATTGTTGAATTAAGTTTCGTTCACAACAACCTCTAATTTCAATGTAAACTTTCAAAAGATCAAAATTAGTGGTTTAGTGGTAAATAGTACTTTTTATTAAGTATAGAAATAATTAACACTTTTTTTTCCACTACTTATACAAGAAATGTCATTTTGGCCTTTAATTTTATCATCAGTCAAAAGAGAAATTGTGGTTAGAAATTAGAAACAAAAATTTATTGTTTTATAAGATAATAATTACGAGTATACGGGTGCGTCTCAATAGTGGCTCACCCCTATTAGTTTTTTATTTTTTCAGATAAAAAAACGAGATTTGGTACATACCAATCAATCAATCCTAATTTATGTCATATACTAACATTAGTATATGACATAAATTAGGATTGATTGACGTGTTCAATTGTTTTTGGTTGTAGTTTCACACGAAATGACTACAACTTTCGATTTTTAAATGGCACCCTCGGTATTTTTTTACTTTATTCGATAGAAAATGACATTCTGAATAGAATGACATATCATATGTCAATTTTTGACATTTTCACTTAATAAAAACTCGTATTTTAAATTTCAATCTAGAGTGCCATCTCTATGTTCTAAACATTAATGTTTAATCAAGGAGCCTTGGAAAATATATTTGATTGTCTAATGTTTTTAGTGTCTTGTCCTGACTGGTTAAAAGATGCCCAAATCGCGTATTTTTAATCATATCTCAATTTTTTCAAATATAACGAGGGTGGCTTATTAGCATATTTGAAAAAAGTATTTTTTTACGAATAATTTAATACCACAAGCTTGGTTTTTGAGTCAATTTTTCGTTATCAACCGCATGTTATAATTTCAAATAAACTATATGCTCAAATGTCACTAGTTGACATATGATATGTCATTCTATTCAGAATGTCATTTTCTATCGAATAAAATAAAAAAATACTGAGGATGCCATTTAAAAATCAAAAGTTGTAATTTCCGGTGACACAGGAAGCGACCGAAAACAATTGAATACGTACAATCAGTTCTAATTTATGTCATATATTAACATACCAAATCTCGTTTTTTTAACTGAAAAAGTAAAAAAGTTATAGAGGTGAGCCACTTTTGAGACGCACCTATAATATTATAGGTATAATAGCTTTCTCTATGGATACAACTGACTACGGCAAGCTGCTTCTAAGATATTCTATTAATTTTAATTATTTTTTTTCTTTAATATTAAGTGAACGATAGCAAATTCTTAAGTATAAACGTAATAATATATATTTCATATCAATTAAACTTTTAGTTACGTAATCGAGGGCGCGATTTTTAAGTTTGATTCGATCGATTTTTCATTGTCGCCAACCATGAACATATTCGACGCCGTGCTGACTAACTGGAATTTAAATTTCGCACTGGGAATTCAGGTGATAGCTCTGCTGTAAAGAATTCCAGGTTGCCGGATTTATTTATTTATTTCCTGACATTGTCATTCGTTTTGACACTTGGTTACTACGCATTGGTTAATTTTTAAGAGCGAAATGAACTTGCCACCAACAATTTGCAATTTTTTCAATTATAATTTATTTTTGAAGTTTTTTCAATATGACAAGGCAGCTTTGGCGATTATTGTCAAATATATACTACTATGAACTGCCCATCATGTTCGACGTTTGGGAAATGCTTGGCAGGAGGGTTAGAGGTCGGTAAGCGTTACTAGCTTCATTAAATGAATTTCGCTTGGTCCTGAAAGAAAAATGGGAAAACATAACGCAATATGATATATGCAGCCTCAATGACAGTATGGACAAACGTATACAGGCAGTTATAGCAGCCAGGGCAGGCAGTATTACTTTTTTTTACAATTTTTTTTCTGTTTGTATAACAGATGTTTTCCTTAATATCGTTAGTTCTGTTATCGTTATTGATGTTTATTAAAACCAGGGACGCTATTCTGTACAATCGTCGGTATCGGCAAGTTACCGACAACTATCGGTACGTACGGCCAATGAGGGTCGTATTGATTGTTGTTATCATAGTTACCGATCGGCCCTATGACAGATATCTCAAATTTGTACCGACGACTCTCGGTATCTCTACCGTAAGGTTGACAAGGGCACGGTAGAGATACCGATTTTCGTCGGTACAAATTTGCGATATCTGCCATAGGACCGATCGGTAACTATGGCAACAACAATTAACGCATTTTTACTATATACAAATACGTATCGTGTCGTAACTTACCGATACCGACGATTTTACAGAATAGCGCCCCAGGACTGCATCGTTAGTCTTTAACGTTTTTTTTAAATTTAGTATAGAGTTGCGATGCAGCGTAATATAACGTTACGACAATAGTCACCAAAATCATCTCGTTTTTTTTAAATTCCATCAAAAGTAATGATAACTGAAAACATTGCAAATTGATCGTGATCAGTTCATTTCGCTCTTAAAAATTAACCAAAGCATGCATTGTCGTGATTCAAAAAATAAAATGCTCAGGAGACATGGTTCTTACCGTAAAATTATATTTTAGGAAAATTTATACACGGAATTGTTACACAGGGTGTTATAAAGTTAGGATAAAAAAACAACCCCTCGATTAACCCTGTATAATATGCCAATTACTAAAGTTTACAAAAAACTGAGTTTACGAATTAAAGTTGACATAATTATGTACAGTGTGCTAAAAAATCATGCAAATAGGGCTAAAAATAACAAAAATATAAGAGTTTAAATTTGACCAAAAATGTCTCTGTTGCTTTTTTTTGCATCTGAGTGTATTATTTATAATTCATTTATTTGTGTTTTCTAAAATATTTTGATTAAAAAAAATATATAAAAGTGGGCAACGCCGTGCCGGTCAAGCTTAATCACGTGACTAAACGTTTATTTGGTATGCACTGTATATACAAGGGTATAAGGTATAATAGGTTTTTTCACAAAAAATAAAATACCCAATTCAAGGATAAAATCGGAAATAGAAGACTATTTTCAGTATATTTATCCAAAAAAAAATAGTTCCATGACATTGAATAATTTTTTTGTAGGCCCTCAAAATTGCTTTAATTTGAAATAATTTTAAACTGCCAATTGATGACGTATGAAAAATACACCCAATCACATTGCAGAACCGTGCTCGTTCGCCAGCCAACAACTGGCAACATTACGATTTGATTTGACCAGCACCACCTCAAGGCCAATCAACATGATATGGGCAAGGTAAATATGGCGGTGAAGGCAGCGCATTATTAAATTGTTTACCTTTAACCTGAAAAGCCGGTAGTGGTTTCTCGTTCCGATTGCATACCAGAAATAATTAATTATCTCTAGTTTGTTGTGCTTCTGCAACACGTTTCTTTAGTTCTTAGTGTTCAGTGCATGGTGTGATCAGAAAATTGTGATAACAGTGTAATAAAAATCCAAACCAGACATTCTACATAAGGAACTTAAAGCTTTTGTGCTTGTCGTACTCCTCTATTATTAATTATTTTAAGGTAAGAACTAGAAGTATTTATCAAGATATTACACCTAAATGAGTAAAAAGCCTTCGCCGCCAGTCGGCATAGTACTTTATAATGGTTGCTTACAATAATCAAAAGATAGGTATTAAAGGGTAAGTATTAACATTTTATTGTAGCATGCCTTTTACATGCTCTGTTCCAAATTGTCACGGGAATTATAGAGGAGGTCCTAAGGTTTCTGCTATATAAAATTGTGAAACACATATTATATTTTTTTATTTATCCTCACCTATATATTATAGTTTAAATTTATTCCCATTTGTGTAATGCTGCAAAAAAAAAAGAAAAAATATTCCATATTTTTTGACCCAAACCAGTCTAGTTTATAATTCCAAGAGCATTTACCAAGGCTTTTACTAAGACAAGTAACTTCCTATACTGTCCATAATAGTATATATTTATCAATAAGTGTTTGCAATTGAATATTTAGGTTATTATAATTATATTTCTGGTTATTTCTTTTTCCGATGATTTTAAACACCCTATACACGCTACCTCAAGTTTGAATATTTTAACACTACCTATTTTCTGAGAAAGGAGACCTTTTTATAAAAAGTAACTAACTGATGTTTTCATAAGAGTACTAATACAAAAAATTCCATACTTATGTGAAGAACTTTAGACTCCCTGTATATTAAAAAATTAGTGAAATATTACGTAATCTAACCCGACATTTGTGTGAAAAATGTCTATTTGGAAATAAAACAGGTTTTAAAATACGCGCCAAATAAAGCACTTCTATCTCCGCCATATTGGAAAAGGTTGAATAGCCTTGTGTGGAGGTGGTGGTGGGTCAGCATGGAGGCCCGGCCGCGGCCGTGTTGCCGCTTTTCAACATGCCAGGTGTGACGTATTAAAAATAGTGTGCGGATTTTTATTCTGGGCTTTTTTGTTTCTATTTATTTTCTTAAGAACAACTTCAAATTTTTCGAAAGTGAGATGGCAGATAATTCTAGAATTAATTGCTTTATTCAATTATGCTAATTCCAAAATATAGTGAAAGAGCCCATTGAATTCACTATTTATTTCACTAATTTTGAGGTTCTGAATGAAGCAACAACAATATCTAATGACTTATTTAAAAAACTTTTGAGACTGTAAAGAAGCTGTTTGTCTAATTTAATATCACTAGTATTGCACTGTCAAATTCTTCATAAAATATATTTTAAATAAAATCATTGACAAAGAAAACTGTAATAGTAATTTTTGTGAATATGCCATAGAACTGAAGGATGATTGCAAAATTATTTCTATCTCTAGCCGCACTCACAATCGGTCATGGCGACGTCCGACGATATTTTTGATTTTATACTGCGAACGAGATGTGTTTAAAAAAACGCATAAACAACCAACTAAAACAAACGAACAGGAGACGTAATCGTGGCCGGAAAATTCGCTGACCCATGCTCGCGTTTGGCGGCGTTTAAAATGTAAGGAGGAGAGTCGCATTATCGCGCTCTCGAGATATTTTTTTATTTTTAGGGTAGGTCTTAGCGTTATCTATAAAGCTCAACCAATACACACATTAGATAATTGATTTTGAATTTAATTATTTAAATAAATTTATTGAGAATTTTAATTTATTATAGAAGATATCAGTGACTTAAATAAAAACAATATTTTGAAGTGATGCGACGCATCATCTGCATCAATGGAAGCTTCGCCGCTGGCTAACAATCAAAATGATCATCGTGTCAATTTTGAATTAAATTAAATTTCTTTTGGTACTTACATATGCTTCTCTGCCTGACACACAAAATTCATGAGTTCTTAATGGATTGGCATGAATGCTGTAGAGTGCAACTTCTCTTCCATCATTATCAACTTCAGAAATACTAAAAATAAATTTTGATATGCAAAGGTATATTATACAGGGTGAAAAAAAAAATCAATAACAGGTTTCATATTTGAGATTTTCAGTCTTATAAACAATTTAAACAAGCAATGGTAACACACATTGTAAACATAATTCCATAGAGATATAGGATAAATATCAAATTTAGTTACAGATCTATTTGAATCACATTATACAGGGTGAGTAACTGAAACAAGTAGTAGCACTTAAATAAGTTCAAATATTAATAGGAGTAGTATATTTGGACCTCAGAAAAAATTATTTTTTTTAATTTAAAGTAAAATAACTCGATTATTTAGGACATATGTAAAAAACAGAAAAGACAAAATATGTTTCTTTTATCGAGACCTACCAGCCCTGAAAATATTTGCATTTATTTGAGACTAACCCTATATCTACAAATATTTGCATTGGCCAAATATGTTTTAAAAATATTAAAGTGAAAAACTCAAATAGGAAATCTAATATGGAACTTTCTTAGGACATTGTTCACCCTGTATATGTTTGAAAAGATATACTTTCGTGCTTTACTCTTTCTAATATCGTGGCTTAGGATTACTCCATCCTCTCCAGCACTTAGAATCACATGTGGTTGGTCTTTTAAAACTGCAAGCTTATGGCAAGGACCTTTATGTTGGCCTAATTTTTTATTCTCTGTACGACCATCTGGTAAAACCTAGTTTATTTCAAATAATATATTTGAAGATAATTCACAATATATTATATCATCTTTACCTGTATGTAAAAAACTTGACCATCTCTTGCACATGTTGCCAAATGTAATTCCGGTCCTTTAAAATCAAGAAACCTTGTTTGAAATATATTTCTACGATGTTTAGTCTCTATTTTCATCAAACTTTTGCAAATTCTCCAATCCCATATAACAACCTATGTATATTGGAGAATTGAGTAATTATGTATCAGTATCCAGTACAGTTTCAAGTTGACTTACTTGAAAGCATAACTAAACTTAACTAAAGTCTGTTTAAACATCAAGAAAAATAAAAATTTAATTTTACCTTTAGATCATCTGATCCACTAACTAAAAATTTACCATCGGGACTAAAATTAAGGCTATTTACACATCCATCATGCTTTTCAAGTTTGTACATCAATTCAAGTTTTTGCACATTTCTAAGAGATCCATAACACCTTTGTTGAAACAGACTTGGATTAGCTTTTCTAGCTCCATATCCTAGAAGAACTGCCTGTTATAATACAAAACAATGAAAATTATGAACGGAAAGTTTACCAATTTGTCTATTAATTATTTCTGGTGCCATAAACCAAGTGTGCTTAGGCTTTTTCTTTAGTATGTCATTGATTGTCTCCTCTTCAGAGTCCATATCGGAACTACGAACAATGGTATTTTCAGCGCTTGTACTATCGCTTGCAAAATTTCCAGAGCTACTTAAAACTGAATCTAAATCTTCATCATCGCTATAAAGTTAATCAGAATCACATTAATGTTTACAACACTAAATCACAGAAAGTATAAAATGTCGGACCAATTTTTGTTCTGAGCTTAAAATAGTCTTCTTAACTAGTTAAAACAACTCACCTTTCAGTAAGCCCCTCTTCTTCACTTCTTACCCTATTTTCAGATTCATCATTTTGCTCCTCTGTATTATCGACAATCTGTTCATTACCATTACCCTCAACACTCAAGGGGAACCCACTATCACTACTTACACTAGCAGACTGTTCATTACAATCATTACTATTAGAGTTATTTTCAGAATTATTGGATGAAACAGAATGCTCTTCCCCTTCGAAATCGGTTCGCATTCTTTTGGCACTATCCTGTCTCTCCCCTTCAACGGGACTCTCGGCCCGAAGTTCATCTTCCGACATATTTTCATCCATAATCTAAAAATATATTATAGGAGAAACGCAATTTGCGATTTTGTAGCGATGTCAAGATTCAAAACATTTTAAACAATATAATTACTTCACTGTAAAATTTTAGTTATGTAAATATTATCAACACATTGCATACGTATTTATAAATATTATTTTTTTACTGAAGCAACTAAAAAATCGAAAAACTCGATATTTATGTGATTGTATGTGAGTTATGACAGCACAAAACTCTGACAGTTTAGAAGCTGTAGGACTGTCAAGAAACAGCTGGTGGTCACTAAATTAAACCTTGAAACACGAATGCACAGATTATATTAATCTGTGACGAATTATGTCCGATTCAAACATAACTGTAGATAATTAAACTTTAAACCACTTTAAACTAAGAATAAATGTTTTCTTCTAAATCTTATTTTAGACCCTTAGTTGGCAAATAATTAGTTCAAAGATCTCCGTTAAAGTACCAATTAATTTGTATAGCATTTGAAGAATAATAAAATATTTACGACAAGACATTATTAATTTATACAAGGATTATGCCTACGGGTATGGAGGGGACATTATGTTAACCGTACGCTATCCGTACGCCTATGGAATATTTGTATGCGAAAATACCCGAAGTTGATTGAAATCAGGGATGAGATCAGTATTTGTGTTAATAATTTATTAACTATGTTTTAATTATGATTTTGTAAAATCATATGCATTGTTGGGTATAGCAGAGTATAGCTTTGCTCTAAAATTCCAATTATCATCTACTCTTTGCTATTGTTAGAAAACTATATAAAGTAAAAAAAACGGGAAGCGGAAACGCTTAAATGCAGCAATTTTTTGATTATGTAAGAAGAATTGATTAAGCAACCCAGATATATTTATTGAAGATATCACAATATCACAAACAAATATAATCATGGTTTTTAATTTTGAATCTTTTCTCGGCTACCCCAAATTTTAATATTTTCAATACACGTCACTAAATTCAAATCAATAGCAAAAAGTAGAGAATATAATATAATACTGATAATACTCTCTACTCGGTCAATAGTTTATCAACATTTCAGTTAGCTTTATACTTTATGCTTTATGATTTTCCAGTATCCTTTAGAAAAAATAAATAAAAAATATCTAGGGTCTCAAGGTGACATACGCGTTCGTAATTATTTACTAGGATTTAAGGTGATCGAACATTTAATTTGAAGCTGGTCCGTCCTTGGGTTGTACTTTTGTTTTGACTCACAGTTTTGACTAGAGGTGGGCCAGTCTGCGATTTTTGTGGAGCTGCTACGCTCTGCGACTGCTCCAATAAAAGCACTGTGACAAGTAGCAGCGATTTTTCGGAGCAATTAACCTATAAATTAAAAATGTAGTTTTATAGGTTAATTGCTCCGAAAAATCGCACTCGGTGTTCGGCACCGTTCGTTGCATTTACTAAAAAAGTACAGGACTGGTGTGATTATGATAGGCAACATCATCGTTTAGTTTTTATTTATTTATATCGTATGATCGAAAAAAACGGCGTCAGCGATAGCTATGAGATGAAGATTGCTGGCATTTTATATGTAAAATTTATGGGGAATGTTATCGATTGTCATTTCCAAGCCAACTGGACGCCGTTTTTATTTAGATCAGTAGTGGCGATTTTAACGTCTGTGCAATCGGGGTAAGTCACCGACGGGCCCCAAGCCTCCCGGACCCTTACGAACAAGATTCGAACTTTTCCGAACTACGGGCCCCTAGAGCTCTTTAAAATCGCGGCTGTACGGTACTATACTATAGGAATATATTTCAGATATTACGTCTATTACGAAAATGAATATATTGATTTTTCTTTTGTCTTAGTTTGATAGATGTTGCTATATTTTTTTAGTCCATTCAGAAGAATTTGAGTGTTTCTAAGTACCAAGCACTTTGCTATAAATATCTTAAAGAGTCTGTTCATTTTCACATAGTGGTGGCCCATGGTAAAAACTTAATGTTATATTCAATTCAAAGTCGAAACTGTCAAAAAATTCTTTATTAGTGACCGGTTTCGACTATTTAGCCATCATCAGACCTTAAAAATAGATATAAATAATAAAACTTACATGAATGTATAAGATCAAATAAAAGATTTAGGATATACAACAAAACACAGATACATACCAAATTAACTAACAAATAAACATACTAACAAGTTAAAAATTACCTTTGTCAAAAACATCTGTTTGTGATTAATATATAATACATAAATATCTTATTTAGATTCATGAAAGAAAAAGCGAACGCTGCTACGTTTCCTGTTCCCAAACTCCCAACAGCTCCAGTCCACAGAATATACTCAATATACTATGCTCCAGTCGACTGCACCTGCGACGACTGTGACTGGAATTTGAGTCTGATTGGGCGACAGGGCTAGGAGCAGTTTCAGAATTTACACTATTGTCTGCTATTGCTCCTATTGCTACTCACGAGCGCAGATGTCCTAAACTTGTAAACTGCTCCGAAATGTCACTGCGATTTTCTTGTAACTGGAGCAGTCACATACTGCGACGTTGGTGGAGCTGTGACAAAGTAGCGGACTGCGATTTCACAACCCACCTCTAGTTTTGACTCTATGGGCTGACCGTCCTCACCGAAAAAAAAAAATAACCTAACATATCTGGGCTAACATTTTATTTTCATTTTTCATTATTAAATGAAAAAAAGTATTTCTTGCAGAGTTTCTTGTTTAAAACATAAATAATAATGACTTTATATCATTTTGGAAATTGCGTAGCTTTAGTTTATGTTCCTTATTACCTGGCTTATAAGCAATCCGGTTTGTAAGTATTCTAAAAAGTAATGAACATCTTAATAAAAAATTAAATAAAAAATATTGTAGGTCTGAATATGGAGCTTTCTGGAAATGTGTGCAAGCTGGGATGATTTATATGTTCACGCAGCTCATTAAAATGTTAGTTTTAGCAACTTTCTTTCCTGATAATGTGGGCGAAGGTACTGGCAGTTTAATTGCGGTAATGATGTTTTAATTAGAAAATCTAGTGGTCTACATCTATGTATTTGATATTTTTTAGGAATTTTTCAAAGACACAGTAGATTTAGCCGATCTGGTGGGACTTTATTTTGTTCTAAATGGAATTCCTGGCAAAGGACATAGCAAAGTGTTGACTGCAGGAATTGGATGGGCCACAGCCGAATTAATTTTGTCTCGAGCACTGCTTTTATGGATTGGTGCAAGAGGAGCTGAATTCGATTGGATTTACATCCAAAAATGTCTGGAATCGAATGTTCTTCTTGTTCAACATATAGCTACTGCAACTTTAATATGGCTGTGGTCGAGGCACAATTTAAACAAAAATTTGAAAACAATAATTACACTATTACTAATTTTAACTTGCTATAAACCTTTATTGTTTGATTCTTTAACTCATATTTTACAATTAGGTGTTTGGTTAGGATTAGTGATAAAAGCAGCTTTTGCTTTAGTTTATGGCTTATTTACACTGACTATTTATGCCAGTGTAGCTGATATAATTGGTATTTATTAATAATAATTTATTTTACAAACGTTAGTCATTCTTTACATTTTAAATTAAGTGAATAAACTACTTTTATTTACTCATGTTACCTTTATAATTTTTCTACAAATTATTTTAAAATATTTAAAATATATATATTATATAAATCTATTGATGGTAAATGTGGTGTTGATGGTATTTCATACAGATAGTATTTCCTTTGTATTAAAAATAAAAAGGTTAGTTTTCATCAGTGACTTTCATAAGTTATACTTTTTTAAACTGTTTATTTTATTTCCGTCTGGCATATTATAGACATAAAAAATTAGCAAAAATATTTTGTGAAAAATTAGGTAGGTATATGCCTAATTTTATTCTTAATCTAAGATGCCTACAGGGGCGGATCGAGGATTCGGAAAAGGGGTGGGGGGTTAGACTCAAAACTTTACTCAAAGTACATACGCCAGAGTTGTTTGTGACAAAATAAATTAATATTGTATTTTACTTGACTGCACTCAAGGGTGTCTCGAGCCTACGTTGCCCCTTCCCGGTGCCCCCCGTGGATCCGCCACTGGATGCCTAATAGGTGTTTGGACTCTATCTTTGCATTTGATTGCTTATTAAATATATCTAAAAATACGCATAAATATAATTAATATAAGTATTTTTTTTAAACAGAAGTTGTCCTCAAATGATATTGAAGAATATATTATTATTTATCATGAATAAAAATTATATTTTCCTATTCAATATTCTACCCAAAAAAAGATGATGTTTAATTAATTAGAATTGAGTCTGTTGTGGTATGATATTTAATCCTATTGGTTGATCTGAACTAACTATATTTTTTTTAATTATTTCATTTCAACATTTTTCTTTTTTAAAATCATTTTAATTTCTATTTTATAGTTAATCTATATTTCATTTATAATTATTTTTCATATAATAATGATAAAAAATATAACCGTAAATGCTAAACAAACAGGAATACTTATATTTTTTATAATTCGTTAATAGTAAATAATATAATAAGCAAATAAAAGTATATATAATACAAAATAATTCTATAAGAACAAAATTATAAAGCTTCTTTGAAATTAATTAAAGATATTTTTAAATTGATTGTTTCTGTTTAGTTCAGGTATGTCAAGAATTTGGCCTTTTTTCTATCAAAAAATAGCTTATAGGAATTATAGTCTGTCCACCGGAAGGATTCCAATCCGTGGCAGCTGTGTCTGCCATTTTAATTCACAGGCAAACTGTGTTTTTTTTAACATCTTAAAAAATGTGTTTATTTTTTAAAGGGTGATGCCCTCTAGCGGACAAACAAAGGGCTTTTGTATAGAGGTAAATTGTGTCCAATGAACTTATTTTGATTTCAAAAATACGCAGTAGTTCTATCTCCACGGAATATTGGGACACCCTGTATAGATAAGTTTTATAAAACAAAACAACTTTTAAAGTTCTTTTTTTTTAAATTTGTGCAGGACAATAAGTTACGTCTACACTTTCAGTTAATCAGTGCTATTTCTCTGAAGATTTTTTTAGAAAAAAACTAGTAAAGGCGCAAATACCTATAATTTTCTTTGCATAAAAAAATATGACACATTTCTGTATTGCCATACATGTCCTTTTTTTTTACTCCAAAAAGATTTTACTCAAACCAAACTTCTGAAGTGTGCAAATTAACGATTTCTGTTTACATTTTAGGAGTTGCTGAACCAATTTGGGCTGCACAAGCCAATTTGGGCAAATTAGTCAAGGCTGTCACTTTAGCGGCTACTGTAATACCTTTTTTTTTCATCCATATGCCATATTATATATATGATTATATGTTGTATGTAGTATATAAATGAAGTACATTATAGATTATACAGTATGTCCCCGGATTGTCTTTACAAGAGGAAAAACTGTTTTATTATTGATATTTTGAGAAAAATGTTTTCTTCATAAAAATTTTTGCTTGTTTTAAAATGGTTTAATCCCGTTTATACTTTTCCAAATTTCCATACCGTTTTCGAGAAAATAAAAAAAAACATGGAACATACATGAAAATATGGTTGATTTTTTTCCTGAAAGTCCTAAAAATTAAAACACGTTTCTATGGTAATATAATTTAGATTTCATTCTTCGATAGATGGTTTTTATTAATTTTGATTAATTTTATATTTTTTGTTGTTTTTAAAATATCACATATTCCGATAACCATTTATCATCCTTTCCATAGCATTGAACTAAATAAATTGTGTTTCTTTAACATTCTAAACAGCAAAAAATGAGACTTTCATTAAAATTCTATCAATAACATCTATTAATGAGTAAAAACGAAATTATATTATTATGGATACGCGTTTTGATTTTCAGGACTTTGGACTTTTTTTACTTTTTTTAGGAATTCTAAAACGGTATGGAATATTAGAAAAGTATAAACGGGATTAACCATTTTAGAACAAGCAAACATTTTTATCAAGAATGAATTTTTCTCAAAATATCAATAATAAAAAGGTTTTGCTTCTTGCAAAGATAATCCGGGGACATACTGTAGATAATACCGTATAATCGAAAAAGAACAGCGTTGGAGTTAATTTTGAGGTTTTTGTGGAGATGTTTTTAAAAACATTTATTAAACAAGCGGGAGTACAATACGCGTTGATGGATTCTGAAGGAACCCTGTGCCTGCGTCGTGCAGCGGCTTAAATATGAACATAAGTGCTGATGAATATAAAGTATAAGATTTCTACAGGGTGTGTTAATTATACAATTATAACTCCTCCCTTCGTAGAGGTGGAAATACACCTGGATTTCCTAATTATTATTTTTAAGTTTATATAATTAAAATCAATAATAATGTAATAAAATAATTAATCAATTAAATGTTAATAGATAATTGAATATAATGTAAAATAAAATGAATAAATGTAAAATATAAAATAGCAAAATGTGATTAAAATAAGCACTTATATTATTATATCGTCATTATCGTTCTTAACAACAATGCGTGTTTTATTTTTAAAGTATTTATAAGTAAATAATAAAGAAAGCAAAATCAATAAAATGTAGATTAATATTGTCCAAATACTAAGTCTTTTTACTGAAATATTATTTAACGAACTGAGAGAAAGTCTTTGTTCTTCTAGTTCTTTCTTGATATCTTGATTATTTTTCATGTTGATCACGTTGAGGTTCCATACAGGTGGGTTAAAGATGATGTCTTCTTCGGCAAAGGACATGTTGGTCTTTAACTTTGGCAGTAGAATTTCTTCGAACAGTGTGTTGCTGCTTCGATGTGTCTTCAAGATGAATTTTTCTAAGTGTATCTCGCAGAATGGGGTTGCTTCAATCAGATATGTACCATATAGGGGTACATTTTCTTTTTCGTTGTTGCACTTAAGTGTTGCCAGTGTTTTGTGAGGAGTGGTGATGATCCATCGTCCATCAGAGATTCGCTCAATTTGAATACTTTTTATCGGAATACGGAACGGATGACAATTATTCGTGTCTTGCTCAAAATTAATAAGTTTTACTTCACATGGCTCATTTCCTTTAAGTCTCAGGGGATGAGTCTTCTTACAGAGGTATTCTTGTAATATTATTTCTTGACATTCTTCGTCCATATATGCATACTTCGTATCACTTAATGCGAGGTAAGGTTTGAAAGGAATTATCAATGAAAAATCGGAATTGTTTGTTGGAATTGGTAGAGGTAACAACTTATAATAGTAATACAAGTCTGGTTCTACTAAAGGAATTTCCATAATAAATGTTATTGTATAGTCTTTTGAGTAACTTTTTATCTCTATAATTTTTTCAAAGTTTAGAATATTTTCTATCTTTATTTCCAAAGGGAAAATATCTTGGTTTATTTTGTTTTTATAATTTTCTATTTCTTTTAATAACTCTATCGGATTTACAATTGAGTTGTGTAAAACATTTATTTTTGCAAAGGATATAGCTACCTCTATTTTCTCAAAAATATCATATATATTTTGGAAAATTGAATACATTTCATTTATAATAATCATATTTTGAAAATATCTTTTTTCTTCATTATCTTTATTTAATATCCTTTTTAATTGATCTTCTAGATATATAACTTTTGTTCTAATATTATCTTGATTTCTGGATATATTTGATATAAGTTCATTGAAATTCTCTATCGATTTTTGCATTAATGTGATTTGTTTTATTGATATATTTTTTAATTTATTTTGGTTTAATTGTAACTCTGTTATAAGTTTTTCGTATCGTTCCGCATCTGTAGAATCTAAGTTCCCAGTTATGCATTTTATAACTGTTCCTAAAGGATTTAATATTCCTCTTTTATTTCTTTTATTATTAGGATACAATTGATATATTTGTAATTCGATTTTATTCTCTATATTTATTAGTTGTTGTTTGGCAACGTCATATTCAACTAATTTTAATGTTTCTATAAATTTATTATTAAATGATTTTAGTCTATAAAATTCGGTTACTAGTGTTCCTAAATTGTACACTTGTATGATCGATAATTGATCTGATTGAATTTTTGCTTTTCCCAATTTAAATGGTAGTATACCAGGGTAGTTATTTAAGTTTACTATATTTGTGTTTTTTCCTTCGATGACGAACAAGAAGGCTGCGATACATCTGAAATATTTTTAGTTATTTTAGTTTCATTTTTATGTATTATTTCAGTTTTATTATTTTTTGTATTTAAAATTTCTAGTTTGCCGTTTTCTAGTATTTTAGAGACCGTGTAAGGACCTAAAAATTTATTCTTTATTTTTGCATCTCTGTTATCATTCTTTTTGTAGATAGTTGTTCCTATTTTGACTTCATTAGTCTTTTTATCTTTGTTATGATAATCTATCTGTTTTTGTTTTTTATTTAAAGTAGTTTCTTTAATTTTATCATAAAGAGTTTGTGTATTAGTTTTATGTGTATAAATATAATCAGAATAGACTTGTGTTGGTATAATTAACATAGGATCTCTAGAGTCGGTATGACCTAGGGTTAATTCAAAAGGAGTAAAATTTGTTTGAGAATGTATTGTACTATTATAGGCAATAATAGCATATCTCATGAGTGTATTTATATCTGAATTTTTATCTTGTTCTTTTAGTAGTCTTATATGTTCTAGTAATGTAGAATGCAATCTTTCTATAGGTGCATTGGATTCATGATGATACGGTGTAGTAAAGTGTATATTTATTTTATGTACTTTTAATAGATCTTTTAATGTTTCATTTTTAAATTCTGTCCCGTTAT